AACAAAAGCAACCATAAAAGAGTACTGGGAGCTGTCTAGAACATCCTTGACTGCAAAATGCTGAAATGCTATTGAAAACAGAGGCCTGGTTGACATTTGGACTATATACAACTCTATTACAACAAAAGGACACAAATAATCCTTCAAATTTGTTCTTCCTGTTGCAGTTTACCAAATTACCACTTCATCTGATCCTGACAACACTGGACTTGAGGCAAAACTGGCATTATTAACTTCATTTAAAAAATATTAACTGTGTTATGAAAACAGGAGTTTCTCCTTTACTTCTTCTTCCTCCTCCTCCTCCTCTTCCTTCTTGTCAAAGGATAGTAACAAAAAAAGAAGTGATACCCTGTTTGAAAATGCAGAAATCATTTCTCAATAAAAATGATTAGCCCCAAATATAAAACAGAGACATAAACTGTCTTCCACAAAACTGGAAAACACTTGTAACTTCAGACACAACTGATGAAAAGAGCTGACAAATGAAGAACAGGTCGAACAGGAAGATGCTTGGAGAGGATGCTTCTAGCTCCAGACCTCAACGGCATCAGACAAAAAGACTCCGAAATAGCTGACATAACCTGAGGGGTCAGACAATTCCTTGTCTGAAACAATGGAAATGGGGTGAGCATCAGCAATTGTGGGTTTTCTGGATACTGCCTGGGACCATAGAGGAGCAAGAGAGGCAAAGCCAAAGGAGGAGATCTAGACATGTCACCAACAAGAAGCTGTCGGTGGGTGAGACAAGAGTGGAGGAAAGAGACTCCAAAAGGGACTAGCTCTGCAGTTGTCAATTACTGTTTGCTGGAGAGAAGGAAAGGCTAAAACAGCTCTCACAGAGCCACAGCCCTGTCGTAAGTGCTTCCCTACTACCCAGGAAGAGCTGTTAGTCCAAAACGCTGCACTACCTACTATCTATGGATGTATACCAAATAGGTGAGCCAGAAAGAAGTGTATTTCAAGATGAGTGATAAATGAAATAAACCTGCATGGTACTTGCACAAATGCTCCAAGAAAAGGAGGACAGGAACAGGAGAAATAATAGCAGATAAAACCCCTGTAGATAAAACCGTTCAACAGAAAAAATGAATCCACTGAGCATATGAAATATATGGCCAAATATACTGTCATAACTCAACTGAAGGAAACAAAAAGTTCATCCACAGGTGATCAGAAACCACATGGCACCACAATCAAAGGAAATGCAATAGGAGTTAACAGAGTTCAGTAAAGAAACGGAAAAGCGAAAAAGTCATCCCCAAAACAAATGCAACACCAGAGGGAATACAAAAAACTTAAGTGAAACTGAGAGAAGGCCAAGAGAGGATAAGGGGAAATGGTTTCATCCTGATTAATCAGGGGTTCAAAATATGGCATTTAAATTGATAAGCATGTGATAAAGGCATAAAATATTTATAGGTATAAAGCTAAACACAAGAAGAACGAAGGAAATAATACAGCCAACTAAAAGTGCTCTGGAGGAAAGGCAGAAAAAGAGTATACTAATTGGACATTGCTCATAGCAGGGAGTCAATAGCATCTAAAAAATGAAATACACAAATCAAAATTACAGTTAAGAAAACCACCAGGGGAACAAAGGAAACTAGAGCAAACATGGATAATGAAAATGCAGTGTACAATGTATATTGTTGATTATTTATCCTTTATTCATCCCTCCACCCCTCTTCAGAACCCTAATTTTGGTCATATGTCCATCCTTTCTTCACATAATCATGTGCTTCAAGGAGAGATTCTTAACTAGCAGTGATTCTGCTTCCCCAGAGGACGTTTGGCAATATCTAGAGACATATTTGACTCTCTTCTAGGGGGAGTTACTGGCATTTAGGTTAGAGACCAGGATGAGGAGACCAGCTTCAGGCCCTATCACGGGCAATTACAAAAGCTTTCCCTGGTAGGCTTTATGAGGGAAAGCTGTCCTCCCCGCACAGTCTTTGAAGGGAGCTATCCTCAAGGACTCAGGTCACCATGCTCATATTCATATCTGCATTCCTAGCCCTGGCACCTCCATCCAGAGGCCATCTCAGGGGACCTTGGCTAAGGCAATGTTAAGGTGTCTCCACTGAGACCTTCTTAGTGGGGAGAGGTCTTGACCAAGATGCACTTCTCCACTCCATTTTTTCCACTCCTAGCCTTTCCTTCTCTCCCTGTCCTGTTCCCTGGGTTCATGAAATGGCAGGAACCTTTTGCTCAGTGCTCCTCAGCAGTAAGACTATTTCCTCCATCTGCACTGCATGTCATGTGATTGACCCTTACCCAGTGCCGTTCAGTGGGGGGTGAGGCGGGGGACAGGGGCAAGGAAGAACAGTGAGGAGCCAATACTACTTTTCTTTTTGGCCTCTCGCTTACATTATCATGGTAAGTAAACAGAGACTTGATTATTTTCATTTTGGTTCGTTGTCTTAATTAACTACCTCAACTCTTGCAGTTTAGCATAGGAATATTGTTAAACATGCTACTATGCACAGACCAGCCTTCTACAATAAAGCATTAATTGGTCCAAACTATCCACAATGCTGAGGCTTTTGGGGGAACTTGACCCTATCACCAACTCCAGAGCCAACAAGCCCATGGAATTCTCCTAGCCAATGTTAATCATTCAGGAGTGGATAGATGACCAAATAAGTTGGCCCAATCACATGGAAATGAAAGACTTACTATTCCATGGTTAAGGGAGAATTTTCCTCAATTTTTGTTGTGTTGGACATGAACAAGGGAACATACAACCCTGACTGCCATGAGCAGCCATTTTGTGAACATGAGGGAAAACAACTTTGGGATAAAGCCTGTACTATGCTATAGGAGTGAGGGACAGAACCTGGGTCCTCGAAGACAGTATGGACTGAGAGAACTGTGGCTGGAACCTACCCCATCTGTGGACTTTCAGAAATGTGTTATAAATTTCCTTACGATTTTAAGTTTCAACTGGAGTTTTTCCTACTTGGAATGAAAAGTATTCTTTTACAAAAAGATAAAAAAAACCAAAACAATAAAAATAGAAAGCATTAACCTAAAAGCAAAGATATATTACATATGAAAAGACTACACTAATGTATGAAATAAGAGGAATCCTAAAATTGAATCACAAAGCAAAACTCACTATATACTATTTTAAAATACCTAAACAAAGTGACAAAAATACAAAAAAATACAGGGATGAATAAAGGTGTATCAAGCAAATGTAAGCTAAATTAAAACACTAGTCATAATCTTAATATCTGACATTTTAAATTGCAGGACAAAAGCATCCAGTGAAACAACAACAACAAAAGATATTGCTATAATGATAAAGGTAATACCCACACTGGAAATCTAGCAGTCATGAATTCATATGCAATGGGAAACATAGCCACATACAACAGAGAAAAAAAAATAAAACCAGACAATAAAAGGAGGAAATCCCTAAGTGAAAAGTTTCATTTACCTCTGTCTCAATTCATGACTAAGCACATGGACCAAAGAAAAAGGTTACAGAAGATCTAAATAATATATTTAATCAAAACATAATTTACATATGGTATAAAATAATAGATCTTATATAGTTCTCCATTCTCTGAAAATAGAGTAGACCTTCAAAAAAATTGACCCATACAAAGAAAACCTCACATGGCAATAATTTGGTACCCATGGTTCTGTACAAAGGGAGAGCTGTTTCTACCTGGACTCCTTATGACAAGTGACTCCTTCAGAAGGAATATAAAATTGTCCCCACGGTAAGAATGCTGCTGGTGGTGACAGCTCTAGGTAGTTTATGAGGAGTGGAGAGGGGCTGGAGAGGGAACCGCTGAGCCATTGCAGCAGCGATCCGTACCTGACTAAGAAGAATACATGCTGTCCAGATAAGTCAAGGGTAAGATGATGTAACATTAATGAACACTATGTGGAAAACAAACTTTGATAAACACAAAAGGAAATACTGAGGACTTTCCATTAACGTATGAACACGGGACAAAAAAGTAAAATCTTAGTTCAAACTGGCACAAAACTAGGTCGTAGTGGACATGCAGGGCAAGAGTCAGCAAAACCTGGAGGGAAATCTGGGCAATACTGTTCAAAATAGACTTTTCTCTCCTCTAAAGAGTTTTAATTAAGTATTTCTTGAAGAACTGTACATTTAACTTTTCTCTCTTCGTGGCCATCTATTGCCCTTTTGCTCCATGTACACACGAAGCACACTGTCGCAAGTGCTTTCTCCCTTTACTGTTTCTCTTCTGCCTCCATTTCCTGCTCAAAGGAAACAGGAGAAAGCTGCTCAGCACATTTTTCTCCTTTAACCCGAGGTTGGCAAAAACACCCCCAAAATATTTCCTGGTGTTGAGGATGGACTGTGAGAACTCAATAGAACCAGGACAGCAAAAGCTGCCAGCACAACTTCATGGGCAAAGTTAAGTCTGAGTTCAGATGTAGGGGTGAGGATAGAAAGAACGAAGAATGTGCTACGAAGACCAACATCCCAGAATGGCCAGGCAGTTCTTCAGGCTGCGCTTTCTCATCTCTTTGCTGGTTGCAGGATTAGACTGCGAGAAGCAGTGTCTTCCAGTATTTAAAACAAACGAAAAATACACCTTCCAGGGACAGAAGCATGTGAGAAACAGATGGTTCAGTCAAACTTCCACTAAACAGTGATAACTATAATTTCTTGCTCTTCTCTATAAGCCTTTTTGTCGTTTTAGAAAATGACTCAAAGATTCTTTCAAATCAGACTGTCCAGTCTACACAAAAACATTACTGAGTTTAGTAACTACAGTGAAATCATAGTTCTTGTATAACAATGGAAAAAGTGAGCTGGTTGAACTTTTCTAGTTAATGTCTAGGAAATATATTGCAATGTGTACGGCCAACAGTAAGTTTTATTTCATATCTAAGATAGCACTGTTTAATACTCAAATAGTTTTCTTCATTTATTTCTACTTTGACAGCGAAAAGGAAAGAGATAAAGAACAGGAATAAAAAATAATGTCATATAAGTCACTCTCTGATTCTGGAAATAAAATATTTTAATTCAGTTTCACTTAAAAAATAAAAGTAGTTTCTTACTCCCACACTGAGCACATTAACATTTTCACATACAGAAAGCCTAGGTACATTGAAATATTTAAAAGACATATCTTCACATAATACAATTACATTCACATGAAGTATATAAACTTATATAATTGTATATATTCGTGACTTTTGCATCTGGTACTTTTACAAAACTAACACATAATATGCTTATTTTCTAAAAGTCAATTCTTAGATGATGATCTAAAGTTAGGAGAGTCTCATGAAGAATTTTAATAGTTGTGTTCATATGAGAATTCAGTAATTGCCTAAACGTAAGCTTCAAACTAAAGTTTTAGCAATTTAAGTGACCTGACTGGCAATGCATGGAATTCTTATCAGATTGTACCGTTTGGTTTACAGTTTAAGTCATTTCAAGTGGTTTCTAATTATTTGTGCATTAGGTAAAAAGCACCAAGGATAATAAATATTTTTTCACATCACAGATGAAATCACAAAACAATGATCTCAATATCCTTTCAAAATCTAATCATTTGAAAAGAGCAAATGTTCAATCTTTAAGCTTTCTTCGTGAGATCAACTGATACACTAGAGATAAGAATGGAAATGCTAAAAAAAGAGGTGCTATACATAATATCTACTAACTACAGAATTCAGACATTCTTCTCACATTGATATCCATTTCTGAACTGATTTCCTTAGATCTAAAAAGAACTCTGAAAATAAGTGTAACATTTATAAATTTGTCAACTATATCTCTTAAAAAAAAATAATCTAAAGCTGTCTTTCTTCCCAACACATGAAGCAAAAGTTTCCTGATGAGCAAAAGCACCTTATGGTAAGGAAATATATAAAGAAAGTATTTTCTACAAATTAATATAGAAATTTATGTACATAAAGGTGTAGTTATCCCAGCTGTATATGTAATATTTTAAATAACACACAATAAAAAAACTCAAAGCACATATTGAAAAAATAACCCATATGCTAATACTCCAGTTATTAAATATTGCAGCATATCTGTAATTCTAACAATTGGGGGTAAAAGTTTCTAATCTAAATGATCAATGAAATCTCTTTGGAAATACACTTAAAAAATCTGCAATCAGTAATCCTGACTGCCAAATTCTAACCCAAGCTATAGGTTTTACAGCTAAGATAAAATCTCATGAAAATGAAAGTGTATATAGAGGTCACCTCACAGATTCTTGAGTAAACAGCATTATTGATGGGACACTGGTACAAGCTAGCTGGGCTTTTCTGTCCTTGTCTTTACCAAGGGCACATGGTAAACATAACATTAAGAATGACAGACCTTCCTCACCATAACTTTTGCTGCTCATAAAATGTTAATGAACATTGTCTTAAACTTTTCAAGATCATGAGAAAAGTTCCTTACCTGAATATATATGATGAATTCTCTAGATTTAACATATTTTAAAATGAATTCAGAGATGTATAAGGGGAAACATAAACTACTTGCTTTGACAGTTTTCAGCCAAGGTTTATTATGTGTCCTTTTACGTGATTTTTATATATTTAAGGAGTTCCAGCTTCTGCTAAGATTTCATTTCTTTTTCCCTGTGGTTTTTTTGTGTTCATGCATTTCTGCTTTGTTAGTTATATTCTTTTTTCGAGATGAGGTATTAGGAACAACTGCATTAGAAGGTCCGCTGGTAGCTATACAAAAAGAGAAAAACTATTGCTTAGATTTTCACAAGCAATTCATGTTCAAATAATACTGCTAAGTGACAAAATAATTAATTTTAATTGTGATATAAATGAAACATTGTAAACACTCAATAGAGCATTTTTAACCTTTTAACTTTTTAGAATTCAACACCAATACAAAAAAGTAATGTCAATGGGCTGGGTCCACAAAACAAATTCCTCTTTTCACTCTAGGTTCTTCCTGGAAAACTAATTTATTCATCATTTTTAACTACCGTCTATTGTGCTAACAATCTTCAAATGTGCACTTCTGTTCCGGGTCTTTTCCCTTACTTCAAGATTTGTATACCCTGTATATCCTACTAGAAATCTCTGTATAGATAATTGACAGGAAACATAGTATGTTTTAAACTGAACTCATCATTTCCCTATAAACATCTACTTTCTACTCTATCTCTTATGTCACCACTATTTAAAAAGTCTGAAGGTGGGGCGCCTGAGTGGCTTGGTCGGTTAAGCATCTGCCTTCGGCTCAGGTCATGATCTCAGGGTCCTGGGATCGAGACCCGCATTGGGCTCATTGCTCAGTGGGGAGTCTGCTTCTCCCTCTCCTCCCTGCTTGTGAGCTGTCAAATAAATAAGTAAAATCTTTAAAAAAATAAATAAAAATTCCGAAGGTTAGAAAACTATAAACATTCTTCACTTAGAAATCATCCTTCTATATCCAAACCCAAATCAAGCCCTAATGAGTTACTAAAAAATTATTCTAAGCCAGATTCCACTTCCAGTATGGATGGGAAGCTTCTGTCAGACCAATTCTCCTACAGATAACAAGTATAAACTTTGGATAAAATATGAAAAACAACCATTTGAAGACACTGAAGAGTAAACAAAAGCAGGCGAATACTGGAATAAAATCAACACTTGGAGGAAGGGAACTCATGTTGAGTCCCCCCAACACACACAGTTTTTAAAAAGATTTTGGCCTTAAAAAAATGGGGTGCCTAGGTGGCTCAGTCAGTTGAGTGTATGACTCTTGATTTCAGCTCTGGCCATGATCTCAGGGTTGTGACCACATTGCTCTGGGTGTGGAGCCTGCTTGGGATTCTCTCTCTCCCTCTCCCTTTGCCCCTCTGTTCTACCCACCCTCCCCCTGACCCCGCTCATGGCTCACAAGCTGTTTCTCTCAAAAAAAAAAAAAAAAAGAAAGAAAGCTTTTGGCCTAAGGACAGTAACCAGAGTATCCAGTCTCAACCATGTGCAATTACTAAAACTCCAACATAGAACTCATTCTTAGTAGCATGAAGAACCAGAAGATAAGTATTGGAGCAACTATAGCTGCTGGAAGTCAGGTGGGAGATCCCAGAAAGGGAAAGCCCCCAATTCTTTGTATAAACTTGATCACATTTATGTCATGAGCAGGGTAAGCTCCAAGAAGTCCAGCTGAGGCTAAAAGAAATGAAGTGAAATGTGAGCTGCCAATGACTTGAGGGGACACAGTTTTGCAATCTGTGTTCAGCCAAGGTTATTCCAGAGTTCATTGGTATCATGTTCTGTCAGTACCCATTAGGTCAGAATTGCTGATAATCTTACACGATAATTTATATTTAAGATACTAAGATATTAAGATTTATATTTAAGATTTCAGTTGTCTGTACCTGCATATTCTGATTAGTTGGAATATACTAAGTTTAAATATATTTAAGATACTGCCTTTAACTTGTAAGGCCTGATAATCTGACAGAGCTATAATTAATTAGGTATAAATATCAAGTCAGTAGTAGAGTGTCATTGGAGTTCTTGTTTTGGTAATCATATAAATACATCACCAGTGGCGGGGGCTGGGTTGGGGTTTGAAGAGTGGGAAGTAAGGGGAGAACATTTTTGAAGAAGAAAAATGACCTGAGTGTCAAAGGGATTTATTTGGGGGGAAGTGAACAACACTATAACAACAATGGCAGCTAACATTTAGTGAGTGTTTACTGTGTGTGTCAAGTACTTTACATGTATTATTGGATTCATTTCTGACAACCTTTAAAAGAGGCACTATTACCCTAATTTTATGACTATGAAACCGAGGATCAGAGAAGTTAAGTAATTTACCCAAGATCATATAGCTAACAAGTAGTAGAGCTGAGATTTTAATCTAGGTTCCTCCCACTCCCAAGCACAAACTCTTAACCAAAAGAATATTTGAGAGCACTAACATGAGGAAAAGAATTAAGAGATTTCCAGTGAGGATACAGTCAAAACCTCGGAGCTATCTAGAATTCTCTGAAGAAAAAAAAATGTAAGGTAAGAAAAAAGGGAGCCGTTGAATGTCCTTGTTTGGCATAGGAAAGTAGGAAGAAGAATGACTGTCAAACAAGAAGAGTAGAAGAATCAGATAAAGGGAAAGAGCACCAAGACAGAGTACATTGTGGAAGTCAGAATAAGATTTCAGGAAGGATCAATCACACAATCAAATATGCCAAAAAGTAAAAACAGAAAAAAAGTCGGGGCGCTTGGCTGGCTCAGTTGGTAGAGTGTGACTTTTGACCTTGGGGCTGTGAGTTCAAGTCCCAGGTTGGGTGTAGAGATTACTTAAAAAATAAAATCTTACAAAGAACAACAACAACAAAAAAAAAGTTGACTGAGAATGGGGAATTAAGACACTGTAAAAAAAGAGAAAAAAATTTCATATAAAATGACTAAAATAATGCCTAGGCTCAAAAGAAAAGCAAAAAGTTCATAAGTTGGTTTGCAGAAAAGTATCAGTATGAAATATATTTTATTAACAGATACAGGGGTGGGAGAGACAACAGAGAAAAAAATATAAATACACCAATAAACTAAAATAACAGTTTTTAACTCTAGGAATTGTAATGATCCTTCCTAAAAACAGATTTTAAACTCAAAAAGCAAGCTATTATTACTCCTCTAATTGTATACAGAATCCATAAATTCACACACAGTTCTAACCTGGTTTGCTGCTTGCTTTTGTACTCTTTAAGGTAGCTGGTGGTGTTGGGAGGATCTTTGCAGGTGTATATGTATTTAAAGATATTTTTCTTCTCATTACTGGACTGGAACGCGAAGCTGTAGAGGCTGGAAAAAAAAAAAACCAGATATGGCAGTTTGATTATTTCTGCCAAGTTCTTACATTTTAGAAATTTCTAATGACATATTTAGTGGACTTATGAATATACATGACAGGAGAAAATAGACAATGTAAGGCTTATGGAGTAAATGCAGCAAAATCTTATCTTTCCTATAAAAAGTTCTCTCATGCTCTTAGCCAAAGAGATGTTCTGTTTCTACTGTAAATAATAAGCATTTAACAGTCTTTACCAAAGGTATGCCAAAAAGAATAGAGCAACAGACATAATTTTATACTGCCTTGATAGAAACTCAGATTCTTAAGGAATGGCAGAGAGCTTATGACAGTTTTACTGCCTGGTTAAAAAATAAAAATAAAAAAAAAAGACAGGGTCCCAAATTCTTTTTCTCTTAAAAATATGAAGTAGAGATTCAGGGATAGTTAATTTATAGACACTATGGTCTATTAAACTATTATATTTAAGAATAAACTAATAGATTATAAGTAATAAAATAAATCAGATTGTCTTCCTCTATTATCTAGTTGAGGATTTATCTTAATGAAAGGGAATTTTAAAGATTTTTTTTTCTTTCTAATCATAGTGGGGCAATTAAGAGGTGTGACAAGGAAAAGTAGGGATAATTCTTAAGTATGAATTCCTCTGGGGAAGGATAGGTCAGAGCAGGAGAACTACTAGCATGAGCTTCTGAGTTCCTAACCGAAGGGAGGTGGGGAGTTAACAAAAAACAAGATTTGCCTGTTTCTGCAATTTGGGGGGAGGATATGATAGCAATAAACAGTATGTCTCTGAAAAATAAATATGTGGGCCAATTATAACAACTGTGCCTTAGATGGCTGATATCTATCTACACTGAATGAATATAAATCCCAATGGCAGAAGTTCCAAGTTTAATGACATAATACACAAATGATGAAAAAAATCCCTAAAGTACCATGTAAAGCACTATACCACTACTAAGTCTTTCCTGCCTGTATATTTTATCCTGTTAACTTCCATCTCTAACTTATCCAATTAGCATTTCCACAGCTTCCCCCCATCTGATTCTGTTAGTGTCCCATTGTAACCTATCTACTAGCTACCACAAAATTGATTAATTTTGTCCTAAGTGAGGAAAAAGCCTTTCTGAATGACTGAGGATTAACAACGTCAGCTTCTTTGTTATAAACAGCACAAAATCAATAGAGTCTATATTACGATGCTAATTCCTTGACAATTCAAGGAATTAAGTATAAATAATGTAAATATCCTGTGATTACTATTAATTCTGCAGTTACAGTATAAAATGTAGGTTTCAGATAAATTTTATTATAATTGGCATCTATTTTCTTTACTATTCAAAAAGAATTTAAAAAACCATACACTTTAGAAGACCTGGATTTTAGTCTTGCTTGATCACTAACTTCTTGATTTCCTCAATGGTGTCTAAGTTTTTTTCTTTAAACAGTAAATTTTTCCCAAATGAAATCTTAAATAAAATGGATGAAAACAGATACTCTGGTTGAAGCAGCCATGCAAGACATAAGGCCTGACCACTCAGCATCTTCTTCCTCATGGAACTTCCAAAGCTCTTGGGAATACAGATTGAAGACCAATGAACCAGATGGACTCTAAGGTTTATCCAATTCTATGAACTGCATTAACTGTATTTACGTTCTCATCTAGTTCCCTTAGTAAGTAATGGCAGGAAATTTTAGAAGAGCTACAGGGCTTGAGGTACAACTTGTACCCATGATATAGAGAAGAGCTAACCTGAAATGGAAAAGGAATTTAATATCCTTCATTAATACACCTCAATAATATACAATGATGAACTGAATTCATTAACCCCAGAAATAAAGCCAACATAATATAACAGCATCACAGAATATAACTTCAAAGATGATCTTTTTGTAAATATTCCACAATTCTCTTCCCAAAACAGCTGTCATTACTGCTATTTCCCTTGTCATTCACTGAAAATCTTCTAAAGTCTAAATAGCATTGATATCTATCCTAAGTTCTAATTTAATAATTAGAATCTTTCCTTCATCTCTATTTTAAGATTATAAATCCTTACCCCAGGGAAGAAGTGAAACATCAAGTATAAAGGGGGTAAAGGGTAAACGAAAATTCATTCAGGTTCTCTACTGCAATCTGAGGAAAAGCATTGTCCATTCTATCAGCTAACAGAGAAGAAAGGGAGATGAACATTCTTGGTTTTCCTAACTTTGACTTCATAGAGCTTAGAGAAGTTATTTCATTTGGAGTATTACCAGTTCTCAGAATCAGACACATTCATATGCAGATTTTGAAATCAAAACCTACTTCCTAAAACCATTCCTAAAAGTATTTTAGAATGCCCAGATATCTCTCCATTACTGTTAATGATTCAATGTTGACCTCCACTACCAGAAGTGTAAGAAAAGGGAAGCCACTATACTGCAGAAATGCAGGGGGCACCATTCAGACAGAATACAATGTGAACAGAACTCTCTAGAATCATACAACGTGGTAGTCAGAAAGGGAAGAGGAAAACAGCAACACGTGAAAATGGCTTTCATTCCCAGACCTCCAATTTCATTCTTCAGAGAAAGAGATTTACAGTATGCACCTTATGAAAAGGAGAAAGGTATACATTGAAAGTTTGTGACTTTCCGAAGATATGACTAGCCCCAGCAAGATTCTTAACAGAGCATGCTCTCCCCAAACTGGATGCTTCCTAAACTGGAAATTCCAGCGTGCTGACGGATCTTATAGAGCTGAGAATGACAGCAGTCAGCTGACTTCTCACACCCAAAAAGGTAGCCCTAAGGGTTTCCCAAAATGATGTCTCTTACAAGAGTGCTATAGAATGTTTAAATGTGTCAGCAAAAATGTGCTTTCTCAAAAAATAAGTTTTGGAAAATCTGGGTATACAGCTTTCCTTACAGAAGAACCTTAGCTATTTCTACACTAATATAACTCTATCTCTCCAAAGAGAGGTAGAATATAATATACAGTTTCCAAAACTTACTGAGCCATGAATCCCTTTTCTTCAATGAATGAACCTTTTCAGAATATTTTCTGAAGAACATAACTTGAAAACCCTTTTGTCCTAATTTGCTCTCTTTAGTCAAGAGCTCCTTCTCAATCAGAATGACTACTTACCAGAGCTGTTGTGGGGATAGACATGTGTGCATGTGTGGGTTTAATGACAAATGATATTTTGCAATTTTTAAAAAGCTTATAAAATAACACACGATAAGAATGTGGAAAAAGACCATGACTCTATATTGTTGACTTCTATTGCTGGGTCTTAGATTTTTCTTTTTCCTTTTTGGAAAGAAAAAGATTTTTGGGAAGAGTCAAGAAAAGTGGCACACTGCATAGTAATTACACCAAAGAATTCCAAATAATGTTCCTTTATACCCCCTTTCCTCGTAAAATTCTATTCACTACCACTAGTTGAGTTTGTTGTTATAATTCTTTTTATATTCAGATAATATCTACTGCCACAAAATAACAATAATAATAGTAATAAAAATAATTTTCCTACAAATTTCAGGGGTCTTCCGTGGAACTTCACTTGATGGAGAAGCAATGGAAGCAAGAAATTCATCCACCTGCTTTAAAGACAGGGCATTGTGAAGAGTCTCTAGAGGACAAATAGATGGCACCATGGAATACAACTCAAAGCCTGAAAAAAAGAAATGAAGAAAATTTGGATATTTAAAAAATCTTTAATTAAGAAGGAAGATGACCATTGCTTAGAACTGTATGGGTTAGGTCTTTCCAATCTATCACATGCAAACACATGAGATCTCTGAAGTCATGACACCAGATGCTATGCAATATGGGATTGGAACAAGATGTGACAAAGATTTCATTTTAAATGTAATCACATAGTACAGCATGCACACAATTTCATTCTATATTTTGGTAAAATCTAAGAAGGATACTTAAAGAAAAAACCTGGGGGGAAAAGCAGAAAACATTATATTGTTTCAGTTTTTACTTTAAAAAATCAGGTCGGGCGCCTGGGTGGCTCAGTTGGTTAGGCGACTGCCTTCGGCTCAGGTCGTGATCCTGGAGTCCCAGGATCGAGTCCCACATCGGGCTCCCTGCTCAGCGGGGAGTCTGCTTCTCCCTCTGACCCTCCCTCCTCTCATGCTCTCTCTCGCTTTCATTCTCTCTCTCAAATAAATAAAATGTTTAAAAAAAATAAAATAAAAAATCAGGTCTACTTGATAGGTGAATAAGTTGATGCCATGATGTGTCCCTTATGCCAGAATGCTAAAATTAACTTCTTGTTGAAGAATAATTATGTTGTAATTACTTGTGAAGAGTCATTTAAATTAGCTTTTCTAGTCATACCAAGGCCAACAATACTCTCTAGTGTGACCTGAAAACAACATTCATTCATTTATGCTGAAAATGAAATTTCAAAACACATTGTACCTACCTTTATTGAATTAACTCAATAATTCTATTGTTGAAATTGCTAGCTGAGTAAAGTCAGGCCAAGTAAAAAGCAATACAAAATACAGACATGTTTGCATTCAATAATGGCACAGAAATACAAAAATTTCATGAAACAAATCATGCACATATATATTAATACCATCAGTGAAACAAAAATGCTTAAATATACAGGTCTTTTTTTAAACAAATAGAATATAGGTTATTTGCTTTTTATAAAAATTGCCTGTTCATTTAAACTTTATTCAACTGAATGGCTTTTAAAATTGCTTTCATACACAACTGAAATAACAGGTCCTTTTGCATCTACTCTTTCCAAAATCCAAACTAATTTTCCTCCAAAGAAAATACTTTTAATACTTAAATTAAGATTTTATATAAAGGCTAATATTATTAAATAAAAAGTAAAAATTAATTAAACTCGAACAGACTGCAAAGCTCTCTGCTTCAATAGGCATGTGCTCATTTTAACACTGGCTGATATTTACTTAATTTGGGGAGGAAAAGGTGACCTGAGAACCGCCTAAGTCTTGGCTGAAGTAGGGAAACTATGGTTGAAAGAGAATCTAGTCTTCCTATGAAAATAACAAAAAGGTTTATAAAACTGGTATGTTTGATTTTCAGGTGCAAACCAAAGCATGACGGAACATTACATATACTCAAAAACAAACAAAACAGAAACTATACCGTAACAGCAGCTAAAGCACCTAAATTAAGCACTAAAAAAATTAGGCTTGCACAAGTATTACATTTTTTTAAAGTACAAGATTCATGCAAATACACGCAAACCCTTTCTTTGCAATACACTAAACTTAACAAGATGATTTTTTTTATCCTTTCGTCAGAATGTTTTGTAAGTGTTTTATAACAACTATTTCCTTGCCTTTGCCTGTTAGATTTTCTAACAGGCAAATAACAATATAATCAAGTTCCTCTGGTGACACATTTCCCCACTTATCTTTAGTAAACTGTATTTAATGCACAATGAAAGGGTTAGCGCAGCAATTTAAAAAGCCACCCTGCTGTCATGTTTAGAAGCTATAAAAACATACCACTGGAGCCTAGACATTCCACAGAGGAAACGGACCAGCACCTATAGAGGTGTAGGTGTTCTGCACAGAGGCCCAGAAAATAAGGTAAAGCACTGTCAGAAGATACTTGTTTCACCATGTTCCTTGAACTAAAGATGAAGGGAGGGGTAAGTCCATGATATGTATTAAGATGGAAATAACATAAAAGTTAGGGGAAATAAAAAGTGAAAGAGTCAAATGACAATTCATAGGACAGATAAGACAACACGTATAAAAAAGAAAAAAAAAATCTTGACAACCCAAAAGAAACATTTCTAGAGTTGAAAGGAATGCATTTATATGCATTAAGTCACATGTGTGGAAAACCCACATTTAAAAAAAAAGTCTTAGCCAAAGGAATATAAAGTTACTCTATTATCTGTTAAATTTAACAAACTTTTTTTTTTAAAGCTTCAATAAACACAGATTCCTCCTATAAAAAAAAAAACTTGCAACACTGGCTATAAATACATAAGCATTCTGCATAAAAACTATAGTCAGTCTTAAACCTGTAATGTTTCTTCTTAGAATTTTGTGGCTTCTGTTTTTCTTGTAACTTTGGTTTTTCTTCTAAGAGGTTCTTATGCATGTGGATTCCTTAGAAGCTGCAGCTGTATCAAATAAGGATCTTTTTCTTCAGAAAGTAGCATTTAAAGAGCTACAAAGGAGGGAAAGCACATTAGGCTTTAAGGCTAAGTTTTCTCTTGTTGAGGATGAGATCTTCTTACTCCACCTCCAGGAAGTATTTAGTACACTGTTATTTAAGTGTGCTGTTAAAGGATCCAGAAAGGGGAGAATGACCATAAGCTGTGTTTAATTCTTCAGTTTCATATAAGTTTTTGAAAGACTTGATGCGAGTTTTTGAAAGATTTATTTGCAGTCAAAAAGAAAAAAAATTTCCAGGGGATAAAAGTACCTTCATTCGGAATAAAAGCAAAAATCTGTATGTTTTCTTCTAAATTCTTTGACCCTCAATTATTTAAAAATGATCAGTAAATACTCCCTCTTGTCCCATAAGAACAAGCTCTGTGTAGGAAAGCTGTAATAGTGCAACCATTCAGTTTATAAACAATGGCCACGAAACACTTCACTGTTCAGCCTCAGAAATTGATTTAATTGAATTAGCTTTCTAGATTTTTAGCTTAGTCTCCTTCCTATTGTGAGTTCTCCAAATTTTAACAAAAAGCAGTGGTACCAAAAAAAACTGGTTGCTTCACAAAAAACTGGTTGCTTGACAACAGCAAACCATATTGCCACATGAAAACAAAGTGAATGCTAGATGAAGTTTTCAGAGTGCTCCAGACCAAACTGAATTTTGCTTATGACAAAGAGCCATAGATAAATGATGTTACACAGTGAAATCTGCATCTCCTAGTTCCCAAGAACTTTTCAAAGACACATCTCATTTGGCTATTTGATAAGTTGTGGCTCTGTATTTTTATTAAGTAACTCAATAAAACAACCATGTGATCAGAAAATGAATTAGAAATAAAAAAAACATTAAAATGATTAGGAATTAAAAAGAAAACAAAGAATATTAATTGTATTTTTAAAATTTGTGTAGACTGATCACTTGAGAAATTAGAAGGGATTTTTACGTGCTAGTTTAGTATTAAAACTCATCATCATTGTGGTCATTTAAAAGTTTGATGAGTGACGTTAAATGGTTGTGTAAATTATAGCTGAAAAAGGGAGCTAGACAGTATCAATGCTTCAGGTGAGTAAGTTGGAATTATATGCCAACTGAAATTAAGAATGGAGAAATGAATGATACTGTATACCCCACAGTTTGAAATAAAAGAAAAATAAAAAAGGATGAAGCAGGGGAGTATCTTTTAAAATAAAAGCAAAACGTACCATTGGTTGGGTGTCGAGCAAATGAGATAGAAAACCTTTTAACAGCAGAACCGCGTGTGGCGTCTGAGAAAGAGAAAAACAGGTACCTGAAATTCGTAACAGCTACCAAAAGAAGAACACTTAAAAAAAGAGGGAAAAAACAAATATATAAGGAGGTTAGAATTAGGTGACATGCAGAAGGGAATGAGAGAGGGTACTGGTTAAAAGTAAAATGGCTTGATGATAGAGGCAAAGTGTTTAATGAAATATATAAAAGAAAAGCAGGATGAGCCAGCAATTCTGGTAAATCCATGTTTTACTGACTTAAGCAAAATTGTGGATACATGAGAAAAAGTTTTAAATAAAGCTAATCCTGAAAGGGCTAATAAACACTCCTATTAACAGAAGGCACAAGCTTCCATGAGCCTCCAAAGACAATCTGAATATTAACACTTAAGGTACTTTAACAAGAATGAGAGGCTCTCCAATTAGGGATTCTAAAACATTCTCATGCTATGTTTATTTTTATAAAAATATTGCCAAAATATTTTCTTCTATTTATAAACATTCCCTTCACTTTATTTCATTTAGATCACTATCAGTAAGTAAAATGAGGGATAACAATGAACAAAAGTTTAAAAGATCAAAGACTTATTCTTTCTAATATGGCTTACTGACTGTCTAAAAGACCGATACATATGATGCAGTTCTAAATTTCACATTTCAACAAACTATTCATTGAGTAAGTACTGTGTGTCTAGCCACAACTAACTCTGATGAAACACGGATCCAAGCCATGGCTGAGAGAGCAGTGACTGTCACTTAGGCGCTAGGTGTCACCAAAGGGTACTAGGATTCCAGCTGAATCAGTCAGTGGACGTAGGCTTGCCTTTGAGAAGTACTGTATGCTCATGGGTGTGTGCATGGGTGTCTATATGAATCTGTGTGTGCATGTGTGCACATACCATCTATGCAGCCAGAAGAAGTCAGCTTTTTACGATGAGTACGAGCATAATCCTGTAGGTTAGGTGCGCTTGAAGAACCCCCGAGCACCGAGGTGCTAAACAGGCCCGCACAGTGAGACCCTGATGGGAGTTAGAGAAAATACATACACAACGGGTGTTCTTCCATTCACATTGGGAATTCATGCAGCATGCAATAACATGGCTCTTACCACACTTATCTGGCAGTGCCTTGAATAGACTTACAATTCACTTGTAATGTCAACTTTAAAATAATCACCACTACCACTTGTCATATGTACAAATGAGGGTCATTTAACACTGGATAAAATATTGCCTTTGAGAAAAATAATATATCTACCCCATAATTAGAAATATACATATTAAAAGTATTAAAAATACTACTAGGAATTAATTTAGGTTGGTAAGGGATTCTGTCAGTTTGCATGAACAGGTCATATAAGAAACCTCTCCTAACACAAATCTAGTCATAACAGATCAATATTTTTTAATGTATGTCTATAAATGAAGAATCTTTTCTGATACCCTGAGTTAAGAATCATCAATGTATGTTATGAAATAAAGCAAATTAAAGCTTACTAATCTGTGAGAAGACCATTTGAGAACAATTCCTTGTAGGTCATCCAGGCCAAAATCACCTTAAATTTCTAATACTTAAATGACTTCAGATCTTAAGTAATAAGACCCCATAAAACACGTTATTAGCAAATAAAACACAGTATAAACTGATGCTTAATTTGTAGCAAAAGTCTTTAAACCCAAGGAAAACTTCTATCACTTGGTAAAGTTTAAATAAATTTCTATCAAATATATTATGATACATAAAGGAAGACAATGTGGGAATATTAAAAGCTATCAACATAAGCTATATGTAATTAACTAAAGAAGATCCTCGAGTAAATAGGCATCAACAAACAGTTCATATACTTAGTATGTAGATCAAAGTACATAAATAGTTGAACCTTATTTATGCTTTTAATAAACCTGTTTAGACAACTATTTATAGAGAAAATACTATGCCATCATGTTTATCAACAATGAGCTCAAAACTAGTAAGCTTAGAAAGGTCTTTTTCAATAATGTTGCTTTGCAACACTATTTGCAAAGAACCAATTATGTTCTATAGGTCAGTAATGACTAACAACGGCCCCTAGACATTAGTTTTGCTTTGGTTTTCCTTAGGAGATAATCAAAAGGAAAAATTAATACACCAAGAAGGGGTTTAAAACATTCCCCACTTAAAAAAAAACTTTTTTTATCAGAAAAGAAGGTTCTTTTTTTTTTCTTTTTAGTAGGCAATAGCATATTTACAATTTTATCAACTGGGAAAAATGATGTTTCCTTCCTAAATTAAAATATTTTGGGATTTTGATTTATAGAATACAAGATTAAAAACTAGCATTGGCAATTGGACTAAGTAGTTTACACTGCGGACAGTCAAAACAGTTATAAATCAAATTAAATGCTATTTCTTGTTCATTTTATTGCCACTTTACTATATACTTTGAGTTGTACAACTTAACATTTTTTAATTAGTATATGTTAAATAAAAACTAAAGCATAGCATTTGGTCATGCTTTCATCACTGACGAGTTTTACATGTGTGCGGAAGAGTGAGTTGAAGAAGGTTTGGAATATAATTTCCTTTAGACCACATACCTACAGTAGGGTTCTGCTTTTCCACAAGAGTTCTTGGTGTTCGCAGGTAATTAGCATTTTCAGATACAACCTGCGCAAGGAAAGCAAAATAAATGAGGTAAAACAGTAAAATCAATTCAAAAGTCCATACTTCATTTGCAGCCTGTTCCAGACAGACAAAGGTTAATAAGCTGTATGATAAATATTAGTAGAAATACATAAAACATGAAAGATCATGCAAGATCCCCTTCTGAAGGGAGTCCATTTCATATGAAGTCCTTGCAATGAAGTGGTGCGAGGCAGGCATTCAGAATGAAATATCATGTATGAAATAAGACAGATGAAAAGAAACAATTAATAGATTGATATAATTTCACTCTTAAAAGAAGCCAAATGCCCACTCTTAAACAGCTCCTGTATTTGAAGGGGGGAAAAACAATCACAAACAAAAGAAAAGACAGACAAAGACTGTTGAGGTCACCATACAATTACTGATCCATGCACGGGCTTTATCAGAGTAACCTTTAAATATTCACAGCCTTAATGGATACCATAATCCCTTTTCCTATAATCAAATGCATTCTATTTCCAAAAGGAAATTGCTGAAATTCTTGGAAAAGTCATGTGTAACAGCAGACCTTCCATTCTCAAAACAAGAACAAAAAAAATCCTAGTATTTTAAATTTCCAAATGTCATCACAGAAAGTCCTTCTGAAGTCCTTTTATTTTGACCCATATTACTGATGGGCACCTATACATTGCATCCTCATATAAAGAGAGCATTAAAATATTATACAATTCAAAATACCCCCACTGTATGTATCCCTTAGATACTTCCAGATAATGGAATAGTGAGGGAGAGAACAATTAATATTAGGTGTACCCCGCTAATTAACACAGGACCACATAAATTTTGATATTTTAAAAAATGTTTATATTCTCAGCAAATTCCAAATGGAATCTAATTTTTCAGTTATGGGGGAAAAGGTTATTAAATTTTCTTACCATCAAATTACATAATTTTGTTTCTGAATGTTTTAAAGGACAACTATGCCAAAAAAGATTTCTTTCCTTTTTAAAATTTTTTATTAACACACTAAAGTTCCAGGAATGGAAAATTATTGATTAATTTTTAAATCCTGGATATTTAAAACCCTCCTAGTAAAAATCCTAAAACACATGCAATGTAAGAGGTTTCTTTCTCTCAAATATTGTCAGGTATCACAAGTATTTTTAAATGAACTGAAAATTAAAATACAGAAGGATTTACTCTGATGCTAAATATAAGGGATTAGATGTCCTCAAAGACAGCTGTTTGTTGCTCTGAATGCGGGTAGGAAAATGTTTAATGAAGTAAAGTTTAAAAACCTGTTGCCATGAGCCAAAAATACTGGATGTGAAAGCCAATGATTTGGGGGAGACAGGGGAAGAAGTGATTTGTTCCCCTGATCTGCGTCTTCGACGCCCAGTACCCACACCACTGGTATAATGCAGCCAGGTACCAGTACCCTCTGGGCTAGACACACTCAGGGGGCTCTCTTCCTGGAAGTGAGAAAGGGGGCAAAAAAAAAAAAAAAAAAAAAAAGCAGAGCATGCAAAGTTAGATACAACAGAGCCAAATGATCAGAAAGAAAAAAAAATACAGTTTGTTCGCATTTGTTTATCAATTTTTTAAAAAACTATTAAACAGTAATTTGGGAGCCAAATATTTCAAATATTTGAGAAATTCATAGGAATGACTTAGAAATCTAATTGTATGTGATAACAATTGTAAGAATTACCTTATCTTCAATTTACAAAACATTTATACTGCTTAATAGTTGTCCCTTCTCTCTTAAAGCTGGAAAGATTTAACACTTTTCTGTCTTAGCAACTTTTAAAATATAAAAGTATTCTGCTTAATTTTAAATATTCAAGACATTCTGTGCTATACTGGGTAACCTTCCAACCCAGAGCGCTAAAGAATTGTGCAAAGGGTTAGAGAAGTTTCAATTTATATGATGTAGAAAAGAAAACCTGTCTGCCAGACACTTAAAAAAAGAGGTAAGATAGATTCAAATTGCACTTGTCTCCACTTTCAAGCTATTTGTTTGTTTACCCCCTCCAAAGATTATTTATAGAATTCAGTAAGCAAAACATGCAGCAAACATTATCATTTACATGTTTGCATGTTCAGGTTTCAGACAGTGAGGACAGAGTAAAATCTACTTGCACAAAATGAAGAGAATAGTCTTTTTCTCTGTGTGTCTTTTGGAAGTACAAACTTCTGATATCCATGGAGATGGTGGACGCTGGAAAAAGTCTTCAAGGTTTTACTTGAATAATTTACCTTATGGAAGTAAAAGTTTAGCATGGCATAGAAATAATCTCTTGAAAGCAACTATTTAAGTATTTATGAGAAGAAGGTTTATAAATGTGTTCTGCATCTTAAGAATTAACAAAGGGCAGTGATTTTGTTGATTTTACAAATACAAATGTGTTGCAAAATGAAGACTCACAACACATTTGGCTGTATCAGTGTTATAAGCTTTTTGGGGTGCAGAAGAAAGTTTAATGGTGAAATTTTGAACAATCTGAAATTTGCAGATTGCTTTGTTCAACATCAAAATCACTGCCCTTATACAGATGGTAATTTAAGTTATATTAATGTCATTTCCCAATTTTCTGAAATTAAAGATACCTGAACATAACCCCAGGTTTCTCATTTTTAAATTAAGCTATACTAGAACACAGTCCCAAATTCTACAGCTGTTAGTCATCCTCTTTTTATAATTAACTTATAATATCACAATCATAGAAACCCTAACTAGTATACAATTTCCATTTTAAAAGTACCACAATCTCTTTATTGATGGATGTTTTTCCTATACATAATTGTCAAATTGGGTAACATATTTATTTGAAATTTGAGCACTGTTGTTTGTATAATTTGAGGTAACAGAAATGAGCATAATTCTGTTTTGTTGTTTAAGTTCTTACTCACCAACTGCTAGTTAAATGTTATACTTAACTCTTATGACTTGGCATATTTCATTATTAACAAAAATATTTTTCTAACTTAAAAGTTGATGGTTGTTTCTAGCTTAAAATCTTGCTCTATACTTTTACTCGAGCATTTAGAAAATATTTATAAGCACTAATCTCAATCAGTGCTGGGAGAATCATCCTATAGAGAATATAGATAACCCAAAATATAGGTATTTGAAGTATAAAAATGCACACTGGTGTTAAAGAGTTACTTAACAAGCTACATTCCAACTGTTCAGCTTTCTTGTTAAATCTTATTTTAGTAGTTATTTAAATGTTATTCTACTAGAGAACACAAGAATTAGCCTTATTAATTGTAGATCTTAATACAAAAGGTAAAATTTTCAAATATCTCTTCAAATTTTCAAATTCCTAATCTGATTTTTGCAATCAGACTAACAACTTAGAATTTCACATCTTAATCTACAGTGTCATTAGAATCAGTCGTTGTTGAAGCATTTCTGGCAGTTCCTCTCTACTTTCAGGTGAAAATTATTCTCTGCATATTAAATCAGACTTTTAAAAAAGTTCTTTATTAGAATAACCTAACGTGACAGGACAAGAAAATAGATGAGTTCATAGAAAGGTCTTATTTTACTATGTCTATTCAACTTTGTTATGAAAACTATACATAAAGCTACAGGTTCTTAAATCAATCTCTTTTTTAATGGCCTCTGTATTTTAAAAATATTTATTAGAAAAAGAGGCAAAGTTGACAATTAAAAATCTGTTAGGTTCCCAAGCTCCATAATTAAAGCTGTATTTTCTTTTCTGTTTTATTAAAATATAGTTAGTTTATTTTATGAAAAACATGCTCTGACACATATACTTACTTCATTTGTAGCCATCTTCCTAGGTCTTGGAAGTGGAGACTTCCTGTGTATATGAATTGGCTCTGATACCATAGGTTTGAACAGTATCACAGCACGATCAATTTCATCTTTTTTAGAAGTATGTGGTTCATCATCATTATCAGTTTTAAAAGATCTCCTGCCTTCATTCTATGGGCAAAGAATACAATACATAAAATTCAGATAAAGCAAGAGTCTCTTATGACAAATTCAACCATCAACTGGTGAAGTCAGTTGAAGCACATATACAAGTAGGCTGATTCAAATGAATCAATATTAATTGGATTTTTACAACAGCCTAGTATTAGTCTATAAAAACAGCTAAAAAAATTCAGAGATATATCAAGTTCTTGGACTAGAGGATCTACTACTGGAAGTTTATTTCCCTCAAAATTGATCTGCAGAATTTATGTAATCTCAGACAAAATCCCAAAAAGTTCTCTTTGGAACATTGCTTTTTACTTTAGTTTGAGAATGAAGAAGCGTTTATTTTTTTATTTTATTTTTATTTTTTGGGGGGGTGGGCAGTGAGAGAATCTTAAGCAGGCTCCACGCCCAGCCTGGAGCTGACTTGGGCTCACTCTCACAATCCCGAGCTCATGACCTGAGCGGAAATCAAGAATCGGACGCTTTACTGACTGAGCCACCCAGGCACCCTGTGAATGAAGTGTTTAGTATCAACACTTCTATTCAACACCATGCTGGTAGCACTTCACAAAAAAGCATATCCAAATGGCCAATAAACATATGCAAATTGCTAATCCTTACTGGTCATGAGGATAATGTAAATCTAAACCACGACAAGATACCACTATATATCCTTCAAAATAGCTACATTAAAAACAATGATCATACCAAGTGCTGACAAGGATATGGCAGTATCTTTACGAAAACTATTTGACTGTATTTTCTAAACTTGAACATATGCACCCTATGACTTAGCAATTTTACTCCTCGATGTATATCCAAAAGAAATGTGTACATATGTTCACCAAAAGACTTGTACAAAAATGTTCATGAAAGCATTCATCTTCATAGCTTGAACTGGAAACAAATAATCAAAGTAGAAGAGATGAAGACATTGCACTGTATTTATTTATATTTATTGTTGCCATGTAATCCTACATGACAACAAAAATGAAGAACAGAATGGATAAATTTCATAAACATAATAAAGGAAAGAAGCCAAACCCACCCCAACCTCCCAAAAAGCATGTATTTTGTGATTTCACTTATAAAAAGTTCAAAAATAGGCATATTAAAACATGGTGCTAAAGTTCATAATAGTAGGTATCTTTGAGGAGAAGATAGGGAGGTTGTGATAGCGAGGGGCACAACGGGTCTTTTGGAATGATATTATTCTACCCAAAACCTGGCTGGCTGTTTTATACTAGTGTTCATTCTGTAATACATCATTAAGCTATACACTTCTGATTTATCAATATGAATTATAATTTAGTAAAAAATTTTAAATTGAATACATATTTAACTTTGTAAGGTTAGTATAAGGATTAAAATAACAATAATTTGTTTACCATGCACTAGTCCTCAAGTAATACAACAACCAAAACCAGAACCAAAACTATAGTTAAGCATTCTAAATATTGGTCTTAAAAATACAAAAAAATCTAAATAAAATATAAAATTCTTGTATGCTTAGAAATGTTGTCTGCCCAAATCATACATAAAGAAATTTATACCATCTTGCTACTTAGTAGTTGAGATAAGAATTGAAGTACATTAACAGGAAATTCTTATAGAAATCTTATGAGGCTCTAGAACTATAGTAACCAAATTCAGACTGAGAGTTTCATATTTATTACCTCTCTTGAAGCTGGTCTATATCCATAGCCAGATGGTAAATTTTTGTCTTCTTCACATCCTTTAGCTCCTGGACTAAAATGTAATTCAACATGAAAGCGTTCCTCTGAGGAAAGATCCTAAAAAATATTATAGAACATTTCCAAAATGAAAAACTACAGGCTCTTTATTTACTTCTGATAATACACACAAATCTAAAACTCTTTGTTACCTTGTTAGGATCCTCATAAAGCATGATCACAATCTGAGTCATGTAATTGAGTTCATTGACAACATTTAAGTAATCCATAGCTCGTTTCCACTGTTCATCTTTTGATTCCTGAACAAAAGGTATATGGTAAGCATTTTCTCATTTCACTTTACTTGAAAGTCACTTTATTTTCATTATGGTAGTTTGTTTAGTCCTGAGTGATACTACACAAATAAGGTAAGTATGTATATGCTCAACCTTTCAAAATAACTCAACTATATTTAAGTCTTGATAAATTACTTATGTTTAGGTAAATTATTTTAAAAATCTCTTATCAGCAGTATTAGAAAGTCTAATGGTAACTTTTTAAATAGCTTCTAGAAAGTAAAAATAAAAATCTCTTGAAATACAAACCCACAATTGTATTCTGAGGGTAAGGGGCAATGAGTCATTAACCTTAAGTCCCAAAGTACCCACTGTGGAATCATGCTTCATAAACTGAATACTAACCTATAAGAGTAGAGCTGTTTTTCCCAGTATCATATAGTCAATGTATGTAATACATGCTTATCAGGAAATATGCCTTGTTATACTGTACTGGTATTTAAAATAATCAGCAGGAGGTGGCATATGTAAGCTCTATTAATCTTACCATCTCTTTCATTGCTCCTCCATCTTCATTTAGATAATCACTGATCTTTAAACATATAATCATATAGCATCAGAACTGAAAGGGATCCTAGAGAACATGTACTACAAACATTCAAAGTAGAAAATTCTATCTGAAAAGGTAAAACTACTTAAAGTACAAAGTCTACAGTCAATGGGCAACAGGGTCTACATCACAGATAACTTTCCTTCATTTCATATGTCATAAACTTTAGAAAAAAAAGCATACAACAATTTTTTGCATACCGTAAGAGTATACAGTATTTTAGACTTTATGTGTGTTGCTTTAAAAAATGATTTTTGACCCACAAAAGCCTAAACTTACAAGACCACATGTTGATTACCTGTTAAAAAAACAAAACCCAAAACCAGATGTATCCTTTTTCAAATTTAGACATTATATATCTCTAAGGAAGCATTCCCCTTTTGAAGTTTCTAGAAGAGTAAAGTTAAATATACATCATATAATTTGTATTCTTCCATGTGTGCTTAGCATCATTTTAATAAATGACTATCCACACCTCTAAATGCCCTAATGCCAAGCAATTAAAGTAGCTACTCCCAACCTAAGCAACAATCCAGAGAAAAAACTGCATCTATATGTGTTCGCGTATGTCTGCCTGTGTATTTGGGGGAGGTATATGTGCAAAAATGTATAAGCATTTTTTCAAAACTGGTAAGGGAAAATATTAGCATAGCATTTGAGTCTCAATGTGAATTACTATAAATAATGGATTTAAATTAAATACTAAAAATTTTCAATAGGTGAAAGGATGTATTAGATTTTGTGATCCTATACTAATAAGAATACAATCTAATAATCTCTAATTCAGTGTTGCAGTTATAGGTTCTGCTAGGTCTGTTCTAATGAACATATGAAATTAATTAATATTTAGTAGCATCTTCCTGAGCACAATTAACATGCAAGAATCCATAAAAATCTTTTTTTAATTAAGGCTTATTAAATATATTCCCTGAAATCGTACTTATAATCTTGTTTCCTTAACAAATACCTTTTGAAAAATTCTATTATGGAGAGCTACATTTTACCCAGTTCACACTGAAAAATAAAAAATTTCAATTGGAGGGAGACTGAACAAGGTTTTACGTATACTAGTTACAGGGTCTTATAAAGATAACATGAACTGCAATAATGACTTACAGTTCAAATAAATTTATTTTTTATATTAGAAAATGGGACATCATATTGATATTAAAGACACTACATGTATTTACTAATGTGAAAAATAATTTTTTTGAAATCCTAGAAGCAGATTTTTAAAAGAATGGAATTGTTCAGCTTCTGTTTTAAAAATGTAGTTGAATGCAATATATACTCAACAAGCTCTAGTTCTACTACCATTATCCTAGTCCAAATTCTTTCTTCAGATCACTGCGAGAGAGCTTCCTAACTGTTTTTTTCATATCTACTCCAGACTATCTGCTGTCCACACAGCAACCAAAGCCATTTACTTCCCTACTTAAAAATGGCTTCCCAATCTCCTTAGGATTCTCAAGGCACTAGCTCTCCATTCTTATCTGTTGCCATTTCATCCATTGCTCACTATAATGCTCCATAGGCTTGTTCTATTGGCTCCTGTATCTTCCATGCTTCTTCTACCTTCTAAATAAGTGTAAGAAAGTCAAAAAGGAACCATGTAAGAGATGTAGTTCTCCTCCCCAAAAACAATTCCATCATTACTACTGGATATGTAAGTTCTTGACTTGCTAATTAAGCATCATTTTTTTTAATGATTTCTTTTATTAAAGCTCAACTAATGCACATATGTATGCAAAGGATGTCACTTTGCTATTCCTTAATGGGACAAAGAAGAAACTGAAACAAGAGGGAAGAACATATGAATTAGAAAATTTGATGAGAACAGAGGCTAAAATAACTTTAGGGTAACTTTAATATTAACTATTCATCAAGGCTAATACTAAAATTAAGAATCAAGAGATATAACAAATCTTTATTATACATCCAACTGCCCTTTATTAAAAAGGTAAAACAAAACTGAATTTTAAGAACCACTTAGTTAACAGATGTATATGGATGTGTACACCAATATATACACAGAAAATTGAAGGAAAATTCTTATTTTTTGCTATTTTAAAGATGGATGAAAATATACTTTTGATATATAATAGAGTGACATTGTATTCTAGGTAATCTATGGTTTGGGTGTACCGAGAAACAAGATATTAAAATTTCTAAGTCTCTTTTGTAAATTATCACGTCCATGGCCAATCCCTACAATGTCATCTTCTTTATCATTTCACATGCAAACTCCCTGGGAATCTTATTACTAGCTACCGTCTTAGCTGTCATTAGTATGTTGGCTTCCTCTATACCTTTAAGCCAAACCTCTATCCTCACATATGAACATAGTAAAGCTGTCTAAAACTAAACTCATTACTTTTTTTCTTAAGACCTGATCTTCCTCCCAAGTGTTACTTTTATCAGTGAATGGTAGGATCATCTACCAAATTATCTACATTAGAGATACGGAAATTTTTCTTGACTCTTTTCTTTCTCACTCTCCATACCTGTGAGCACTAGAACGGTCTCGAGGAGAGTGTTAGTAAAAGCCTAACAGGCTGGAGGAGGTTGTTGGTGAGGGATTATATAAAGGTAAGAAAAATGTTACTGGAAGCTACAGGAAAATGAACTCCTGCTATGTAGGGCATAAAGTATAGAAACACTAGCCTTAGACAGTGGAAAATAAATAAAAAGTGTATCTAATGAACTAGCTCTGGAGATTTCTAGGACAAGTACTAAACATGTCACCAAGATTCTTCTCACTGCTTATGATAAACTAGGAGAGAAGTAAGCTACAGGGAAATTGTCAATTATAAAGAAGATTGCTGGGTCCAAAAAGAAAACGGTTTCTCATTCCCAGCCTTTTTGGAGACCAAACAATGCTGTAATTAACAAGTGGCTTTTGAGAAGAAAGGAAACACAAGATTCTGCCATGAAAACATGGTGCGATTATAAAAACACTTGCTAAGACTTCCGAAAGATGTAATGAGGTGCTTCACAGATCTTCCAAAGAAACAAAAGACTTTCTCAGGATCTTAGGAGTATGTCTCTCAGAAGCTCAGTATTAAGCAGTAAGGATTGCTGAGTGCCATCCCTCAGTAACCACATAAGGAACCCAAGGTAGAAAATGGCTTATCCTTAAGAGATCTTTGGGTTTGATGTGTTTAATACAGTATATTCTAAATTACTCCATTTTGTTTTGTTTTTTTAAATTACATCACCCTCAACTAAAAATAAACAGACCTCTGGAACCCCAAACTTCTTTGGGCAGGAAGCAGGTTGAAGAAAACTACTCAACAGCAAACATGAGCTACGTTTTATTTTAAGGGAAGGATGACCCAGATGAAGCAATCAAGAACCCAAATTATGAAACCATGAGCCATTGGAAACAACTGCCTGGCAGTATGACAGAGCCCTAATTAAAGAATGGGCAACATGGACCTGGGCAGATTTCAAAATTGCTAGTGACTATAGTGACTACAGTGTACCTTCTGTTTTACCCTCTTTTGAAAAGTTTATTTACAGCAGTTACCTTATGCCTAACCCACCACTGTATATTGGGTATTGGAAGCACAGATAATTGGTTTCTTCAGTTCATAGGTCTCTGAATTAAGATCAAATGCTCTTGAGCACTCAGGGAGTTGTGTCCAAGGAGCCCCATCTACATCTGGACTTGACTTAGATGAATAAACCTGGAATGTCAAGTTTATGATGTAATAAAATAAGATGGGTAATACTGGACAAGAGATTAAGTGAATTTTGCATATGGAGAAATATGGACTGTGTAGCCAACAGACATATTGTGATGGATCTTATTTTCCAAAGATGGCCACCACAATGTATCTAATCCCAAGTACTCATCTTACAATGTGACAGTGACATTCCACGCACGTAGTAATGTAGATCTATTTCCCCATCCCTTGAACCCGGATGAACCTCTGTGACTGCCTCAACCAATTCAGCTCAGTAGAAGTGATATTATGTTACTTTATAAGTTAGATCATAAAAAGTCTTGCACTTGCACCTTGTTCCATTGTGAAACTCAATCTTGGAACTCAGCTACCATGTTTTGCGGAAGCAAGCAGATTACACGAAGAGGCCTGATGTAGGTATTCTGGTCAACAATCCCAGTTGAAGTTCTAGCTGACATACAGCATCAAGCACCAGATATGAGAGGAAAGCCTTGAGATGATTCAAGCCCCAACCACTGTCTAACTGCAACCTCATCAGAAACCCAAAGTGAAACTGCCTAAATATATCACAGTCAGTCCTTTAAACTGTGGGAGTTAAAAATAACTGTGGTTGTATTAAGCTAAATTTTGGTATGACTCATTACTAACGATAGATGAGAGGCAAAATATCCAGCCAAACACCAACTTCTTTCTAATGCCTAAATAACTCAAATTCATCAGCTTCTCTTTATCTCATTACCACCAGCCTATAACATTACCTAAAATACTTTGTGTTATTGTTTGCTTAAACTTCTCCAAAGGGAAGAGAACATGTCTTTATCCCCAACATCTAGCACAGTGCTTGGTATATAGTAGACCCTTGCTTGAGAAATGATGACACATGATCAATTATTGAAATTGCACAGTAAAAACTGATGCTAGTGATTTGATTACAAATTCAAGGAACCATATTTTTTAAGTAGGTTGGAATAACTTATTCTACTTACATTGCATAAGGCACCATAGCGAAGAATAGATAGTAAAGAATGTACATGACTTTCACTGGTAAAATATAACCTGGTACGGACATGACGTTCAGGAGACAGAACACCTCTGGAATACCTAAAGTTAGTAGCAGACAATGTTAGAACATAACCATTTAGTCAAACCTTAAGTATTGAAATTATTTTGTAAAATGGAATTTAATCTTACTAGAAGTAAAAGACCTAATAGGTAAATCTATCCCTCTTCCAACCACAGCTGAGGAGTTATCTTCGGAGATATTCCTCTAACATGAAGATTAACTAGAACTAACTGGGACCTCTGAGATTAGTCAAAAAGAGTTAATATTAGTCAAGTTCATGGTAAATAGGTCATTTTAACTCCTCTAATAGCAATGACAAAGGTCATAGCCCTAAAGAAGCTCGCAGATGTTTTATGCTGCTGAGTGATCCCATGTGAAAGATGACACATATCCCCTTTCATCTCAGTTCTTCCTCAGTCTGGAGCCCTAAAGAACCTTGGTTGGAAGTTAACTGTTAGGACTATCTAGGTAATCCTTACAACCACAGTGCACTAAGTAATACATTCCTGATTTCTTCATAGGAACATTAGATTTGAAGTATGCAAAAACAGACGCCTATAGACTTAAAATACCAGTACGGCCTCTTACACAGGGTGGAGTTTATTTACAGTGTCATCATCTTGTGTCCTCTGGAGGTCTGAGCGAATTTTTCTAACTAGAGGAGTACAGTAGCCTTTGGCAATCTCCAGTTTTTCAGCTTTAGTTATACCATATTCCTGAGCAGAAAATACATGATATTAGAAAAAGAGTATAATGACAAAGCACTCTAACAAATGTACTGCTTATTTAAAACATTCTAGTAAGAGACAAATATCTTTATTAAGCTTTTTTTTTGGAACATTGCAAATTTCCAAGTTTACATTTTTTGCAACTGCAAGTATATTATCTTAAAACTTTTAAGTATAATTGGAAAGATTTTTTTGGTAGAACTGAAAAAGCAAGTAATTTCTGAAGACAGGAGGATGAATGAATGAATGTAATCTTTATAGACAGTAGTTCAACTCAATCATAAGGCTTCAAATGTAGAAACAATCCTAAAAGAAAGATGGATTAAGGACACAAACACTAAAGCACAGAACAACAGTCAAATCTATGAAAAGAAATATAAATGAAACCATGAGATTTTGTTTATTTGAATGTCAAAGATTAAAAAGGCTAACAAATCATTTAAAAGCCTTTGGCTAATGCTTTGAAAGACTTACCTAGTGGTAAGCAAAAAATGTAATGAAATCATCAAATTTAATGACTTCAATAATGATTATGGGTTAATTAAACTTACAATGAGGAATTACAATATGAAGTGTTAAGAAAACGTAATTGTAATAATAATTCTAATAAAAATTACAGTTCAAAGAAACAGACTAGAAAATGACCTGATGTGTAAAGAGAAAAAGCTGTGATATGTGTGTAGATGGAAAAGAGGGAGAAAGAAGAAAGGAGAAGGTAGAAAGGAGGAGGGAATAAACAGGCATACCCTCCCTCTCCAAGTTTATTCTACGATACCTGAATTTAAAGACTGTTTCCTGCTATCAGGTACTTCTCAAATAGCAAAAATTCTATATGGATAATAGAACTGAAAACTGTTGAATAAAGAAAAGGCTGACTGATTACAGATGGAAGGCCCATGAAAATAGAACTTCTTTACCGGTAACTGAAACTTGGTTGGTTCAATAGTCTTGCCAACATAGAAGACTGTGAATGGAGTATGCAAAAAAGATAATATATGTAATTGTGTATGTATAAATAAAAGGAAAATACTGGAACTAAAAATCATTAGGTGAAATTTTTTTTGTGTTGTTAGCAAGGTATAAGGAAAAAGGTGCTCTCACACTCTGTTTACCTGGAAGAAAACTGGCAAAAGATTTCTGGAGCTACAAAAATGGTCTTGAGTACATGTAAAGACATGTGTAAAGACAGTGAAAGAAAGGAAGAGTCCAAATTCCCAAATACGGAAAGTTGGTTAAATAAATAATTATTACATCATACCATTAGCCATTAGAAAAAATGATGTACATATAGCTTTAATGATATGTAAAGAAGTTCTTGGTGCTAAGTGAAGGGAAAAAATCAGGTTGTAAAAGATTATGCTTTTCCTGGTTCCATTTGTGCAAAGAATACATTTGTTATATGTATGAGAAAAATTATATCTTCATGAATTTAAGAGAAAAATCCTTTAAGAATTTTCTAAAACATTAAAATGTTTTTCTCTAATTGGTAATATCACAGTGACTTTTTTTTTGCTATTTCTACATTTTCTAATTTTACACAAAGATATATTAATTTTGTAATAATGAAATTTTTCCCTTTAACACATTGACATATTTTGTTCATCTGCCACCATCAACTAGGATCAAATAATTATTAGATATCCCAGTTCTCGTGTGTAATTACAATATTTCTGCCATAAATAGAACTAATTAAAATACCAGATGAGGCTATCTGAAAGCTTATTATGTGGTTATATTTAATAAGAGTATCAATGGACTTTATATGGTAAATGTTATTATAAACAATCCTCTGCATTTCATAATCCATAAGTAACTAAACAAATTGTCTTCAAACTTTGGTAAATGTGATCTCAGTTAGGAGAACCTTAATACCACATTTAGTCTTGAGAGGTTCTTTTCTACTGCCATAACATCATGACTACTTTAAAGTATCATTTTTAAGCCACAGCCTCTATTTGATGAAAATTGAGACTGGTTAAAAAGTGGAAAGTTAATTCTATCACAGCAAAAATATAATAATTAAAATTAGTTTAACTGTTAAAATAAATAAAAGTAATAAACTGTTATATTTAAGCTTAGCTACAATTAGAATTATATAATTCACACAGCATAGATATAAGAATTAATTCAATGTAAGCACAGAAATACATTTTTAGAGGCATAACAACACTTTGAGGTACACCAGAGCGTATACCCACTATCACAGATAGTGATATTCTCTAAATCTAAATTAGCATATTCTAAACAAGTTAAAATTTTACATTATTTGACTGAATCATCAAGTCTCTAAGCTTGAAATATTCTTTATTTCCTTGAGAATTAAGTAGGCAAAATCTTCATTTTTTTCCATTGTAAACTACAGTTTCATTATAATTACCATAAATATATTTATAATTTTTAGTTTGTTAAGTGACTGAAAATGCCTGCATTTTGTCCATAGTTCTGGATTTATGAAGGCTAAAGTAATAAAGCAAAATAATATTTACTGGACTGAATTCAACACTCCATTTAAAAAGAAGAAATCCCAAGTTTCTGCTACAATAAGGAATATCAAACAAAAAGTTAGGGAGGTAAACCCAAAGCTGTCCTCTCAAGTTATAATCTCAGAACTGCAGGAAAGTATGTAAAAAAAAAGTCTGCTTTTAAAGTTATAACTTTCCAAAATGTAATTATAAATTTATCAAAAATAAGACTGATTCTTGTAAGCTTGGGCAAAATGTTGTCTGACGAGTCCAAAGATTTCAAAGATAAATAATTTATCCAAGAAAGAAATTTTAGAGATGTCTTCAAGTAAATTCTCAGACTGCTGAGATCTAACCTAACTGCATCCAAAGACAATTATTGTAATAAAGACTGAGAACATTTGAACATGACAAATTACTTTAAAAGATATAAATGATGTTTTAAATCTTTCCAACCCATTCTCATTTTTACTGATTCTTCTAATTACAGTACTTTGAAAAATCCATTATAAATATTTAAGTTACAAGGAGACAGTAAGAAGTTTCTTCAGTGATTTAAGCAATATACCTGAAATACATACATGATACATAGGAGAAATTAACATCTAAAACCCTATTAACACTTGAGTATCTTAAGCCCAACTCTTAGAAATCAACCTTTCATTCCCAATTCTAGAACATTTAGTATACAGTACTGAGAAAGAAGAGACATGAGATTAAATAAGCCATGTAACAAAATAGACGTGATTATGCTAACAAATCATTTGTGTATTTAGCCACTGAGGTGCTAAGTTTAGATATACTGTAAGCCTACTGTGAAGAATGCATATAGCCACCCTAAATATTTAAGACTGTCTTATATTAAGTTTACCTGTTTTAAATAATCATTGAAAGAATGAGTATAACTAATATGCACTGAGCCTGGACTAATGTCAAAGCAATCCAAAACAATGAAAAAAAAATGTGGATCTTACTTATACTTCCAATGTAAACTAATTATATGGTTAGCAGAATTAACAGCAACCATTCCAGGGCACCTGGGTGGCTCATTCAGTTAAGTATCTGCCTTCAGCTCAGGTCATGATCTCAGGGTCCTGGGATCAAGCCCCACGTTGGGCTCCCTGCTCAGTGGGGAGTATGTTTCTCCCTCTCCCTCTGCTTCTCCCCCCTCGCTCATGTGCTCTCTCTCTCTCAAATGAATAAATAAAATCTTAAGAACAAACAAACCAGCAATCATTCTTCTTGGAATAGTTAATAAGAAAAATTTGAATAAATTTTCTTTCCTGAATTTCATAACAAAGATGAGTCTGACTCAGTAACTTCAGTTATAGTCAAACCAGCGTTAGCTAAATGACTGTCTAAACATTGCTGCTAAAACTGAGGTATGCAGAATTTAGTGTGTTCACTCTGATGATAATCTTAAAATATCTTACCTGTTATAAAACTTTTTATTCTGTAAAATTAAATTTCTCTTTTTTTATTATTTTTTTTATTATGTTCTGTTAATCACCATACATGACTAGTTTTTGATGTAGTGTTCCATGATTCATTGTTTGCATATAACACCCAGTGCTCCATTCAGTACGTGCCCTCTTTAATACCCATCACCAGGCTAATGCATCCCCCCACCCCCCTCCCCTCTAGAACCCTCAGTTTGTTTCTCAGAGTCCATAGTCTCTCATGGTTTGTCTCCCCGCCCCGACTTCCCCCCCTTCATTTTTCCCCTCCTGCTATCTTCTTTTTTTTTTTTTTGACATATAATGTATTATTTGTTGTACCTCTTTTTTCTTTTTTAAAGATTTTTTTTATTTATTTCAGAGAGAGAGAGAGAGAGAGCATGCACATGTGCCTATGGGGAGGGGCAAAGGGAGAAGGAGACAAGTAGACTCCCCACTGACTGATTAAGGAGTCCAACGCACAACTTGATCCCAGGACCCTGAGATCATGACCTGGGCTGAAATCCAGAGTCGGACACAAAACCGACTGTGCTACCTAGGTGCCCCTAAATTTCTCTTTTGTAGAATAAAAGCTCTCTTCCGTTTAGTAAAAAGAAGTTGTCAGATAATAATTCCTTGTTTGCTAAGTCAGTGTTTCCTAAGAGGCCCAAAGATATATTCTTGATATGTGAGATATTTTTATCTTCTTTTTTAAGAATTCATTTCACAAATCACTGAATCATACAATATACCTAAGATTGTCTATATTATACATCTGACCAAACAAGTAAGCAGTGTTCTCTCAGGCTGAAAGAATAAGCTAATCTTTAACATGTACACAAATAATTATAGGTAAGTTGTGTACTGTCTGAATTCCCAGTTTTTCGAAGTTTGTAGTTTTGCCTGAACTTTGTGTGAAAATTAAGGGACACTGATACTATTTAAACCATTTTTATACGTATTTTTAAGTAAGGCTCTTTTTGTTCAGCATCTTCATATTTTTCATGTATTCTATTTTTTCACTGCTATTTAACTTTGGTTCATAGGTGGAATGTCTGATCTACTCCAATCTCCTCCTTATAATATCCAAATAATCTTTAGTCACTGAGTTGAAAACAGACCCCAAATTTTGGAGAAATTGAGGGGCACCTGGGTGGCTCAGTCAGGTAAGTGTCCGAATCTGGATTTCAGCTCAGGGAATCTGGAACCATTTTCTGCTAACATATCTCACTTGTCTTGTCATTTGCCTCTTTATTACCAATCTGATTCTCTGCCTAATTAATTTCAATTATTTGAATTCTGGTTACACCTTTATTTTTATTCTCCTATAAATGAAAAGACCCATGACTTGCACCCTTCCAATAACAACTTACACTTCGACCTCTAAATAATTTTTTAAGGGGTGCCTGGGTAACAATTAAGTGTCTGATTCTTGATTTTGGCTCAGGTCACAATCTCAGAGTCGTGAGATCGAGCCCCACGTCAAGTTCTGCACTGGGTGTGAAGCCTGCTTAAGATTCTCTCTCTCTCCCTCTGCCCCTCCCTCCCTGCTCTCTCTCAGAAAAAAATTTTTTTCAAAATACTTGCAAACTTTACATTGGGCCACAGCTACCTTTTCTCCCACTCGCCACATACTTCCATACCACAGAATTGGTAGGTAAATAATAAGTAGCCAATAAATATTTCAGTGATTCATTCTATCCTGTTTTCAGTTGTCTTGTTAGTATATTATTGTTCTTTAGGAGTATCAATCCTTAAGTTTTAAAGTCACTACAATCAAACTATTAGAAAATCAAGTAATGATTTAATATAATAAAAAGCTTAAAATATAAATTCATAATTACTTTCCTTTTAAAAGTTATGGATTTTATAGGGAGATGAAAATCAACTGTCTTTTATCCAGTGATAGACATTTTAAAAGAATCTACAAAACACTATAAGAAAACTGATTCCTAGATTTACTTACCTGAGGGATAACAATATCTGCTAATGCCTTCGAAAGCCTATATAATTCCATTGTATTTTCTAATTTCAAGGAACCATTATGCTGGACATCATATTTTATACAGTCATATATGTCAGGGATTTTACTAATGTCATATCTTCCATTCTTTGTTTTAAAGTCTTTCTCCAACTTGGACCATCTACGTAGCATAAGCTCTAATGTTTCACTATGGTAAAGCTGAATATCTAAAACAACATAACATATTTAGCATATTAAACTTAGAATCAGATTAAGGGTATATACAAAAAGTTGATAATTAGAAACTTTTTTTAAATGTCAGAGGTAAAACTGTTAAGAAGGTAGGGAATGTTATCATAGTCATATACCATTAGCAACCATATATTGTGTAGACCTAAATAAAAGATATAAATAATTGGTTTAGGACTTGGGTTTATAAAAGACCTTCCCGTATGTTACACGCTTCAATAATCAAAAGAAAAAGAACAACAATTATAACAAAACTCTTTTAGGCTATTTTCAATTCTGAATTTTAAGTACTAGTCTTTTCTTAGTAGATTCACAGAACTAACAGAATGGACAGTCTTTAGCAGAAAGGAATCTTAGAAATTAAACATTTTAAAGGATTTATTTTTACCAGTAAGAATCCTAGATTTCAAAGTTGCCCAAGTTACAACAAGGCTAATCTCAGAGTTAGAACCCCGATCATCTTCTTATTGCTTGTTTCTTATTATGCTGCCTATTTGCTGCTTAACTATACGGCAATGCTACAGAATTATTCAAATAATAATATTTTATTATCTTTTTCATGCTATCATAGAGAAAAGAAACCATAACCTAGCTATTATTCTTCTGCTGGATGTATGTTAACTCATAACTAGAATAGTATGAGGCTTAATTTCTTAAGATTGTTACATCTTATTTTAAAATGTTTATAGTATTTGGATAATAATTTTCATTTGTTTCACATTCCAAGGAACACATAATATTTACCTGATGATTTGGGATCTTCCATTCGATGTCTGATTTGAGAAGTCAAACTCTGTATCAAGGAATAAACTTTGTCACAAGTCTTCACAGGATTTTTAATTAAATGCATTGATTTGATAAGAGAAATGCTTCCAGATGGAGTAAGCTACAAATGAGGAAAGTGTAAATATTACATCTAGTTATCTAATTGTCCAAGAGAACAATATAAAAAGTTTTCCAATAGCTGAAGAATAATTCCATATCATACATTAAGATGATGCCCAAAATATAGTAATAAGATCAAGAAGGAAGTAAAAATCTCAGAATTTCATGTTTAAAAAATAGTAAAGATTAGTTATCATTAGATTACTCACAGAGAAAATTTAGCAGAAGTACTCTAACTTATAGTGACAAACTGTTGACTCAGTATGGTTCTAACCATTCAACATATATTTACATGCAATAACCCTAATTGCTGAATTTCTATATTGTACACATGAAACTAATAAAACACTATTAACTATATTTGAATTAAAAAGAAAAGAAAGAACATAAAAATAAAACAACACCTGAAAAATGAGGAAACTTCCTGTGTTCAAAAAGATAAAACACTAAAAATAAAAAATGCAAATGACTGAAAAATGACAAATTAAATATTAAAATAGCAAAAAGAAATTTTAGAATTGAAAAATACACTGGCTGAATTAAAAGCACATTAAATACAGCCAAAGGTAAGTTTAGTAAATTGGAAGACTGGTGAGAAAATTTTATCCATCATAAAGCATAGAGACAAAAGGATGAAAAAAATTTTTAAAAAGGATAAGAGAAATTTTTAACAAACATGTATTTAGAGACCCAGAAGAAGGTAACAAATGCTACATTAAAGACAAAAATCAAAACCATAAAAACAACTTCCTAAAACTGAAACCACAGATCCAAGAATCCTAATCTACTAGCAGGATCAGTTTAAAAAAGCAATCTACATCTAAACATACAACAGAAAAACTGCTGAAAATCAAAAGTAAAAATGTTAAAAGTGGCCAGAAGGAGTTATAAATAAATAAATAAATAAATAAATAAATAAATAAATAAATAAATAAATAAATAAGACTATCTTCAAAGGTATAACAATAAGATTAACAACTGACTTCTCAAGGGAAACACTGGAAGCTAGAAGAGAGTGTAACAATATCTTCAATGCAATGAAAGAAAATAAATGCTATCCTAGAACTCTATACCCAGTGAAAATATCCTATAGAGTCAAGTTGAGGGGCACCTGGGTGGCTCAGTTGGTTAAACGTCCAACTCTTGATTTCATCTCAGGTCATGATCTCAGGGTTGTGAGATTGAGCCCCACATCAGGCTCTAATGCTGGGTGTGGAGACTGCTTAAGATTCTCCCTCTTCTTCTGCCCCCCCCACCCTCCCTTCCTTTAAAAAAAAAAAAAGTAAAGTTGAAATAAAAACATCTTCAGACAGAAAAGAATTCACCATCAGTAAACTAACAGAATTAATATAGTTGTTCAGACAGAAGGAAAATGCTCTTAAATGGAAACTATGGACTTCAGAAAGAATAAAAAGTAATTTAAAGGGCAAATGAGGGGGCATGTGGGTAGCTCAGTTAAATGCCCGACTTGATTTCAGCTCAATTCTTGATCTCAGGGTCTTGAGTTCAAGCCCCTCAGTGGGCTCCATGCTGGGCATGGAGCTTACTAAAACAAAATATAACAAAACAAAAAAACAAAGAAGGGCAAATTAATGGATAAATCTAAATAAAAACTCCCTGCCTAAAAGAATAATAAAAATGACATTGTACAGTTAAAAAGATACAAAATTAAAATAAACAATATTAAGAGCATAAAAGTTGCAGGCTATGCAAATGTTACAAGGATTTTAAGGCTTGCTGCTAAATGTATGGTTTCAGGACCAGCAGGCATTGGCATGAACTGGAAGCTTAGTGAAAGCAGAATCCTAGTCCCCATCCCAGATATGATAAATCAGAATCTGCATTCTTAACAAGACTCCCAATGATTCTTATGCAAGTTAACATTGGAATAGTATTTTTCTAGAGTACTTGCATTGTACAGGAAGAGTAAGAGCACTATGTATATAAACATTCGACTTTAAGAAGTTATAGAAGCCTACTATTATCTCTGGGGTAATGACAAAACAAACAATAAAATCAAATATAATTTTTAAGCTAACAGAGAAATAAGTAAGTAAAAAGTACTAATTTCAACAACAGAAGAGAGAAAAATTAAAAAGGCAGTATAAATATAAAGCCCTGGAAAATATAGTGGATTCATATAAAAATTTGTCAATAATTTATATTGTAAATAAAACTGCTATAAAGATTTTCATAATACATTTTAAAAAACCCAGTTATATGCAGATTGTAATAGATACACTTAAAAATGTAATTTCAAAAAGTCTGAAACTAAAAAGGTAAAAAAGATGTACAATGTAAAACCAAGTAAGAGGGGGAAAAACTGTTGTTGCTATATTAACCTCAAACTTTCAGGCAAAAAGTACTGGATGGAAATATATCGTTTCTAAATTTGTATCTATCTAAAACATGGCATCAAATACGTAAAGCAAAGATTAAGAGAACTACAAAGACAAGGAAAATCCACAATTAGAGTGGGAAATTTTCACACACAACAGTGAAGAAAGAAAAAACAAACAAAAAAATTCAGGAAGAATTTTTTTTTTTTACTAAGATGGTATAAAGTTAGAAATAAAGTTTAACTCAAAATGCCATAGGTTTTGAAATTCTAAAAAAAACCCTCTGACTAATCTATGATCAAAGAAGAAATCACAAAGGAAATCAGAAAATATCCCAAACTGCACAAACCTCAAAATTTATGCATGCAGTCATAAAGGGAAATTTATAGCCTAAAGTCTGTATTTTAGAAAAGATTGAATATTCATGAGTTAATAAGCACACAGCTAGTGACACGAGTTTACAGAAGTAGAAATACAAAATTAAACAAATATTAATCAAATGGAAAACAAGTGCATAATAAAGGGGACCAACAAATTAAAGATATTTCTTTGAAAGGACTAATAAAATGCATCAACCAGTTAAAATGATCAAGAGAAAAAAAGACAGTACAATGTTATGAAACAAAAAGGGACATCTCTACAGATCCTGCAGACATTACAAAGAATTTAAAGAGGATATGATAAACTTCTACAAGAATGTAATTTAATACTGACACAAAACATAATAACTGAAAATTACTAATTACTCTGGAATCCATGATTACAATGATGACATGATTTCCCACAAAGAAAATCCCCATAGGATTTACTAGTAAATTTTATAAAACATTTAAAGATATGTACACAAACTCCTTCCCCAAAATAGGACTCCCTAATTTTATGACTAGCATCATAATTCTGATATTGAAAGCAGAGCAAGACATAAGAATAAAAATGTGAAGGTCAATCTGACTCATGAACACAGATGTAAAACTCCTAACCAAAAAATAGTAAACCCAAACCAGTGAGATACATTAACAACAACAACAAAATATATACATATACATATAAAAGTTGAGTTTATTCTAGGAACCAAGATAGCTTTACATCCCCCCAAAAAATCATACGATAGAAGAGATAAAAAGGAAATAATGATAAAATTCACTAATTTTTCATTTAGCAAAACAGGAACAAAATGGAATTTCCTTATTTTGAAAAAGGATAGCTATTAAAAAAAGTACAGAAAACATTTAGTGGATAAATGTTGAAAGCTTTCTTTGAGAACATGGACAAGAAAAGATATGCCACTTCTATCTAACACTGTTTTCAAGCTGCTAGTTACTGAAGACAAGAAAAAAATAATAAAATAAACAAGATCCAAAAGAAAGGAGAAAAACCTGGATGCATTCAAAGGATAAAGAAAAATCTACAGATAAATTATTAAACTAATAAATGAGCTCAATAAGGTTGATGCATATAAAGTCAATATTAAAAAGCTATTTCTACATAGCAATAGAAAATAACATTTTTAGAGGTACTACTTACAACAAAATTAAAAACATATTAAAAGATATAGATTTTCAGAAACTACAGATTCAATCCATGTAAATCAATATTGCAACAGGATTTTTGACAGCTTATTTTAAAATTTATATGGAAATGCAAGAAAAGCCAAGAAAAACTTGAAGAAGGAAGCATGCAGGACTTGGGTGATCTTGTATTCAGTGGCACAGGATCTAGAAAAGAATATAGTATAGAAATAGACCACATGTATATATGTATTATAAAGATGGTACCACAAAGTAGAGGAAAAAGGACAGTCTTTCAGTATATGGTGCTGAAGATGATACATAAGAATATTTTATGACCTCTAATTAGAGCGGAATGGTAGATATAGGCAGCCAGTTACTGAATGAGCAAGTCATGGGGATAAACGGTACAGCGCAGGGAATATAGTCCATGGTATTTTAATAGCGTTGTATGGTGACAGATGGCGGCTACACTTGTGGTGAGCATGGCACAGCATATAGTCTTATCTGTCTAATCACTGTGTTGTCTACTTGATACTAACAAAACAATGTGTGTCAATTATGTCTCAATAATTAAAAAAAAAGATATTAGACTACATCAAAAAAAAATGCACTGACCATAAAGGAAAAAATTAAACTTGGAATTCATGAAAAATAAGAACCTCTGCTTATTGAAAGACATCATGAAGGCTCAGAGTAGGGGGCAGGATTTAGAACACATATAAAAAAGAGCTCATATCCAAAATAATTTAAGAACTTCTACCACTCACTAAGAAAAATACAGACAAGCAGTAGAAAAAAAGGACAAGAGACTTGAAGAGAAGGCCTCATGAAAGGATATCTAAACGGTCAGAAAATATTAAAACCACAATGAGCTACTATTACACGTCCACCTTCAGAATAGCCAAAACCGAACAGTCTGAGAATACCAAGAATACCAAGAATAGAGACTACGTAGAATAATTATGATTCTCCTGGATTTCTGGTAGAAGTGTAAATTGGTTCAATGAATTTGGAAAACAGTTTGACATTACCTACTCATATTGAAACATAAGTATACTGTGGGTCACAACAATTCCAACCGTAGAATATACCAAAAGGATGTATGCTCACATGCACGAGGAGATATACAAGGACAGTCATAGCACTGCTAATCATAAGGGCACAAAACCGTGACAATGATACAAGTATATAAATTATAGCATATTCATAAAATACAACGTGGGTCATCAAACGATGGCCTGCAGGCCAAATGTGGCCTGTGGCATAGCCCATGAGCAAAGAATAGTTTTTACTTTTTTAAAAGGTGGGTTAAAAAACAAAAAGAATTGCAACAAGAGCCCAAATGTGACCCACAAAGCCTAAAATTTACTATCTGGTCTTTTACAGAAAAAGTTTGCCAATCCCTAAAATGAAATACTACATAGAAGTGATTACTGATTAACTATGGAAATTCTCAAAAATACGATGAACATCACAAACATGATATTGAGCAAAAGAAGCCAAACATAAAAGAAAACTGACTCTATTGTATGAAAGGTTAGAAAACAGCCAAAACTGAGACCGCAGCAGTTAGGGATGCATACTTAGCCAAATAAGTTTCTTGATATGAGAAGACTATAAAAAGAGCAATATTAAGTCAGGATAGTAATTAATTCTAGGAGATTGGGAAGGAGTTGCCATTGAGAAGGGGCACACAGGGGTCAGAGGTGTCCCAGTGGTCTATTTCTGTATCTTGATGGTGGCTATAGGAGTATTTGCTTTATAATACAATAGGCTCTAAGTTTATGTTTTACATACATTTCTGTATGTGCATGATATTTCACAATGTAAAAGAGTTTGCTAAGACCCACCTTTTCATAGTCTTCAGCAGTAAAATCTCTATCTTTCTGAAGTATTTCATGAAGTCTTGCTTTCACACGTTGCTGACAACTGCTCAAGGAGTCACTGTCACTATCCAAAAGACCATTCATATTTGCACTTTTTACCATCTGAACAAGAATGGGTGTAAGCTCTCCTTCTAGAGCTAAGAGCCCCTAAACATATTGGATAAAGCCAATACAGATTTTAAAATTAGTATGCAAATTAATAGAAAGCATTTTAATACTTACTTTGTTACATGCCGAATTTCGCAAAGTATAAGCTAACTATTTGCAATAAACTTGGTTAATAATAGAGCCCATCACCATTTCAGGGCTCAAGTTTGAAATTTCAAATTTGGGATTTTTAAATATCGCCTTAGCAAAAAGTCTTCAATGACATTCCTAGCAATTCTAAGAAACGTTTACTTATACCTTTGCAAAAGCAGCTGCAGTCATCTGGACTCGTCCCTCATCAGAGGCATATATTTTGAGGTCATGTCGGTAGGTACTATGTAATCTCAGTAAACCACAGCCAGGAAATCCTGCATAATCTCCTGAAAATAAATACTCAAATCACTGAAGCTATATTTTTGTCTCACTATATTTCTATAAACTATTTAGTAACATTGCAAAATAAATGAAGATTTGAAAACATAATGCACAGATTTAACCAAATTAAAGAAGCGCCAAGATTTACCTTGACCTCCAGGATACATACACCTGAAAGCTCTTCCAAGTTCTTCAGCCTGGACCCTGCCTGCAGGAGTTAGTTCTCCTCCCCATTTTAGAACCAAAAGTAAGGATGGTTCTTCTCTTCGGCTATCTAAGACACATGTGAATGGAGAGAGGCAAATGTCAAGTTTGGTTTTTTTATTATTTATTTATTTATTTTTTAAAGATTTTATTTATTTATTTGACAGACAGAGAGAGGGACATAGCGAGAGAGGGAACACAAGCAGGGGGAGCGGGAAAGGGAGAAGCAGGCTTCCCGTGGAGCAGGGTGCCTGATGTGGGGCTCGATCCCAGGACCCTGGGATCATGACCTGAGCCAAAGGCAGATGCTCAACGACTGAGCCACTCAGGCGCCCCAAGTTTGTTTCTTTTAAAGAGACATATTTCAAGATTAATTTTTTCTTTGTTCTATCTTCTGCAGTGGAATATAGCTTTTATGTAAATTATTCTGTTCCTTTGAACATACCTATCTTTGTAGGCTTTTGCTTCTGTCAGGAACACCCTTTGCTCCTGTTAAAATCTGACTAAAATTTCAAAATCTCTTCCACACGTTACGAAGAAGGCTCTTTCTCAGTTTTCTGAAAAAAGTATTGTTTCTACCTTCCCTGCTCTCATAGTGACATGACACCAATAGTATTTGCCCAATATATTTAATTTAGTTGTGCTAGCGATGTTAGATTAAGAGCTCCTTGACCAAAGGATCAAGATCTTGTCTTTATATCAAAAGTCTCACATAAAAGGTAATGTTAGCTGAAGTGAAGATGTATACATTTTTATGATGAGGAATCAATGATTTGCATAATTTTTAGGAAGACGTGAGATGAAAAAGCCTAAAATTTATTATAATTTAAATTTATGAATGATATATAATAAAATGTAGCCAAGAGCAGCTTTTTAAATTTGGAATTGTGCAATCTCTTTATGTTCCTGACCAAAGATTTTCTCAGATATTAGGGGAAGTTCCACAAGCAAATGAGTTTCTATACTTAATTTATCTGCCCTCTATCATGTCCTAAGATCTGTACTGGGCTACAGAAACAAAGGTAATTTAAAAATAAGCAATAGGGGGTGCCTGGGTGGCTCAATCTGTTCGGCATCTGCCTTCAGCTCAGGTCATGATCCCAGGGTCCTGGGATCTAGCCCCCTCGTTGTGCTCCCTGCTGAGCAGGGAGCCTATTTCTCCCTCTCCCTCTGCCCTTCCCCCTGCTTTTGCACTCTCTCTCTAGCTATGTCTCCCCTCTCTCTCAAATAAATGAATAAAATCTTTAAAAAAATAAAATTAAAATAAATTAAAAAAATAAAAATAAGCAATAGAAGTGCTAAAAAACTTAATGATGATTCATTAAAAGTGATAGAAAGCAACCTTTTTCCTGGGACTAGACAGTAGTTGTATGTGCTTTATTATGCAAGCCAATATTAATTTATGGAAGGACAATTAATTAACAGGCTTTTTCAATCAATTCAATTATTTATTGAATGTTTTTCATCATGAACATTAAAATATAAGAAATTAATCTGTATTGCTATTAATCACAAGTGTGACAAAATAGCAACATGTCAAATTTTAAAATACATTTATAAAGATCAACATAATCAAACTTGTGCTTGCATTTAAGATAATCATTATTTCAATTTATGCCACTATAAATAATGACATTGTGAATATCTCCGGAGATCAATCTTTCCCTGAATATATGACCACTTCCTTGGGATAGATTCTTCTAAGTAGAATTAAGATTGAAGCATATGAACATTTTCTCAAGTTTCTAATATAATTGCCAAACGACTTTTCAAAGAGTTATGTCAATTTATACTCCTCCCAATAGACTGAAATCTGCTCACACTGCATTCTCATCAACATTCCTTACCATCGATCTGACAAAAGAATAAAACAAGAAAATACTTTGCTAGTGTGATAGGCAAAATTATTATTATCATTATTTTATTGGGCATCTACATTTCTCTATGAAATGGTTTCTCCAACCCCTGCCCATTTTTCTTTTAAAAGGTAAATGAATTGGGCGCCTGGGTGGCTCAGATGGTTAAGCGACTGCCTTCGGCTCAGGTCATGATCCTGGAGTCCCGGGATCGAGGCCCACATCGGGCTCCCTGCTCAGCAGGGAGTCTGCTTCTCCCTCTGACCCCCCCTCTCATGCTCTCTGTCTCTCATTCTCTCTCTCTCAAATAAATAAATAAAAAAAATAAATAAAAAAAATAAAAGGTAAATGAATTTATGGAGTTTTATGCTGACTACTTTTAGGAGACGGACCTTACCTTCTTTAAATGCTTATTCTGATTTTTTCAGTGGAGAAAAAGCTATATTAGAAACATGTTTACTATGTATTTTTTCAGTCTTTTTGTACTTTTTGAGCTTTCTTCCTGTATACTCTGCCCTCTTTTACCAAAAGAGGAAGAAAGGGGTCCATTAAGTAACATGTAGTTATAAATAAACTTTCTGAAACAATCCCAGAGTAAAAGGGAAGTCCTAAGCAGTTTCCAAAACAATAAAATTTATCCTTTACTCAAAGGATCAAGAATAAAATCTATCCTTTATTTAAAGGATTGAAGAGAAAGTTAACAAAACTCTACTTTATTTTTCCTTTATTCAGCATGTCAGTCCCTAAATTATTACATAGAAGAGGGTCCAAAGGTAGTAAGATCAGTAGTTAAGTCCCTACACATAAATTAAAACACAAGAGGTATTAATAGTGATATACCTTCTTCTTCACTAGATGTTTTAGGACAACCATGAGGGAGGTAAGTTAATTGGACTTTACGATTTATTCCAGAAAAATGGCCATACCTGAAAAACAAAATGACAAGCAGAACAATTTTTAGTAAGTATTCAATGCAACCTCCTAAAGAAAAACTAAAATCCATCTAGAGAAAACCTAAATCTACATATTAATGTGCCCTTCTATTTTTAATTAATTGATGAATTCTCTAACATACCCTAGCAGAAAATCTCTGTACCATCGGTACTCATTCTAATCACATCAAAAATGAAAATACAAAAAATTCCTCTACAAAACTTAGACAATTTTGAAGAGATGACAAAGTATAGAAATATAAAAAAATAAATGTATGGGTATCTAAAAAATTAAAGGAAATAAGATTCTAAGGGGTTAAATATATAAAGCTTATAATTGGAATACCGGTGTTATCAATTTCACTTGATTAAAACATAGCTCAAAATTGTTTTTTAACTAAACAGCATTTAATCAGTGGTCCTGTTAGCAATTTGGCTTTCATCCTAAATAGTATTTCATAAAATATCCAAATTCTTCTCATCCCAAAATGAAAAGTAAAACTAAAACAATAATCTTCAAAACAACCATATATTTTCTCACTGTACCAATAAAAATCTCACTAGACTTTCACTAATTTCTCTTCAGCTTCAGCAATAAAGTGCAAAAAGATCAAACTGTGAAGGAGATTTAACAAACTCTTTTAAAAAAAGAACACTGCAAAAATCAAAGTTAGGAGTTTCAGAAAGATTCTCACATTTCCAATACAGTCTTAAGTTGTTCAAGTTTTGACTTGTTTTCTTCAATTTCAGAATCATTATTTTGCCCCAGCTCCATAAGAAGTTGTCGGGCAATGTCCAGCACTTCCTATAAAATAATAAAGAACTGAATTTTTATGTAACTTTGTCATTAGCAATTTAAAACCAACAAGAAATAAAATGCACTTGCCTGTAACTGTTTTGGCTTTTTGAGTTTTAATTTCCCAGATTTGTATCCATCACACTTTTCAAAAAGATCAAAAAATCTTATAAAAAAAGACAGCACAGTTAGTCCTTTGAAATAATTAGTATTAACACTATACACTTACACAAATCACTTATAAATGAAGATATGGGACTCAGGTCTATGGATTTCAAATACTGTGTGTCCTCTTTCACTATAGAAGGTTGCTGCTCCACTGAGTGATAAAACTTACTATTCTCCTGAGCACATCAAACTAACAATCACTAGATCATTTTTAAAAGTTTTTCTCACGATGGAAACTGAGTATATGATTGTAATACTAAATATCATATTCTCTGAAGTCACTGCATACATATACATATTAAAAAATGTTTCAACACATATTGATTGGCTCAGGTTTTAAATTTTATTGTTTCCAAATCAAATACTGAAGAGAAAAAAGATAAACTTCCATTCTACTAATTTCTTCTAGAAGGTTGAGAGGTTAAAGACTCATAGAAAGCAATGAAGAGAATAACAAACCAAGATTAAACACATCTAAGGATGTTTACGCCTTTACAACAGTAAATGAAAGCCAGATCAGATGGACGATAATTGATGGATATTACCATAATAATTTTCAAATGCTGATACATACAATTATTTTACATGGATTTTGTTTGCATCCAGTGGTTTAAATTAATGGCCAAGAAATGGGAAAACAGTTTTACTATATGATGCATTAATCAAATCAGCTAATCACCTATCAGAAATCTTAAATTATCTCCTGAGTGTTAAATAATTATTCCCCCTAAAACATACTTTTGATGCCTCACTTCCATTTTCATTTTTTGTTTTGGTGTTCGATCCCCATGACGTATCACAGCTATGACACATCTAAGTTCCATCCTAAAATAAAAAAAATGTTCTCAATTTTCTAACAAAGATTTCTGTTATATAATTCAGACTAATACAACATCTCATTATTTGTTTAGAGCCATCTTCTACCATTTCGAGATCTTTCCCATGAAGAACAGTACTTGTAACAACCAGTTGATTTTATCAAATTCAATCTTAAGATTTTAAGAAGCTGGAGGGGAAGTAATATTAAGCTATATATCAGCTTCCACTGGGATAAAAGTAAACAAATGGCAATCCTGAAACTTCATTAAATACTTGCCCTGTAGCATAGATCATTACAGACTGAGATTTCATTAAATCAAAGCAAAATAAAGCTTTACTTTATAGCTGATTTATTTTGACCTTGTAAGAACAGAACAAGTATTTCAAACTCAAATTACTAGAAGATAATAATGTCTTAGAAAGAAGGCTAGGGTATACTTTAATGTATGCCAAACTGTAAGCCACAGAATACAACCCTGCAGGATTTACCTAAAAAAATTTTATGTTAAATAGTTTAGAATACTGGTTTAAAAACATAATTAATTTCTTTTGTCCTCCCACCCTAACCAGGACTTCTCAGAATTTTTAACATGCTAATGTAAACGTCTAAGCTGTGAATATGAAGCATTTGGTCAACTCACTTTGAGTAGCAGGTGAATTTCAAGCAGTAATTTTCACTAGTAGAATGTTATTAGACACTTTGGCAATATTGGTCTAATTAATTTACCTCAAGACATACCTGTATATTTTTTCTTTACATACTCAGAATACAAAAGTTGTATGACCACTGATTATGAACCTTTAAGTGACATACCTGTTGGCACCTCCTTTATTTTTATGACTTAATTCAATAGTTCTATAACTAAGCATTTTCCAGGATTGTTTTTCCAGAATTTTTTTTTAACAATATAAAAGATCTTTAGTCTAGGTGGACTCCACAAAAGCATATAATCTATTTCTCCATTTGCCAAGTGAATCATATGAAAACATACACAGTAAAGTGTCCAATAATCATTCAGAAATTTAATCTCTATTGTAATAGCAGAGACTGATGTACAAAACCCAAGGAATTTCTAAAGGAAAATATTCAAACTTACATAGTTCCAGATGTAGTTGGTACAATTGGGATATCTTCAGCTTCTAAGGGTATTGACCAGGGGATATGAAATTGTGGAGCAAGTTCTCGCATTACAATATTGCTTTGATACAAAAAGAAAAAACTAGAAATTAGTTCATTTTAAGACAAAACTCAGTACTCAATGACTAACGATATAGAATCATAAAAGGTCAAACTAGTGATTCTGTGATTATAGCACATAAAAAGTAACTCAAAGAATCAACCCTGATTAAAAAAAATTATATAAGCAGTTCTAAACTGGTACATTAGAACACACTGAAGAGATGCCATAAATTTGGAATTATTTATTATTTAAAGTATAAATCACAATGGAGTCAAATAAATCACTATAATTGCATTAAATCTACTCACAGATACATTCTGAAAGCCAAGATTGTCTCTTCTTTAGGGCCAAAGGTCTTTAGATTTTATTTATTTATTTATTTAGAGAGAGTGTGTGCAAGAAGGGGGGGGGGCAGAGAGAGAAGGACAGAATCTCCAAAGGACTCCCCACTGAGCATGGAGCCCTACATGGAGCTCGATCCTAGGACCCTGAAATTGTGACCTGAGCCAAAACCAAGAGTCGGACACTCAACTGACTAAGCCACACAGGTGCCCCAGGGATCATTTCTTACCTGTTTGTTGATCACTTTTGAAGTTACTCTAAATACCATGGCTCTTTTTAAACAAATTTCCATTATATTTTACTAATAGGGTTAACAATGGAAACATGTTAAGTAATTATAAAACATTTTTTGTTTTGTTTAAATTTAGCATTTATTCATGCTAAAATTTAGTAAGCTCTCCCAAATTTCACCTTAAGTGAAGTTTACCAATCTTTAAAATATACTATAAAAGCTGACTCCGATTATGACAATACATTTTAAAGTGTTTCTATGGCTTTGTCATATATATTTTGAAATGGTTTAAAATTATTTGTCTTGTGAATCTTCTAAGTGAAGGTATAAGAAAATAGGTCAAAGAAAATAAAAATGGCATTTCTACATGCAGTAATTTCTTTTGGGTTCACTTGATAATCTCATGAGATTATCTTTAAGTGACATAATTATAGAAAGCAGTATCATTCAAAAAAAACCCTGAATTCCAAATATTTCTATTCTACTCTGGTTATTTATTTCATCAGTGTTCATTTTTATATCTTAAAGTAAGAGAATGAAACTTTTTCAACTGTAATCATGTATCAAAAACTTGCAGAACAAAGTAACCTAATAAATTAGCTGGAATAATAAGTGTATAGCACTTCTAAATCTTTAAGTTAAAATATCTTTAAGCCATCATCTATAATGGCCATAGATTACTCTGACTTTGATAACCCAAAGTATAACTCAGGATTTGGCATAGTTCTTTGGGGATGTCATTTTATGAACATTGATTTTTATTCTAGAGCACTTCCAGGACCCCGATCATTTGATGTTTACAATAATTTGGTTTCTGAATAGCTAGTCTGCATTAGCTGTAACAAAGGTAAAGAGGAGAAATATAAAGAAAAAATTCTTACCCAAGTATTTTTGCACAATCATCATAATACTTCATGGAATTTTTCACAAAACTGAAGCCATTGACATCACAGACATAGGACTGTCCATTGGCTCGTAACAAATCAAAACCACAAACTGTTTGCTATTTAAAATAAATTATAAACTTTAAAGTAGGATTCACAGTTTTTCAGTCTTTTAACGTATCAAATTTTACAAATGCCTAAAAATTCACTACTGCTTATTAATTTATTTCATAGTAAGTAATAAATGAAATTATTCATCTGTAACCTGAGTACTCAAAACATGTAAAACATACCATATGATCATTTGAGTTCCCCCATGAAATATAGAACAAAAATGCTTAAGAGATGAGAGGCCAAAAAATAACAAACTATTACAAGACATTCTTCAAGTAACATTTAATTAAAAAACAAGAGTAAAAATTTTTAAAGGCTTTGTTAAATTTTGTGATAGTAGAAATTATATCACTTTAATCCAAAAAAGCATAAAGGAAAAACAGTTTTGAAGATATGTCCCAGAGGAAATGTCCAATTATGCCTATGAATCTTTTTTTTTTTAAGAGATTTTATTTTTAAGCAATCTCTCCACCCAATGTGGGATTCAAACTCACAACCCCGAAATCAAGAGTCACTGGCTCTACCAACTGAGCCAGCCAGATGCTCCTCCCTCTGAATCTTTTACACCATGACAACTATATCCTCGTGAGCACCTGAAATAAATTTAGTTTATTTGGGAGAAGAAAACAGTTGCAAGGTAGGAATTTCCTACTCAGGCTCCTAAAATTTTCTATTTTCTGCACCTTATATTCAAATCATCACATATTAGTATAATGTGATTTTAAGTCATGTCTTTTGGAATCCTATTATTACATAATTAAAACAATTTATATAAAGCTATTAAAATGTATTTATAGACTAACATTCCTTCCACAAAAGTGACTTCAAATTATTAAGATATAAAGTATTTATTATTTAATAACCAGTAACACACTAGTTTTATATTATATACCCAAGACAAGACTTTATAAAGTTTATCCTTTAATAGATCAAGTTGTACTACTTTGGTTTAAATCTTTAACATACATTATTGGAAGCCTAATGATTTCACTGAGGGAATTAGTCAAATGTTAGAAGTAAAAAATTTTTTTACTCAAGAAAGAAAATTAGAATTTCTTTTACAGGGGTCTATATGGCCTGTAAAACATCTTACCTTAAAAGCAAGGCAGACTTTCCAGGCAATTAATTTCTCCCGTGCATTAAGAATAACAGGGTATCTAACTTCTTTTCCCTCACTGTCTCGTTCCACCTTGCCATCAAGCGCTGGAGATTTTCGAGCTTCAGCATGCGCGTAATCTGGACCCACTGTATAAACCTTTAATAAATGTTAAAATTAAAAATTTATATATTATTTAAAATGTATTAAATGAAAAAAAGCAGACAACAAATCAGAAGAAAAAATAATCAATAAAAAATACTTCAGTCTCCAGACTGTTCTTTTCACACTTCTATTTCACATGCCAAAATTTTCAATACACTGGAAAAGATTATAAATAATTAATTACATGGCAAAACTGCTAACATGAAGTTCTGTTCTCTACAGAGAATGATTATACTGAGCATTACGAGGGAACACGAGGTTGTATAGGATGTGATCTTTTCCAATTTTTTTTAGCTTAACCAAAGGAGAGGTACATTACAGAAGGAAGTAATGGCCAAAAGAAAGATTAAAAAACTGGGGGTGGTGGTGAGGGACAGCATACGCTGAAAGGCAGACAAGAAAGGGAACAGCACCCTAGGTAAAGGTAATCAACACAGAGGCCAGAGGCATTAAAGAGCATGATGTATTCAGGTAAGAGTAAGTTATTTGGTGCCTTTTATTCTGTAAGAAATAAGGTTCATAGGACAGACTGGGAAATATTCTGTATGCCACCCTTATGAACCTGATTATTACCCTATGGTCAACAAAATCCACAAGAGAATTTTAAAGGAGAGATTCATGGTCAGGTTTACACCTTAGAAAAAAAGACACTCTCGTTAGATACTGGATGAAGGTAAAGCAATTAAGACCTTATCTGTCACCAAATCAAACATATTGTTTGATTGTATTGTACTACAGTTGTTGCAGATATCAGAACATCATTTACTAGTGGCTATTGGACCCTTACCCACTATATTTTATTATTTAATGTCCTTTTAAAGAAGAACACATATTATTGTATCACAAAGTTGGTTTTTAAATATTTTTATAACTACATTTCAATAAAATTTGTCTCCTTGGCAATCCTGTTTTAAGCATCAAAGAACATTATTCTAAAACAAGGGTCCATAGGCTTCAGACTGCCAAAGGCATTCATAATACAAAACAGATAAAGAATCCCTAGTCATAAAAAGAAAGAGATCCAGAATAGAGTCTATTCTCAGGGTACTCTCTTTTTCTGATATCGTTGGTAAACTAAATACAAAATTAAAATATACTGTAATCAGTCCTACCTTTACATCAGTACCATCTGTGGGCATAAACTCTTCATATATATATGAGCCTGTTTTTCGTACATTGCTTTCTGGGGAATAAACACTACTCCTACTGCCAATCTGAAAACGAAAGATGTCCACAAATATAAAAACTAAATTATTCATCTCATTTTTATAATATAACCTTTTTACCACCTATTTCCATCTTAGATATTTCCAAAAACTTTTATTGGTGCACAGATATTTAACAATACTTACTCTAGAGTTGACACTGTATTATTTTCTGCTGTAATATAACTTACATGTAAATTAAATTGTGTAAGAATACAACGAACAGTAAGAATAATGTTCCTAAGATTCAACCATGTTCTTGCATGTAACCCTCTTTTGTTCACTTCTTCCACCACAGAATTTTCCACTGTATAAGTACACCATAATTCATTCATTCTATTAATGAATATTTAGGTTGTTTTCTAAGCGTTAGCCAGTAGAACAGTGTTGCTTTCAACATTCTTTTAAGTGTTCCATGTGCAAGAGCAGGTACAAACTACAAGTAGAATTTCTAGGTGATATAATTACTAGGTGCTCATATTCAACTTACAAAGATAATGCCAAAATATTTTATGAACTGTTTTAACAATTTAGAGTCTTCTAGCAATGTATGTGAGTTCCCAATGCTCTACATCCTGGTCTATAATTAGTATCGTTAAACTTAGTATTTGCCACTCTAATGGATATAAAATAGTATCTCACTGTGTTCTTACTTGCATTTCCATGATTGCTTGTAAGTGTACATGCATTTTTAATCTTAATATATTGTTAAATTATGTTGCTAAGAGATAAAAGGCTATATTAATTTACATTTCTGCCAACAACATTTGGGCTTGTGCTTGTTTTCCAACTATCTCAATCTTTTTGATCTTTTGCCAATCCAAAAAGTAATTCGGTGTCATTACCTTTTAGACTTCATTTGCATTTATTTTATTATGGGTACAGTTTTGAGCATACTTTCATGAATGTAAATGATATTGATATTACTTGTATCTATGAATTATCTATCTTGGGGGCCATTTTTCTTAAAGACTACTGATCTTTACCTGAATTTCTCATATGCCAGATACATAAATGGAAGATAGAAAGAAAATCAAGTAAGTTTCTTCATATTTTGTATGTAGAAATTTTGCATAAACAACATTAAATAACTAAAATAATGCCTTGCTTTTCTAACAAAGAAGGATATCAGTTTGAATTTATCCCTGAATGATACATTCTTATTTAATCTTAGTTCCATTTAATACTTGATTACTTTTAGTAGAATTTGTACGAAGTATGAATAACAGCATCCCCTAGGATAACAAAGGTTTACCTTTCGAAAAAGTCTTTGACTTCCACCACCAGCAGATGTTGGATAGTAAATGTAAACATTGTGATCCTCTGCACTGACTGGCTTTTCTACGAAAGGCTTTTGAAAAACTTCACCATTTACTTCTACATGATCTTCCCCTTCAATCAGATTGCATTCTAAAAATCAAAATAACAGCAGGAAAAATTACATATTGTATATTATCTATATATAATATTATTGCTAAAGTTTTTACTAGAATAGAGTTTACAAAGAAAAGTAACCTTGGATAATGTATGATTTGATTTTAATTAAAAATTTATGCAGAGGAGCCTGGGTGGTTCAGTTGATTAAGTGTCCGACTCTTGATTTCAGCTCAGGTTGTGATCTCATGGGTCTGGAGATGGAGCTCAGCCTCAAGTTCCACACTCAGGAGGGAAGTCTGCTTCAAGATTCTCTCCCCCTGCCCCTCCCCCCATCTCTCTCTTTAAAAAAATATTTATGCAAACAACATATACCAAGATTTATGATCTATGACATTAAAAACTACAGTTGTTCTTCAAAATCTTATGAACCTGACATTTTACCTTATCATCCCATAGAATTCAACATTAGATATGAAATGATGCCAACAAGAAAGACTGAGAAATTATTCTAGATTGTTTTCATCTTCTGAAAATTGTATGGAATCAGTTGTATCACAGATACCACAAAACATGACATTATTTAAGTTATTAAAATAACCTATATAAAGTAAGCAAGAAATCCAATCAGGAAGTTAACTTTTTACCTCTAGACAAATGAGAGAAGTTCCCTGTTACAGATAATAAATGCTATATCTGGTTTTTAACAAAAGTTGCTTTAAGGTACAATAAAATCATCAAAATTCCCCAAAATACCCTTGTCAGAATATTAAATCTTAAAGCAGATAAACATTTCTCTTGGCTTTTTAGACTGTTACATATAACTTACATGCTACATTTTAGATAACCAGAAAAATGAAGCAAAGGGTGCTTTAGGATATTAATGAGTAGTAATATTTCTAAATTCCTGGTCATCAGAAATTATGGTATCCTAGCATGAAGTTTCTAATCCCGAATTCAACAGTCATAGATAAATCACTTGTTTACCCCTAATCAACACAAATTTATTAAGCATGTAATTTAAAAATTCTTTACAATTCCCAGATATATGTCAAATGTAGAACAAAGAAAAGTAAGACACAGAACTCTTAAATTATTAGTGGGCCTTTTAGCTTATAGTGCCACACTTCAACTGAACATAATGCTTACGTGGCTCATTAAAAAAAAAGTAAATAGAATAGTATGAGTTCTTTGAATTCCTTCTACTTAATTATAGAAAGGAAGGGGCTCAAAAGTATGTTGAGTGACAAAAGGTAGCTTGCTCAAAATCTCATATTCTGGGGCGCCTGGGGGGCTCTGTCGTTAAGTGTCTGCTTTCGGCTCAGGTCATGATCCCAGGGTCCTAGGATCGAGCCCTGCATCAGGCTCCTTGCTCAGCGGGAAGCCTGCTTCTCCCTCTCCCACTCCCCCTGCTTGTGTTCCCTCTCTTGCTGTGTCTCTGTCAAATAAATAAATAAAATCTCAAAAAATAAAAAAATCTCATATTCTTACCTTTGGGATTATTTGGGTCACGGTTCAAAATTGCATAACGAGGAAGTAAAATACCTTCAGCTTGAAGAATACTATATACTTCTCTTCTGAAGAAAAAGGAAAACATTTTTTTTTATTTTATTGCTCTATTTGAAGAGTACATTATTACTATTGTATGACTAAAAAAGGCATGGATATCAAGTCTTATTTTTTAAATAAATAAATCATTAAAAATATTGAAAATTTCTAAGGAAATATTCAGCCATATTAGAACAAAAATGTATGCACACAATACTTCATGTGGCATATTAAAATATTAATATTTAAAATTGAGACTATAAATATATAAAAAGAAATGGTTAAATACAAAGTTGCTATATGGCAATGACAATATTACCTCTTAAAAACTTTATACTCAAAGAATATTTAATGACATAGGAAAATGTTCATAGTATTTTAAGAGAAAAGTGACCCTAATTTAGTAAAATGTGAGTGGATGTATGCATTGCTTTCTACATGAAAAACTATGATAGACAGTAGCAGGGTTAAATACCTTTCTTTATGCTTTTATTTTCCAAATTTCTTAAAGTAAATTTGCATTTATATATGTATATATAACACAGAAGCATATATTAATATGTAAATCTATGGAAAATGTTTTAAAATGTTAGATATTGATAATGTTTACTATCTGGAAGAACAGAAAAAAACCAAAACCAAAAAACCATTGGGCCTTAAATTTTATAAAGCATTTTCACACATATAATCTCATATTGTAATGCTATCACAAAAGAAAATTGAATGTTGGTGAAATTGTAAGGGTAGCCATCAGAGTGAAACGTCACTCAAACAAAATAAATAAATATATTTGTATTCTACAGTTTCCCTTAGAAATCCATGCTTTCGGCCTATAAAATGAATGCTAAGATATATCATGAGATATTTTTCAAAATTGTTGCACTATTCAATTTAAAAAAAAAAGTCTAGTTATAATGAGTATAACCCTAATTTCATCTTCAGTTACATGACAGAGAAGTTTTTCATAATTTTCAATGGTTCAGTAGGCTCTGGATATTAAACAAACCTGGTTTAAGTCTTTGTTCCACTATTGACAGAACTACTGTGACTGGGCAAATTAATTCAGGATTGAGTTTCTTCATCTATAAAACTGGGTATAAATACCTATTTCTAAGTATTATTTAGAGGATACCACAAATTAATGTATATGAAAACACCTGATGTCAGCTTACAGTAGATACTAAATAAATGTTATTTTCCTTCCCTTAATTCAGCCATCTCCATCACTCACCTATCTTGTATGAGATACTGCATATTCAAGTCATTGATTACAAATGGATTCCTGAGTTTTGCATAGGCAACTGCTTTGTCCAGTGGAAATCCTAAGAACACATATTATTAACATATTCTGTACAATCTCAAGATAAGTTGACATCTATAACTTATATCTATTTGATTTTATGCCACTTCCCATAAAAGGTTAATTTAATTATGCATATAACTGCTTTCCATATAAAGCATGGAAAAAGACATAAAACTTGACATAACTGGTACTATTAATAAGTCTTATTTTTTCCTAGTTAATTTGATTGATAAGGCACAACAAGCCAGTGGCTATATAACCAACTGTAGAGCACTGACATGTTAGTCAATGCCTGATTATTCAAAGTCACCTGATAACAGGTTAAGATTACCTCATACACAAACAGAACCCCCTATATAAATAAGTATATCACAATCACTTGGTGACTTAAAAAAAATAAATATGACTTCTTCTCACTTTAGTTTGATATTTATACATATAAATTGCCAATAATTCAAAGAACTTGTGCATCTTTAAAAATAGCAAAAACAAAAGTTAATTCACATACAATAGATATGCTCTAAATATAAAATATATGAGTAGAATCATACTTGCTGTAACTAGGTCAATGTTAAGGTATCAGAAATTAACTCCCTAAAATTTCTAGACTTTGATAAAACTACTAATTACATGGAAAACAAATCAAATGGCAGCTATAGTGGGAGGTCTAGAAAAAATCTAAAGCATTTTAATAATTATACCGCACTCTCTGTATTGAAACTAAAAGTCTCCAATTTTATCCATCAATACCTATTATTAAGAGATGGTATGGCAGTATACCATAGAGTCTAATAAAACAGGGTTCAAAATCCTGGCTCCATCTTTCATTAGCTATGTGACGCTGGGTAAATTTATTTAACATCTCTAAGCCCCTGATTCCCAGCTGTAAATGGGTACTATACAAGTTTTACCTAGTAGACTTTTTGAGGAACTCAATGAAGGAGTGTATATAAAACACTTAACATAGTCCCTGACAGAGTAAGCTACCAATAAATATTTATTATTCCTTAAATGACAATATTTTAAAGAATATCTTGTCTAAGGAAAAGAGGAAAAATCAGTAAGCATGCATAACTTTAGAATTTAACCTTGGGTACTACAGAATACCTGTACAGACACTGTATTTTGTACCATTACCAGAACAGCTGAGGGGAAGTAAGTACTAAGGCATACTGAAGTTAACAAAACTAAACAAAAAACTATGGTCAGTTAAAAAAGACTTATTCCTAAATTCCTCTTAGTTTTTAAAATTTAATAAAAGTACTCTATAACAAGAATCACTTCCACAAATTACAAACCCTTCTCGTTTTGTAAAGACTGCGAAGAATTCATCACTTGTCATCAAGATAGCTCAATGTCTATGATTTAAAGCATCCTAATGGAATTCAGCATATAGGAACCTCTGTAACAGTTCTCTGGTTCTGTTGTTGTTGTTAAAGAGGAACTTTTTCCATATCAAGAGACAGCATATGGGATATGACCTTAGATAGCACCTAGTTTTTACAGGCAAAAAAAAAGCTTTGGTAGGAAGAACCATGTGGCAGTAAGGGAAGACCACGTTACCCTGAAGGATAAGCCAATTTTAAGATTCTCTGAAGTAAAGGACTTCAATTTATAAAGAAGACCAGGGCCTTGGCTTCTCTATAGGCTACAAGAGCACAAAAAGTCTCAATCATGCTCCACCCCCTTCATGCTGAAGGAGAAGTTTCTTGAACACTTAACTAAAGTAAAACTTTAACACAGCTGGAGATTACATATTTTGATAACAAAATGATTTAATATGAATACGTTTATAACTGAGCATGCATCTTTTAAATTATAGTTCTTAGAAATTCACTTAATTCACAGATTCTTGGGTTATAAATGTTCAAATATTCACTAATAATTTTGACTAGTGGGTTTTACTATGAAGGCATACTTTACCATCAAGTAATATTTAAGTTTAATTAATGTTTCTGTTTGATTTGTAAAAGAAACCAAGTAAAATTGAAAATTCAAACATTAAGTTCTTCAGAAATAAAATATGAATATGTATATGAGGAAAGATAGATCATTTTCTATATGGCAAAAGCATACGGCTTAAAATATCTAATAATTCAAGAATTTATTCTAAGTAACTTAGAGTAGTGCAAAAAAAGATATGCATTAAAAGAGTTCATAATAACCTTATTTCTAATAGTGAAAATTGGAGACTATTAGGATAACAGTTAAATATGTTATAGGACATCCGCATGACAACACACTATGATGACGTTAAAAATCAGGTCTTTGAAGAATGTAATGGAGGGGAAAAAAACTCTTGATATAACTAATGAAAAAATTAAATATAAAATTACATACACACAACCACAGTAAATCCGTTTAAAAAAATACATAGAGAAAAAAATGACCGAAAAGAAATATATCAAAATGCTAACATCACTGATATGTGAGATGGGTGAGTTTAATTTTATTTTTCTGTGTTATCTAATACTCTACAATCAATATATATTAGGCTTATTATAAGAGGATAAAGGGAGTTCCCACCCCATTCTTTAATACCTTTAGAATGGAAAGAAATAAGACAATCACATAAAGGCCAGTTTTCTACTGGTTCATTCAAAATAACATCTTCTTCAAATACTACTACTGTGATATATTTAAATAAGGAGATCCGTTCAAGAATTTCCTTCATTGGTTTGGATTTGGATTTCTTTGCCATGGAACATATTCCAACCACAATCTGCCTTTCTGGTGGCTAAAACAGAAAGAAAACAACAACAACAACAAATCAGGTTGACTTAATACAAACTCCAAAGTAGAGCTATATTAAATCTTTTTCAGAAGTAGATGCAGGATGTAATCAATACAAATGATACATTAACCAAAAAAGGCATTTTTCAAAATTACATTTTTGTTATAATAAATAACAAATAATAGTTGTCTACAAAAGTCTGGAAAACTTTCAGGACATCATTACTACTTTCATTCTGATTTTAAACTTAGACAGATACTCCTTCCTTAACTGTTTCTAGTACTTATTTACCTTTGTCACAACAGAAAGGGGAAAATGAGGGTCAAAACCTATCTAAACCAAGTAAAAAGACCAATGAGAGTGAGATAAAGAATTCTCTTGCCTGAAATAAGATATTCTGACTACAAAGCGATAGTATACAGTGTTAAACTATTTTTGTAGACTGAGCCTGAATAGGAGTTGGTCACCAATGACAACGTGGAAGAAAATTTTGGAGAAAGCCAAACTGCTAACAGAGGTGTCAATGCTCTTTGAAACTCCAATCTTCATACTCAATATTCCTGTCTACTGGTGTTGTTCATCTCTGACACCCTTGCTACAGCTCAAGGGCCATGGTTCGTCCTAAAACTAAAAAAAACAGGATATATAGAAATACTTTATAAGTAGCTCACAGGTTTACAAAATTACTCAAGATTCATTCTAAGATCTTTGCATTCAAGTAATTAAGAGTTTTATCAAATAAATAAAGCTGTGCTCAGTTTTTTTTTAGTTCTCCCTCTTCCATATCTTATATATTTCACATGATATTGTAATCTGAGCTCAAAAGTGTTTTACTAGACTTTCTCTTATTATAAATCTAAAAATAAAATTGGGTAACATCAGATTTAAATTACCATTATGTCTAAAATTAGATTTCTTCATCGCCTCTTCTAACTCATATGAAATTTAGAGCTCAAACTTGTATTGAATTTCATTGTAAATCCTAATCTCCCTGGGATCTGCTGTTTTTTCCCCTTGATCATCCACTTTTATGTTCCCTTACTCAATTCTTTCCTGATCAAAAGCCTCTACATAGCTCATGATGTTCCTAATGAATACTTCCCCAGCCAACAAAAGATATTTGCAAATGATATACCCATTAAGGGGTCAATTTTTAAAATATATAAAGAACTCATACAACTCAACACCAAAAAATCAAATAATGCAATTAAAAAATGGGCAGAGTAACTTAACAGACATTTCTCCAAAGAAGACATACAGATGGGCAAAAGATTCATGAAAAGATGTTCAGTATCACTAATCATCTGGTAAATGCAAATGAAAGCCACAGTGAGATATCACCTCACACCAGTGAGAATGGCTAGTATCAAAAAGACAAGAAATATCAAGTGCTATCCTTGTGTAGTACTGTTGCTGGGAATGTAAAATGGTATGGCCGCTGTGAAAGAGAGTATGGAGGGTCCTCAAAAAATTAAAAAATAGAAATACCATATGACCCATTAATTCTACTTCTGGGTTTTTACCAAGAAAACAAAAACACTAATTCAAAAAGATATGTTGACTGCATCATTATTTACAATAGCCAAGATATGCAAGCAATCTAAGTGTCCATCAGTAAATGAATGGATAAAGAAGGTATAGTATATATATTTGTCAGCCATAAAAAAAGGATAAAATGGATGGACCTACAGGGTATTATGCTAAGTGAAATAAGTCAGTCAGAAAGACAAATACCTTATGATTTCACTTAACATGGGGAATCTAAAAACCAAAACAAATAGACTCAAATACAGAAAACAGCCTGGTGGCTGCCAGAGGGAAGGCGGACGGTGGGATGGGTAAAAATGGTGAAGGGGATTAAGAGGTATACAGACTTTTAGTTATAACATAGATAAGCCATGGGGATGAAAAGTACAGCAGAGGGAATATAGTCAATAACAGTAACTTTGTATGGTGACCAGATGGTAACTACACTTATCATGGCGAGCATTTTGGAATGTATATAATTGCTGAATCACCATGTTGTACACATGAAACGATTATGTCAATTATACTCCAGTAAAAAACAGCACTCAACCTAACATTTCCTATTGCTTTACAATTTTAAAAAAAAGGCTACTACGCTAAATTGTATTTATTACAGATCTATTTAATATCTACTCATTAGCTAAGATGAACTAGAAACTTCCAAGTTTAAAATGAACAAATAAACCTGCATTATTAAGACAAAACTATAGAATTTTCCTATAGGTAAAATCTTGGAAGCATAAAAATAACTGTTTAGACAGATCTGAGTTACTCTGATAGATTTAATGTCTAAAATGAAATTCATACCTTTATTTTTCTGAAATTCATACCTTTAATCCTAAAAATAGGAGAATGATCTGGAACAAATCATTTTGTCAATCTATAGGCCAAATGAACCAAATCAAGCTTCTCAAAAGTGTCAACTATGCACCACAAATGTGACTCAATTTATTTAGTACCAATATTCCAAGAATTACACTAAGTGCTGAAGTTAGATATTGGGAAACTACCTATCCTCAAAGTGCTGTGAATCGAACAGATCACAGTAATAATGTAGTACATTATGATACATGGAATACAAGTATATACGTCAAGGTATAGAAATAGTACTGAGGGGGCACCTGGGTGGCTCAGTTGGTTAAGCGCCTGCCTTTGGCTTAGGTCATGATCCTGGGGTCCTGGGATTGCGCCCCATGTCAGGCTCCCTGCTCAGTGAGGAGTCTGCTTTTCCCTCTCCCCCTCCCCCTGCTTGTGCATGCTCTTTCTCTCTCTCTCAAATAAATAAAATCTTAAAAAAAAAAATAGTACCGAGGAAGAAGTATTCAAGATTATAAGGAGAAAGGGAAGAATGAATAGGGAATATGAGCAAGGTTTTGAAGAATGAAAAACAATTCATAAGGTACCCCTCAGAAAAGGGCATTTCACAGAGATGAAGAAATACACACAACAGCAAAGAGGCATGGTACACCATGGAATAATATACGAAAAACAAAAATTTGATATTGTTGAAACATAAAAGGTAGAAGGGAAGAGAGACTAGTTCAGTTCTAGATATAAGGGACAGACAAAAGTCCTTCTTTGTAAGAAATGGACTTGATCTGTCAGTGATGTTCAGAATGTTCAGATAAACTCAGACATAAAGGGGTAGGGGTAGTAGAGGCTGAGTCAATAGTACTTTCTAGCTTAAGTCAGACAGATAAAATATGTTTTATTTATTGGACTTCTGGATAACACTTCAGATGAAGAAAAATTTTGCCATTAAGAAAAGCCTGAAAATCATTTTTCCTGGGGTGAGGTGGGGGGTGGAATAGGTTTTAAGTGAATGACAGTCTCATTTGCATTTCAGATATGTGTAACGGCATGGTGAAAAGTGAATACGGAAAATGATGTAAATAATCATCCAACAGCTACTTTTGGTTTGTTTTTTACTAAATATAACAGGTTTTGGTTTGAAAACAAAATTACCAGGGTGCCTGCGTGGGGCAGTCGGTTAAGCGGCTCACTCTTGGTTTGGGTTCAAGGTCGTGAGATCAAGCCCTGCGTCGGGCTTTGCGCTCAACATGGAGCCTGCTTGGGACTGTCTCACTCTCCTTTTGCCCCTCCCCACCGCCCTCCCTCTCTCTCTCAAATAAGTAAATAAATCTTAAAAAAATTATTTTTTCAACTGGAAATGTAAGAAAAAACAAACATAAGTTTGTATCTTAAATCAATTTTCCCAGTAAAGCAATCTACTTCTAAAGGGAAAACAAGAAAAATGTTGAACTAATACAACTACAGTAAAATGAACATAATAAATGTGTGTTATTCCTAAAGATCCAGTACAGCTATACATCCTAGTCGATCAGATCAAAAAGAAAACAAGACTTATGCACTTATACACCTCTCTGGATACTTGAGGTAGCCTCTTCTTCTAGTCACAGTTACAGACTTCTGAATAGTTAATATATAAGGCTATCTTTGGGTCAACCACCACTTGTATTGACAGCATGACAAACTTAACAAAGCTGGCTAAGTCCTTCTTTAGTATCTTTAAAATTATTTCCCCCAACTTACTTCTTTATCTTGATGTACTTTTTTAAAAAATTTTATTTTATTATGTTACATTAATCACCATACATTACATCATTAGTTTTTGATGTAGTGTTCCATGATTCAGTTTGTGTATAACACCCAGTGCTCCACGCAGAACGTGCCCTCTTTAATACCCATCACCAGGCTAACCCATCCCCCCACCCCCTCCCCTCTAGAACCTTCAGTTTGTACTTTTTAGGTACTTCTACATAAAAGAAACCCTTTTGGTTTATGGCCCTGATTATTCTCTCCCTGCCACGTTTTCAACTGATTCCTGTGTTATGCTAGGCATATCAGTGAACATATCATGAAAGACATCATTAAACAACTTAAAAGTCTGACCCCTAATCGGATTTCTTGATGCACCATAGATTCAATAATGCTCCTGGTGAAACATAACATGCTTTTACAGTGCAGAAGATTTCCAATAAATTTCTATGTACAAAAATGTCTTCATAATTTAGAAAGTATTAATCCACCTTGACGGTGATTAGCTAGAAGCCTATACTGTACTGGTCCTTTCTCACCAAACAAACAACTTACAGACTCATCCTCCTCCTCCTCATCTTCATCTGCATGGTGGAAGAAATGTCGATAATTTCCTGAGTTTATTTCTGTATCTTCAGGCCCAACAAAGAATCTGGGGGTCTCACTCATTTTTATTTCATCTGATACAGATATAAAGCACTATACTAAAACTGCTCCTCAATAAACCATTCTCTCTATACTAGCTGACACAGAGCTCTGTTGCAGCTTGTTTCTGCTTATACAATCACTTGAAATTGTGATGACGGTTGGCAAATGTTCTTCTGTTCTCAGATATCATTGCTTCATTGTTGATGAAGTTTAAAAGACAAAGAGTGAGGCTATTGCTTCAGTGAGTTGATGCAGTAATCTTTCTACCTAAAATGCAATGAAAAAATTAATTTTGGAGACTGTACTTCAAAAACACTCATGTAAGAGTAAATGACACTTGTAAAATCATGACTAGTAACCTGATGCATACCTTCAAATGAAAAGACATTTGCTTCCATAAAATTAAAAAATTAGGCTGTCATCGTCAATAACCTACATTTTATCAATTTGACAAACTGATTCAAAAATAACAAAAAGATAGTAATAAAATAACAAAGTAACAATAACAAAAATACACACTAAATCCAAGTCCAAAAATAACAAACGAGAAAATGATTCAAATTATAAAATTCCATTAAAAGGTAAATAACTCTGCAACACAGTTAAGTAATACCTGAATAGAATGGAAAAAAACAAAACCAGATAAAATGTAATGTGGATTTAAAATCCACTGAAAGCTATAAATCAGTTTGAAATTTCGTCAAATCAATTTTTAAAAGACTTTAACTAGAAAGCTCAGGGGATAAAACCATTTTGCATTATAGTCTCAAAAAAAAAATCAACAAAACAAGATTAGAATAAAAACAAGATTTCATTATAACAGCAGCTCTTAAACTTTTAAAAGTCAAAAACTCCTTGGCTAGCCTAATAAAATCTATGCACCTGCTCCTCAGAAAAAAATGTACATGTGTAATAAATTCTGCAATTTTGTGACTGACATCCAAGCTTTTCTATAGAAACTGATGCCTATCAACATCAGTTTAAGAACTCATTCATATAACAGTGATATCTCAAAATATCTTTACCAAAGCTGTTTATACTACTGTTCCTTGGTCACATTAAAACTAATAACCTACCAAGATGAAACCACATATCAAATAATTCATTTGATTACTGGTAATAGAAACTATTTGATCGAATATTCTTAAGAGTTGGATTATATGTTAGATAGAACTACAAAGCCTAACTCCAACAAAACTCTTATTCCTAAAGATCTAATTCTAGTTTAATTGGTGGTTCCCTATTAAATATTAAAACCCTAGTGTAACTAGCCAGGCTTCACTTTATGCAACTTTCAAATTAAAATTTCACAGTGTTACAAAATTTCAAACAGTTGGTGATTAAAAAATTAAAGTAAAATATCTGTTCAGAAGACAAATAGTACTCACTCTCATTTTTAAATTGGAAACTACCATGCTACTAAGTAGCCACAATCAAAGGAGTGGTTCTCAAACTTCATACGTCAGAATCACCAGGAGGGCTTGTTAAAATACTAAATTAAAAAGTCTCAAAGTAGGACTTAATACTCTTAAAATTCCAACCTGATGCTCATACTGCTGGTCTGGAAATCAACTTTGAGAACCACTGCTCTCGACTTTGAAAAAGTGGGTTAGAAAGCTTTTTCTGATAGTTGCTCAGTTCTGTGTCCTTAACTAAGTTATTGAAACTGTCTAGCCACCAACTGTAAAATGGGATAAATCTCATTATTTTGCAAATTAAATGACAATGAAGACATAATAGCAATTAGTACAAGGTAAGCATTTAGTAAATGTCAGCTATTTATTTATCTTGCTGGCTTTTATAATTAAGACCGAGATTCCTACCTAACTTAACTAGCACAAAACAAATACAAACAATTCAATTTAGAAGGAACCTATTTACTACCCATGTAATGAAGCCACGGAAACTCCTTTTTGTCGCCGCCGCTGCTGCTGGAGACCTCATTACATGTTTTCCAGTCTTACCACACTGCTTGAGACTATCATGAACACTACTGCCTGGAATAAACACTCCTCTCCTTCACAGATCTGCCATGGTCAAAGCTGCTTAATCCTTAAAATGGTACCATGAATCAACCATCAGTCCTATGTAGTATTCAGAAATCCTCCTTCCTCGAGGAGCCTGAACAGACACGTGACCAATTTTCCTGAAATCCTAAAAGCATTTTTCAGTGAAAGCACTGTTGTAAATGGTGACTCCAGTTCCAGGGAACTATTACTACAGCTACATAATAGGTTATTAAATAGGCTTCTGCATGCTGGCAAAGGCAGCCAAGCACCATTTAGAAGTGTATACAAAAAAGCCCATGCCAAGTTTCACAAAACCCTCACATTGATTTTTTCCTTCTTCAAACATTCATGAACTATATTTTGCTGAGCCTGTCTCTCCTTCTACTTATAATTCACTATTGTCCTTGAAAGTTCCAATTCCTCCTTTAAAAATTAACTGCAAAGTCCTCAATAAATGCTTTTCTGACAACTATCATGCTTCTGCCAACCCCTAAATACACATCAGCCTCTTTCCCATCCCCCATGATCCACAGCGTTTGGGATATATCTTTACAATTACCTGTTTCCATTAGAGTTAGGGTATTTCCTCCCCAAGATTTTATTGTGAAAAATTTCAAATATTCAGAAAAGTTGAGAGAATGGTTCACTATACATGTACATTCATACACTCACCACTAGACTCAACAATTGCTAACACTTTGCCATATTTACTTTCTACCATGTACTTGCTCTATCATTTGAAAGTTATAGACATAAATATACTTCATTTCTATATACTTTAGTATGCATCTCCTAAAAATGAGGACATCCTGCTATATAACCAATTATGATTTCCACTTAGGAAAATTAATAGTTCATTAATACTATTTATATGTAGCTGTGTGGGTGCTTTTAGAGAACAAGGACCTCATCTGTATATTCCTAGTACTTAACCGGTGCATAGCATTTATATGGGTGATCAATAAATGTCCCGCCAATTGTTAAGTGTAATATCCTCACAACATCTACCACAAGTCATGAGTTTAAAACTTAAAACAGCAAGATCTGACTGTGCAACTTCAAATCTTCTGCACATCAGTTTAGTCATCTGCTTTCAAAAAACCCACACTGCAGTTAGTATTTTGGTTTCTGAACTATTTAATTCTGCATCAATATGGAAGCTCCATGAGGACAGAGATCATCTCATCAGACACATAAATAGGCATACTGTATTTTTTTTTTTACATGAATACTTTCAACCACTGAAAATGTTAGTGAAGAAACTGGAGGCAAAGAAGCATAATGGTAAGACAACAGTAGTATAATTAAGAATACAGATTTTGGAATCTAAAAAATGTGGTTTCTAATCCAGTTTTAAATGTTTGATAGTAACAAAAGTTTTTAGGACAAGTGGCCTCTCTAAGCCTCAGGACCTATCTCTGGAATGTGAGAATAATAATCTAATATACCTCATGGAATTGTTGAGAGAAGTGTATGAGAAAATATGTAAAGCACTTGGCACACTTAAGAACTCAGTTAGTGGCGGTTATCTTTAATATTCAATTTGCCTGAAACAAAAACTGTATTTTTCATTTAAGAATTTTCAATAGCAAAACAAAACCCTATTCCAGTGTAGGGCAAGGATGCTGGTTGCTACGGCCAGCCACGCTTCCTACTTCCCCATCTAAGCCTTCTAGCACACTAAAGCAAAACAAGTTATCACCCACAGGAATCCAAAGGTCGCCAACTCCCAGAAGTCGTCCAGAACCTAGTAAATGAGATCCAGTGGTCACCACCCTCGGTCCGTCTCCCTCGAAGGGCGCGAGGTGCAACACTCTCGAACTGATTAGGTGAGGCAGTGAGTGACCTGCAGTCTCCGTTTTTATTTGGGAAAGCTGCAACGCAAGGGCCTTTTTGTTCTTTTGAAGGGGGGGTGCAGGCGGAGAGGAGAAGAGGGGTAAAGACTGAGCAATGAAAATAAAAATAGCAATCGCTACCCACATCAGTCCCCAAACTCCAGGCTGGAGGAGCGAGCTCACAGCCTGGAGTGCCAGCTGGACGCTCGGCAGTTCCCTTCGGGTTCATCTGAAATTTCGGGTATCTCAAACCCAAGGAATAAAAAAGGGGGACAATGGAGGAGAAGAAATTAAGACGCGAAAAGGCTGTAGTGTCACTCCTCCACGCCCACGATGCCTTTCGCTCTGGCACATGCCCCTAGGAAGAGCGCGTGTCTAAGCTCCGCAAAGCGCAGAAAAGACAAAGCAAGTAACTGCCCAGCAGCGGCCTCGGGTGACCGAATTCGGCATCTCGGTTCTCCTCGGGTCTGAGTCCTCACCTGCCACCGCTGCAGTAGCCACGCAAGCTGCAGAAGATAGCCGCGCCCTTTCCAGGTTTCGGCTTCCCTTTTAATCCTAGACACAGGAGTGAAGTGTTCCTCAAAAGATTCCAGCTGTTAGCTTGGACGTAGGTCTTCTCTCTACAGTAGCAGCTGAAGGGCCACACAGAGGTACTGCAAAGCACTACACCTCCCTTATCTTGGTCACGCCTCTCCCGCCCGCCTCGGGTCTCACACAGAAACCTCACCGGGCGGAACGCTTTCCGGCAAGTGCCAAACGGCCCGCACGGCCCCCATAAGCACAACCCTCTTGAAGACACCGGTAGTTCCGTTTCCGGCAGCACCAGATAAGTCGCGAGAGGTACCTTAGATCCTGTCGTTTGCGTTTAGGACCGCTTTCGGTGAGTGGTCGTTCCGGTATGCTTTGTTATATCTAGTGATTTTTAAAGTGAGGCATCACCTGACAGTAATTTCAAAACCATTTGCATCGACAAGTTTAAGGACGGTTTTAATTGACTGTGGAGATTGCGCAGGCGCTCTTGGGGCGAGAGGGCCTAGCTTGGGCGTTGCGGTGTCCCGCGCCAGCTGAGTCGAAAAGGGGCGAGTTCTGTAGTCGGCCGTGGGGAGGTGCCTAGTCTGTGTCACCGAGTTTTACTTGATAATCGTTTTCCTGATCGTGCTAAGTTTAGCTGGACCTTGCCCTTAAGAGTTGATTAACGAGCCATTAAAACTCCCTGGAAATGCTCTCTGATAGTAAAAGTAGCGTCCGAGACCGCGAGCAGGTTCAAAAGTTGACCGCCGCAGTTGGCCGACGTTAAAAGAATTCTCCCACTTACTTTACCGTAGTTGTCATTTAATCTAGTATATTACCTTTTGCCCCAAATTAAAACCGCCTGTGGCGGGGAGAATCGCGAGTTCAAGGGAGACTCTTGTCCGGTAGTTTTAAAGGAAAAGAACACTACCTCAGTGTGGTTTTTCCTTAAATGAGCGTTTCTGAGCCAAAGTAGAGAGATAATTTTCAAAATGGAAATTCATGTATCATATGTGGCTTTATATGTATGCGTATGCAGATGAAGGCATTTTTGTTAAGCGAATTTGTAGGTTGAAGTGAAGCAGAGTAGAAGTGTTCTGGTGTAATTAGATTTCCCAGTCTTAGACATTACATAAAATTGTGCTCTACTTTTTTTCAGAGATTAGACTAATTCAGAAGTAAAAATTCTGATCACAAGTTAATATGTTTATTGAAATATTGAAAAATTTAAGTTTTTAAGCCGGAATACATGCATGTTACAACTTTTTGGAGACTTGAGTTGTTGGCCTTGATGGGTTTTGTCCAATTCTCATTTTATTTAAAGTGATACTTAACTGCCTTACTTTTTGCATACACAAGATAAAATTAAATGAATTAAGTAATAAATATTTAGACAAGTACTTATTGATTTTATTTGACGTTGTATTAGGGACCTAGTGTTAAAGCTCAACTAAATTTGACCCTGACAGTTCCTCTTGCAAAATTAGAAGTTGTAATCAGCCACCTTCACCTCCTCTTCTCATCCTTACGTATTTTAATACACAAATACTTATTTTAACACAAATTCCTAAAAATAAGAACTATTTAAAGAAGGCTTAATCTTCATTTTGATAACATAAATCACTTAATTCTCCTTTGTAAAAAATACTTTTGTTTAATATTTGGATATAGGAAGATATTTTATTTATGTTTCTAATATTACAGCTTAAAGCCTTTTTCTCATGCTACTCATGGTTTTTAGGGATCAAATGGTGAGTGTATTTTGAAAAGAAAAAACTGCTGGTTCTTTAAATTATTCCCGTATATAAATGCCAAATATTAGCAGCAAATTTTAACCTATTTAGATGATTTTCCTTTTTGTGAACTGATTTTTCTTATGTATTTAAGCTTGTGAACCACATTAGACTATAAATTCATTATAAAGTATACAGCTCTTGAGTCTTCTGGGTTTCCTGGTTAGCAGTAAAACATAAATAAACATTACCATAAAACATTAATCACCATTAGTGAAAATGAGATTTTAAAATCTTTTTCCTTGTAGATAAAGGTTTGAGAAAGGAAAGTGTTTTCTATTACTTTGAACAGCTTGATATGAATGATAACAATAACTAAATATGTTAACAGTAATTATATATTGAATTACCACTTGCAAAGGACTTTTCAAATCCTTAATCTCATTGATCCTGATATTTATGGAAAAGAAGGGATAAGTATTATTTTCTTTTTTCATATGTGGATACTGACGCTTAAGTAGCTCATACACCAGAAATTTTGACTCCTAAAAGCCATGACTTCTTAGACACACCCTACTTATAGTGCCATATATATGTGTGTGTATATATATGTATAAGTGAAGTAATGTTTTCCTAAGTGAAACAGCAATTATGTTTGAAACGTGCTCTTTTTTTTAATTCAGTTATCTTTCCTATGAGAAAAGGCAAATAATTCTTTGCTCATTCACAAATATGTGAATGTCCACTGTGTCCCAAACAATGTGAAATGATGTAAACATTAAAAATTAATAACTTTGTCACTTCTCATATGTAATCTGAATTATTAATTACAAAATCATTTTATAACTTAACTAGCAGAGGCCTGAACCAAGTATTATGAAATCTGAGGTTGACAATAATGAAGTTATTAGTGTAGCAGGGGAAAAAAGCTAACAAAATTTGAAGCAACAGAAAACAAGGTTCAAATGTCAGTGCCTCCACTCACTGTGTTGCTTTGAGCAAATTGGATAATCTCTCTGAAACTCTTATTTTCTTATAAAGTGGATATACAGCTAGTGCATACTTCATAGGATGTTGTAAGGATCATCACAGTAAAGCCTTGTATAAATGTTTGCAATTCTTAAAAATTGCAGTTAATTAAAAAATTCTTTAATTAAAAGAAATTGTTCCCTGTCCCTGTAGTTTTGGCTTTTTCAGATGTCATTTAAATAATAGCATATAGCATATAGCCTTTTGTGTTTGACTTTTTTCATTTAGCATAAAAATCATTATGATTTTTAAGATTTATCCCGATTGTTAAGTATATTTTTATTTGTTCCTTATCAGTGCTGAGTAGTATTTCATCATATGGATCTACCATAATGTTTATCCACTCACCAGTTGATGAACATTTTGTTTGTTTTCAGATTTCAGCTGGTAATAAAGCTTCTAGAAACAGTCACATACACATTTTGTATGGTTATATACTTTCATTTCTCTTGAGTTAAAACTGTTTTCCAGCATGTTTGTACCATTTTGTATTCTCACCAGCGAGGCTCTGTATCCTTGGTAGTAATTAGTATTGTTAGGTTTTGTTTCTTTTTTGTTGTTTTTTTTGCCATTTTGATGGATGTATAGCAGTATTTTAGTTTTTATTTGCATTTTTAAATGTCTAATTGTGTTGAGCACGTTTTCATGTGTTATTTGCAAATCATATTTTCTTTGATGAAGGTCTGTTTAAATCTTTTGCCCATTTTTTAAGTTGGATTATTTGTACCTTATTATTGAGATTTAAGAATTCTTTACAAATTCTTTGCAATGATGGGGATGGAGCTCGAATATTTTACAAGGCCAAATAAGTCAGTTAGAGAAAATACCATATTTCACTTGTATGTGGAATTTAAGAAACAAAACAGATGAACACGGGAAGAAAAAAAAGGGAAGCAAACCATAAGAGACTCTTAACTATAGAGAACAAACTGAGAGTTGATGGAGGGAGGTGGGCGGGGGATGGGCTAAATAGGTGATGGGTATTAAGGAGCACACTTGTGATAAGCACCGGGTGTTATATGTAAGTGATGAATTACTAAATTCTACACCTGAAACCAATTTTACCATGTATTTTAACTAGAATATAAATAAAAACTTGAAAAAAAGAGAGTTCTTTAAAGTTCTGAACACAAGTTTTTTATTATATTTGTGTACTGCAGACATTTTCTTCCAGCTGTGATTGTTCTTTTCACTTTCTTAACATTGCCTTTAAAAGAACAAAGTTTTTTTGGGTGCCTGGGTGGCGCAGTTGATTAAGCATCTGACTCTTGATTTCAGCTCAGGTCATGATCTCGGAGTCATGAGATCAAGCGCCAGCAATGGGCTTCATGCTGACGGGGTTTCTGCTTGAGATTCTCTCCCTCTGCCCCGCCCCTTGTGCTCTCCCTCTCTGTCTCAAATAAATAAATCTTTAAAAAAAATGAAAGAACAAAAGGTTTTTGTTTTTTAACTTTGTATTCCCATAACCTAGTGCATATAAGGATTTAAGGACTTGGTAAATGAATGAACAAATAAAAAGTTATATGGATGAAAGGCCTAACAACTGTAGTAGAGAGTAAAACATAGGAAGTTCTGCAACGGTACAAGGAAAGTCAGGAGAGGTTGAGATCACTTCAGATTCAGATATCATGGAAGGCTTGCTTCAGTGAGGCGCTAGAAGTTTATTTTGAAAACTGGTTAAGACTTAATCAGATAGGGGCATCTGGGTGGCTCAGTCGGTTAAGCGTCTGCCTTCTACTCAGGTCATGATAGCTGAGTCCTGGGATTGAGCCCCGAGTCAGGCTTCCTGCTCAGCAGGGAGTCTGCTTCTCTCTCTCTCATAAATAAATAAAATCTTTTTAAAAAAAGATTTGATAAGATAGAATTGGAAGGATAAACCATTCACAGGGGAAATGGTGACATAAACCAAGGTACAGAGAATGGTTGGGATGTGGGCAAAGGTATATAAAGAAGACGAGAGGAGAAACTGTAAGGCTTGTTTTGTGCCAGGTTGTAGAGGCTTGGCTAAATAGTTCAGACTTTGTCTGTAAGCAGTGGAGATGGCCAGGAGCAGTCTAATAGTGTCTACTCTGTCTAATAATTCATTTGGAAGATAAAAATACGCTTAGGACAATGAATAGTTTAAGTTTCAGGGTAACTGTCAAACAAATGATCACTCCTTTGTTTTCTTTACTAAGACAGCTGACCCTTATATAACACACTTGTGAAATATGAAAATATGTAGAAATTTTCTGATTTTTATGTCTTCCACCATGAGAGGAGTCCACTCTACCTTAATGATGGCCAAAAACCTCAAAGAACTCAGTCTCCAAAATTTTGTTTATTGATTTCTTCTACTCCTTGACCTTTTGTACTGTGGGCTTGCTCTGAGGAGGGTGAATTATTCTATTTTGATGTATTTTCAGTTCTTTAAAAGTTAAGGGTTTGAAAGTGGAGAGGTTAATTTCAGTGAATAGACTTTACTGAGCATGAATCTTTGTTCACATATTTTAGGTAGGACAGCCAAGAGTATCCTAATAGCACTTGATTCTTGAATGTACTGAGGGCTTCATCTTATATTGAGTAATTAGAGAAAAGGTTTTCTGGTATCCCCAGTGCTATAGACTGAATGTTTGTGTGTCCCTCCCCTCACACACACACACACACACCCCACAAATCTGTATGTTGAAATCGTAACCATCAGTGTGATAGTATTTAGAGATGATGCCTTTGAAAAGTGATTAGGTCATGAGGATGGAGCCCTCAAGAATGGAATTAGTACCCTTCATTGTTGCTGTTTTTTAAAGTAGTCTCCATGCCCATCATGGAGCCCAATGTGAGGCTTGAACTCACAGCCCTGAGATCAAGACCTTAGCTGAGATCAAGAGTCAGATACTTAACCGACTGAGCCACCCAGGCGCCCCGGAATTAGTGCACTTTTAAAAGAGAGGTCAGAGAGCTCTCCAGCACCTTCTGTTATGTGAAGACAAAAGCAAAGAGGTAATCTATGAACCAGGAAGCAAACTTTCACCAGACAGTGAATCTGCCAGCTTGTGTTTGGACTTTTTACCTCTAGAACTGTGAGAAATAAATGTTTGTTGTTAATAAGCAACCCAGTCTATGGTATATTGTTATAGCACCCCAAATGGACCAAGACACCCTAGAGAATTGGAGGGGGCAGTTGGGGGAACTTAAAAGACAGAAGCTTTTAAGTATAAGGGCAAAATAATGGACATCAGTGTGGTTTAGGGAGACATTCATGTTGTCCAATAGCCAGGTTTTTAATACCAGTTACAATTACCCATACCCCTATGTTTTATGGGACCTAGTGTTTTCTCTAAGGTATAAGAGTTTAGTGTTTTGCTCCTGGAGGCTTTTTATAGGCCTGAAAAGGCCTTGTCTTTTTAAGGTCCTTCAGGTTTTGTAACCTTTACTGATCTCTGGAAGGGAGGCAATAAAAGATTTTAATCTTGTTTGTTAAATCACTTCTTCCTCCAGATAACCATGCTCAGCTGCTGTCTAGGATGGGATGTTTTAAGGTTTTCTTTTAGATGGTTTAGAACATTGTTGGTTCCAAAAGCCGTTCACAGAAAATAATAATTTGGGGTCATATATTTTACAGAATATAGACCCTAGTGATTTAATCTAAAATGAGAAATGGCAGGGTGCCTGGCTGGCTCTGTGAGTGGGGTATGTGACTCTTGATCTGGGTGTTGTGGGTTTGAGTCCCATGTTGGGTGTAGAGATTACTTAAAGATAAAAATCTTTGAGAAATAAAATGAGAAGGGCGCCTGGGTGGCTCAGTCGTTAAGCGTCTGCCTTCGGCTCAGGTCATGATCCCAGGGTCCTGGGATCGAGCCCCGCATCGGGCTCCCTGCTCGGCGGGAAGCCTGCTTCTCCCTCTCCCACTCCCCCTGCTTGTGTTCCCTCTCTCGCTGTCTCTCTCTCTGTGTCAAATAAATAAATAAAATCTTTAAAAAAAATAAATAAAATGAGAAAAGACAGTTCTTTCTCTCCCTTGGACTTGGAAGAGCTTGTGTCAGTGTACCCTGGAGTTGAAAATAGGATAAAAAACAATTTTTCCTTGTTGGTTTGTTTTAAGAGTTGAGGTTTAATACAGAACTAGAGTGACAGGCAAATGGTTAGGTAATCTGTATAGTCTGTATTCCCTACTTGATACCACACAAGTTTTCCTAAAATGAAAATTGATGAAGTGTGGAAGTTTGCCATAGAATCATTTGGCAGGGGAAAAACCATAATGAAGATGACATTAAAGTAAAGCCATCAAGAGGTCTTCTGTGACAGATTGGGTGGGTGGTGGGGGTCAGGGGGAATGGTGTACTTCACCAAAGACAGTTTGAAAAGAACTAAGATGTAGAGCATCATGGAACTTGAAAACAGGGCCACGGGACAAGGACTGAGTGTATACATAGTAAAATCTCTCGATGCCTTTACTATTTCCAGTTAAGGGTTATCATGACCACAAAAAATCTATGAACATTTTTGTACACATCTTTTGATAGTCATGTATTCATTTCACTGAGGTATAAACTTGAAAGTAGATTTGTCAAGTCCTTAGGGTAGACAAGTTTTTAGTTAGAAGAAACTCAATTTTCCAAGGTAGCTTTAGCCTTTTGCACTCCCACCATGTATAAGTGTTTCATTTGTTACCCGTCCTTAAGCTGGCGTTGTCTGTGTTTTTAATTTTACCCTTTTTGAGAGTGTGTAGTTACAAAAATTACGACTTTTAATTTGCTTTTTGGAGTAATGATGTTGAGCACATTTTCACTTGCTTATTAACCATTTGGATTTTTTTTTTTTTTTTGAAGTGCCATGTAAGATTTTACTCCCATTTTTTAAGTTGGGTTTTTATCATTTTCTTTTTGATTTGCAGTTGTTTATATATGCTGCGTATGAGTCCTTTGTTAGGTATATATATATTAAAGATATCTTCTGCCAGTCTGTGATTACCTTTTCCTTTCCTTAAAGATGTCTCTTGAACAGGTTGTGATTTTGATGAAGTACAATTTGTTATAATTTTTCTTCTTCTAAGAATAGTGGGTTTTTTTTGTCCTGTTGAAGAGATCTTTATATATCCCATAAAATAGCTTACACTATGCTGACCCAAGAGATATTATAAATGTACTGATATCCTCACTGGAAGTTATGAAAAGATTAGAAAGATGGTTATTGAATGTGGAAAGTGCTGTATCATAGGGGAAGAGACCTAATAGGCTATTTAAGCCATAGGTTCCTAGGCACAGTCTATTCTTTTTTATTCTAACATTCCCTCTGCAGTAATACTCTCTTGTAGCCTCATCCCTAGATCTTCTAGTGATCAGTAAACATCAATATTGTTTTTAGAAATTAAAAATTTTAAGCATTTGTGTCAGAGTCCTGGTAGGAAACAGAAGATAAGGGATAGGGACACCTGGGTGGCTTTGTCAGTTAAGCGTCTGCTTCGGCTCAGATCATGATCCCAGGGTTCCGGGATTGTGAGTTGGGCTCCCTGCTCAGCGGGGAGCCTGCTTCTCCCTCCACCCCCACCGCCCTGCTCATGCTCTCTCTCGCTATCTCTCTCTCTCAAATAAATAAATAAAATCTTAAAAAAACAAAAAAGCAAACAGAAGATACATTCCCTGGAAATTTGAAGAAAATTTAATGAAGTTCCTATTTAAAGACCAAAGAACAGGGTCAAAGAAATCAGCATGGTCCCTGGAGATTAGTAACAGTAGGGACTAATGATGGAATAGTGCCCCTGAATTAGCAAAAAGAAGAAATGATGTTGTAGACTTCCAGTGAGAGCTAGAGACATGGAAGATGGGCTACTCAAGAGGAGCTGTAGTTGTAGAGGGTTGCAGCCTAAACCAAGGAAGGACCTGGGAAATAAATATCCTGACCTCTTCTGCATTCTGATTTGCCTCCTGGTACCCCCCACTGGACAAGCCTAATCAGAAAACTATAAATGTAGTTTTCAAGGGTCAGTCTCCTAGGGCACAGTGGTAGGGAAAGAAAGGCCAGAAATTGATCTGAATGGGTGGGGGTGGTGGCAAACAGAATAATCTGCACAGAATAGTTTCTTTCACCTAAAAATATGAACGAAAGGGGCTTTTTTTCTTTTTAATTTAATGGTTTCCCATATAATTTATGGTCTAAAATAGACAAATTTTATTTTGTTTTGTTTTTGCCAATGTGGCCAGAGTTTTCTTTATAATATAGAGAAAATATGTACAGGACCAAAAATCATTTCTATTCAAAAAAAAGCAGCTTATATGTAGTTCAGAAGAGTATATGAGATCTAGCATAGCTAAATATCTTCTCTGTCATTTATCATTTAAACATTTTGAAAATCTTTCTCATAAATTACTTGGACTTTTTTTTTTTTGCATTTTGCAATGACCATGAATTTATTTAGAAGGAAAAAAACTGTTTCTCCCCTTTATAACCTATCATGTATTTAAATGTCACATAACAGAACCATTCTATGTAAGTAACATTTCAGTTGATGGTAGTGAGAGACTTTAAGCAAAACTTTTTAAAGTGTAATTATTTATTGTTTTTTCCCAGTATATGGAAAATTTTCAACATTTCTTTTCACATGGAAAGAGACAAGATAATGTGTCATGATATATCTCAAAAATAGCTTTTGAATATTTTAGTTCATTATACATCACACAGTTCCTTTTCTGTACTATATTTATCTCCATCACAGATAATATTCCGGGAATGTTCAATTGATATGTAAGCAGAAATATGACAGAAGCCTGAACTGAAATAGCAACTGAATGAGCTTATCATTTAAATTATATCTTTAAATATCTTTTACCTAGTTTCATGATGGTCCGTAGTGGAAAAAATGGTGACCTTCATCTTAAACAGATTGCATATTATAAACGAACTGGTGAATATCATCCAACTACACTACCAAGTGAAAGAAGTGGCATAAGAAGAGCAGCAAAAAAATTTATCTTCAAAGGTAACACTGGGGTGCTTGGGTGGCTCAGTTGGTTAAGCATCCAACTCTTGATTTTGGCTCAGGTCATGATCTCAGGGTCCTGAGATGGAGCCGGGTGTCAGGTTCTGGGCTGGGTGTGGAGCCTGTTTAAGATTCTCTCTCCTCCGACTAACCTCCCTCTCTCTCCCCACCCCCGCTCTCTCTCTCTCTCTAAAAACAAAAGAAAGAAAAGAGATAAAGGTAACGTTTATGCCCCAAGTGTAGCGTTAATATAGATGCCTTTCCATGTGTTCTTTGTGGAATACTGAGAATTTTCTGTGGTAACTTATTGTTGCTTAACAATTACCGGTGTAATTGATGATGCCACTCAGTCAAAAGCAAAATAAAAATCACAGTGAAGCTAACTGAATGCCAGTAAGCATGAAAAGGGAATTTTAAGTCATAGACAGAAAATGATACCATGAAAAAAAAAACACTCACCTAAATTAACCTCTTATGCTCTTGTCCTCAGGTAGTTCTACTTTAATGGCATTTTTTAGCACTTATGTCACTATCGATGAAGAGCTTATTTGATGCTGATATGAAAATGTTGACGTTAACTTTTTACCATATTTATTTCTGTGGCCTCCCCGCCATCAGATATTTTCAGGATCCCATTCATTTTTGGATACCTAATCCCCCTGAATGGATTAAATATTTGAAAGGCAATAGAAAATTTATGTTGAAAGATTATGGTAATTTTTCCTTCTTTCTCCTCTTCCTTCAAAGGGAAGAGAAGTTTACGATGAAATAAGCCAGAAGTTAGATCACCAGACAACTAAATGAATGTTGGTGCTATTAATTAATGGGAGTTTTGCCTCTAGGTATAAAATCATGCTTCCTGAAAAGCAGTTCAAGAAGCCTTTAAAATAATATATAAATACCTCCTCATATCTCTCTGTGTATACCCTTTCCTATAACTCCTTTATACTTCATAAGTATACCTATTACTTCTTAATAAAGTTATGATTCATTCATTCATTTATTTATTTAAACATTTATGCAGCAAATGTTTACCAAGTTCCTACTGGGTGTCAGTCACATTTTAGGCCTAATACACTGATGAATAAGGTAGATAAGGTTCCTTCCCTTAAGTTGCTTACCTTCTAATTCAAGGAAGGAATGTTTCACTCAGCATATGCTTAATTGAACACATTAGTAACTTAGTGCTGTGTTTGGAGTTTGAATAGCTACCTCATCCACACTGAAGAGATAGTGATTCTTTCCCTACCTCAGTTGCTTTCCAGCGGTGTTCTTCTCAGGTGCCCTCCAAAGGAACAGAGAACTGTCTTAAGGATTAAGGTTCTCTTACTTTCCTGCTTTACAAATATCACCTCCTGTTCAAATCTAGAAAAACTTAACAGTGTGGTTGCTTACAAAAATGTAAGTTATGGTGAAACACTATTTTGGAAAATTCTGTTCCAGAAGTTGCTTACCTGTACATAATTCATCTGCTAATTCATGCCATTTTTAGGAGATGCCTGCAAGTATTTTTCCAGTTTGAGTACTCCCATAGAAAGATAATTTCATACTCCTATAGTTATCACATGTTTTGGTGAATAAACTAGCTCCACTGGTATAGATAGCTACAAAATTATAGCAACTAGTGATCCTCCTACATATCAAGTAAGCATAACACCTGAGGACCTTTCAGGTTGTATGGATGCATTACAAATAAATATTCTATCTTAGAGGGGAAAAGATTTTTAAAAACCATAATGGTTTGATGATAAGGCTTTGATTAGATTATCTTAAAATTATACTGATCTCTAAAAATTGCAGTCTTGTCTTTTTGTTATTATTTATTCCAGAAAAAAAGCTGTTTTATGTTGGAAAAGACAGAAAACAAAATCGTTTGGTAATTGTTTCAGAAGAAGAAAAAAAGAAAGTCTTAAGAGAATGCCATGAAAATGACACTGGAGCTCATCATGGCATATCCAGGACCCTTACTCTAGTGGAATCCAATTATTACTGGACTTCTGTGACCAATGATGTCAAACAGTGGGTATGGCTTATATATTAAGAATATTTTAAATAATACCTTTGTAGTAGATATCCAAAATTAATTATTGCTCCACATTTACTCTGGATATTACCTCTTGTTAAGTACTTTTTGTATGGGTAGTGTTTGTACAAAAACATTTAAAAGTTTTACTTTCCATCAGAATTCTCCTTTGGGGGCCTGGGTCCCTCAGTCGGTTAAGCGCCTGACTCTTGATTTCAGCTCAGGTCATGATCTCAGGGTTGTGAGACAGAGCCCCACTTCGGGCTCCGCACTGGGCATGAAGCCTGCTTAAGATTCTCTCTCTCCCTCTTCCCCTCCCCCCTCCCTCTCTAAAAAAGGAAAACAAAATCAGTTTTTCAGAATTCTTTAAAATCACTAAAGTATAATTTGAACTAAAACATTATTTAAATATTTGAAAAATAGCATATTTAAATAGATTATTTATAAACAGATTTTCATCATTGAACTCTTTTGTATCGCAGAATTCAAATGGGGCTGAAATTCCTTTGACTAAATGATTACCTATTTGAGGCAGTCATATAATCTTTTCTTGAGAGGAGAATCTGTTCATATGTCAGGTCCAGTGTGTGCTCTCTTCATTTGTGCATATCTCATCTTGATACAAAAAATGTCAAATATGGCAGAGACCCAAAACCAACTAAAGGCAAAATCAAGTTGTAAAAATGATGAAATTAGTCTGAGTTTTGTAACTTTATAACTTATTTCAACCTTCAACTTCTTATAGGATATTCATCTAGGAATTCTGGTATTCTTACTGGTAGATCATCTGATCCCTACTCTTTCTAGTGTATTCTATATGACTTGGTATCTATGTGAGATCCTTTTAATAATTATAATAGTATATCAAAAGATTGTCATTTCAGGTATAAAGAATTAAACCAACGTTTAAATAGCGTTTGTAAGTTATCAGTTTGTAGTCTGTGCATGTATTGCATGACCTCAATATTTGTATTTGCCTTTAGAACCTGCCACACATTCCTTTGATCTTTGTCAAATCTTTATCATTTGAGAATGGATACGATTTTTAGAAATAGAAGTTATTTATGATGAAAGCTATTACATAAATTGGACAATAAAACTTTTGATTAAAAGTAACTAATGCAAAGAGAGTTTATAAAATTTTGTTCACAAGTTGGTTTGAAAGTGGTTTCCAAAGTGGAATTCTAGAAATATGTTGAGTATTGGCACCATCCGTATGTTAATCGGTTCTCATCCCACATCCCATTAAAAGCTCCATGGCAGCATGGGCTTTATTTTTGTTCTATTTTCGTGGGACCTTGAGGAATTTCTGGCATCTGTAAGTATTTTTTTAATAAAATTATGTTTTAATAAATACTGTTGAAATAGATCAATAAATGAATTTATTAGAATGATAACTGATGAATCACAGACCTGTACCTCTGCAACAAATAATACATTATATGTTAAAAAAAAAAAAAAGATAGTAGGAAGGGAAAAATGAAGGGGGGGGAATTGGAGGGGGAGATGAACCATGAGAGACTATGGACTCTGAGAAACAAACTGAGGGTTCTAGAGGGGAGGGGGTTGGAGGGATGGATTAGCCCAGTGATGGGTGTTAAGGAGGGCACGTATTGAATTGAGCACTGGGTGTTATTCACAAACAATCATGGAAGACTACATCAAAAACTAACAATGTAATGTATGGTGACTAACATAACATAATAAAATAAAATAAAAAAAAAGGAATGATAACTTTAAAAGAAAAAATCTTTTACTTACAGAAATTATTGTGTATTCAGATACTGACTTAAAAATATAACAAATTTGATGTAAGAAATTTAAGATTTATTTACATAATAAATATTTGTTGAATGTAAACTAGAATTATGTTCTATGTGAATAAGACCCCTTAAAGTAGTCAGTGGATTGTAATAGCAAGTCATATTTGCTTATTATTCTGAACAGAAGGTTTTATTCTATTCTGAGAATAGTCTAAAAGTTTCTCCTTCGAAACACAAAGTATTAACAATTTTAATAAAAACTTCATATTTATAAGACTGCTTTTATTATGTTGAATATATTAACATCTATATATTTTTTTTGTTATTGTGTGCCTGTTTTATAGGTATATGCTTGTCAGCATTGCCAAGTGGCAAAAAATACAGTTATTCTAGCACCTAAACAGCACCTTCTCAAGGTGGAGAATCCATGGAGTATAGTTACTGTTGATCTGATGGGCCCATTTCATGCAAGCAACAGAAGTCATGTTTATACGATAATCATGACAGATTTGTTCACAAAATGGGTTGTGATTTTGCCTCTCTGTGATGTTTCAGCATCAGAAATTTCTAAAGCTATTATCAATATATTTTTCTTATATGGACCACCTCAGAAAATAATAATGGACCAAAGAGAAGAGTTCATTCATGAGGTAAGACAAATAATTAGTTGGGTCTAGGAGCATATTTTACTTACCTGCAGTGCCTAGCACATCTGTGCATTATAGGGTTCTTAGTAAGTTTATATAAATTGCTACAGGTGTAGAAGTTTAATATTGTATAGCACAAAGGTAGCTGGACTGGAAACTAAGAGATCAGGATTTTTGTATTAATTGTGCAACTAAGTAATTGTAAGTCTGTCTTCAGGTTTCCTAAAACTAAAATGAGGAAGTTGGACCAAATAATCCTTGTTTACTTCTAGCTTAAAAATTCTGTGATTGGGGGCCCCTGGCTGGTTCAGTGGGTAGAGCATGTGACTCTTGATCTCAGGGTTGTAAGTTCAAGCCCCACGTTGGGTGTAGAGATTACTTAAAAATAAGATCCTAAAAAAAAATTCTATGATTGACATATAGAGGGAGAATTGACTAAATGGAGAAATATATCATGTTTATGTATGAGAAAATTCAATTTTTCCCAAATCAAAATTAATTTAATTAATTTCTAATCAGCATTAATAAGGAGGGAGCTTATTTCTTGCCCTCACCTTTTTCCAGATTAAAGTTAACTTGAAAAAATATGCAAGCAAGAATATATATGAAAATTCTAAAAAAGGAATAGTGACTATGACATTTAAGGCATATTTTTAAATTTTCATAATTACACAGTACTGATATAAGAAAAAAATCAGACACAGCCAGACATGTTTAATTCTGTTAACAAGGAGTTATAGCAAACACATGTAAAATGTTATCTACCAGGGAAGCTTATTAGAGACAACAGTGCCTAGGATTTTTTTTTAAGGTTAATCTTTTATTATTATTATTATTATTTGAGAGAGAGAGAGGGAGAGTGCAGAGGGAAAGTGAGAGGGAGAAGCAGACTCCTCACTGAGCAGATCGCCCAATGTGGGGCTCGATTCCAGGACCCCAAGATTATTACCTGAGCCGAAGGCAGATGCTTAACCGACAGCCGCTTAGGCGCCCCTCAGTGCCTAGGATTTTTACTGCGAGCTGGTCACAAAGGCACCCTCTGCGTGGCTTGTACCAGAATCCTAGATTCCTAAAGGAAAAAAAGGTGTTCAGCATAAACTATTTTGTTTGTATAGTTTAAGCACTGTGAGCCATCTATATCAGGGAATGATGGAAACCCTCCCCAAAACCCCAAGTTCCTAGCCCCTGAGTGGTTCAGTTGATTAAGCATTTGACTCTTAATTTCACTCAGGTCATGATCTCAGGGTCCTGGGTTTGAGCCCCGTGTTGGCTCTGTGCTCAGCACGGAGTCTGCTTGCCCCTCTCCCTCTCTGTTCCTCCCTCCAGCTCCCATGCATTCGCACATACGGCGCGCTCCCCCCCGCCATAAGTACATGTGTAAAAAATAAATAACAAACGTGGAAAAGTGTTCAAATTAAATAGGAATGAATACTGCAAATTAAGACCATTTTAACTTATCTGAAAAACAAAAATAGTAATAATACTTACTTTTTCTCTGGGGAATTGACTGAACATTCCAGATATTACATTATAGGGTAGTGGAATTTCTCTCATCTACAATTACTGAGGCATGTAGTCAACAATAGTTGCCTTGAAGAGATACCCTGACCCATAGTCAAGTTCATAGGAGCAAGCAGTAAAGTTGTTGCATTAAAGCTGAGACTTGAATGTGTTTTGTAACTATCACATAATCTTGCCTGCCTTGACTGACAAAACAGTGGTCAAAATGAGGTGTATGAAAAAATCCAGTTTATGGGATAACAGTGTTAGAACTTCTGCTTATATTTCTTTTTTATCTAATAAATAAGAAAGGAAATTTTGCTAATAATGTGTAGAGATGATTAATAGCATCCCGGATCGACAAGGCAGATGATTGTACATCACACATGATATATGAAGGTATCGTGAAAAAAGAGTAAGAATCCACAACATAAAAGAGATTTATAGTAGTTCCCTTGCTCATTCTTGGTTTTCAGTAGTAATTGCGTTTCTGAATATCATCTAGTTTTGACCAGACTACTCCTCATGAAATAGTCAGGTGGCTTAAGTTTCTTACACTGAGAACAAGATAATACTAATAATGCAATTACCTATCAGCCACAAGAAAATGATAGAGCTAACACTTCTACTTAACTTCTGGTACTAGTTCTTTTATAGATACTTTAATGAGATGAAAACAAATATGAACTCATTAGATCTGATAGGAAATTGGTCTCCAAAATTCAAAATAAACAGAAACTGATTTGAAATACTGATTTGCTTCCACCATATCTAATGAAAAGCCTCACCCTAAGTGCATAAAGTGCCTAGAGATAAAAATAATGACAGTATGAAGCTATTATGAATCACCAGTTTTTCCGGTTATGTTTAAAGTCATGTGATAATCCAGGACTTTGGAAATTTTACCAAAGGTAACAGTAAATATTTATAAGCCTCTTTTGTGAAGTTTAATAGCAAAAAAACTAAAAATCACAAATGATTGAGAAAATTTGTTCTTTTTGCTGTGATGTAAATGGCTTAAATACTAGCATAATGGTGACAAAATGATATGTTTTCTTTTGTCAGCAAAAACATACCAAACACTGCTGAAGTGTTGAAATAAGAATATTACAGTGTGGATGCATACAGTGTGTGTATTACAAACACAGTTGGATGAAAATACAGGTGTTTCAGTAAAGTGCACAGAATTTTTGTAAAACTCTAAAGGAAAGAAAATAAATGTTTCCAAAGGAAAATCTACTTCTTTGATTTTAAAAATAGGTCTTATGGAAAACCAAAATTGTAACAACTAATAGAATGTCTGGTTTGTTGGGAGAAAAAAAGGCTCTGGGGTTAGGATATCAGGCTGGCATCCCACAAATGAATTCACTGGATCATTCCTAGGCAACAACCTCTTGAAACAAAGAAACTGTTTGACCCTTTTCCAGAGTTCAGTCATTTAAAAGCATTGATTAAGACCTCAGATTGAGGCTGATTCAAATGATACCAATTCTCTCTCTCTCTCTCTCTCTCTTTTTTTTTTAAGATTTTATTTTTAAGTTATCTCTATACCCAATGTGGGGCTTGAACTTTACAACCTGAAGATCAAGAGTCGCATGCTCTACCCACTGAGCCAGCCAGGAGCCCCTCTAGGATTTCTTTTTTTCCCTTCTTTTTTAAAGATATCTCTTTAACTACTTTTGAGTTAAAAGATTAAAAGAAGGGGCACCTCGGTGGCGCAGTTAAGCATCCCACTTCTGGTTTCAGCTCAGGTCCTGATCTCATGGTCATGGGACACGTCAGGCTCTGTGCTCAGCACTGAGTCTGCTTGGGATTCTCTCCCTCTTCCTCTGCTCCCTTCCCCTCCCCAACTCGTGCTCTCTCTCTCTCAAATAAATAAATAAATCTTTTTTTTTTTTTTTTTTTTTAAGTTTCAAAGGTGGCAGCCTAAATTAGTACATATATCAGCTAGGAACTATATTAGCTGCAAGTAGGAGAACTCCTCTCGTGCCCAATATATAAACTCCAAAAGGTGAAAGAAGGTCAGGCTGTCCAAGGTTGGAAGAGTAACCTGAATGTCTTTGGGAACCCATGCTTCTAGTTTTCTCTTCCACCATCTTTGAGATGTGACTAAGGTTCACAATATGGCTGCCAGAGCCCATGCCACAAAAATCTATATTTCAGACAGAAAGAATGGGGAGGACAATAGATAAAAATACCTGGTAGCAGCTGAGTCTACCCAACAACTTTTAAAAGCCCAATCACTTCCACTTATATCTTCTTGACCAAAACTATATTACATGACTACTCCTTTCTTACAAGGAAGCTTGGGAAATGTGGTTTTGGTTTTGGTGGGTTTTTTATTAGCTTTACCTTTTTAGTTACTGTGATACTACTTGTCTTCTTACAATTAGGCAATAAGAATACAATCTTTTAAAAGACAAATTTATTAACCAAAAGTTTACCCAGTTAAAAATAATAATAAAAAATAGTCTGAGGCATAAGGTAGGAAAAATAAGTTATTTTACATTTTATAGGCTTACTGTTTGAAGTTTTCTAAACTCATTTTGACTTTTTTTAGGTCCTGCAGATAGTAAATATAACCACAACAATAATAGTAACATTATAAGTTATAAAGTGCTTAATACTTGCCAATAACTGTTTTAGGTACTTTACAAACATCTACTCATATAATTCTGAAAAGGGTCCTGGGTAGGATCTTCCTCATTTTACAGATAGGAAACTGAGTACACAGAAGTTTAGTTACCTGCCAAAGTCACGTAACTATTAACTGGATTATGTGACCTAGTGTTTATTTGAGAAATTGCTGAATTAAAATGTTATATGAACTCAGAGTTAGTGTTAAATTCTGTTCTTCCATTTCCTTGCTGTATATGTATGTTTGGCAAGGCACTTAGCCTCCCAAAGCTTCTTATCTTTAAAGTGGGGTTAATGAGAACTCATGATGGTTGTAAGGTATAACGACAGTAATGTAAAGCATCTAGTGTATTGACCAGTAGATAGTAAGGACTCAATAAATGGTAATTGCTATTTTAAATATGGTATGTATGTTTTTATATAGAATGGGTATGATTCAGTGAAAAAGGCAAGATTCAGATTCTTTTGAAACCTTTCAGTCAAGCTCAAGTCCTGATCTCATGGCCATAAAATATGAATTTTAAAGTCAACTTTTATATATTTTTCAGATCAATGTTGAACTGTGTGGATTGTTTGGCACAAAGCAAATTGTAATTTCTCATACCTCCCAAACTGTTAATCCAACTGAAAGTACACCTAGCACAATCAAAGCATTTCTTTCTAAACACTGTGCTGACCACCCAAACAACTGGGATGATCACCTATCAGCCATTTCATTTGCCTTCAATGTAACTCACTTGGTATGTGTCTTTTTATAATTCTGTACTTTTGAGTTATGACTGTTTCTTGGCTACATAAATAATTTATTACAAATCATTTTCCATTTTCCTTAAAATAGGAGCCTCCTAAAAATACACCGTATTTTCAAATGTTTAATCGCAATCCTTATATGCCTGAGACTTCAGATGTTCTTCATGAGGTGGATGGTGATGATACAAGTATGTTTGCCAAAATTTTAGGTGCAATTAAAGAAGCTGATAAAATAATGGAGAATAAGACAACTTCAGCAGGACAGGTGATTCTGTTTAATAGAAAACTCTATAAAAATCCATGAAGTAATTTTAAAATTTTCAGCATGCACACACACACACAGATGCACACACACATATGGTATACATATGATATACTAAGCCAAATTTTTTTCTGTTAAATTCTGCTTTTGTTTTGATTATGCAGTGTGCTTATTAGCTCTAAAATTCTGAGAGACAGTAACGGGAAAACTTTGTTCTTTGCAATCAAGTAGAGCTGAATTCATATTCCTGATTTTGTTGCTTTCACAGTGGTTTGATTTAGGCCAATTACTTAACCTTTCTCCATTTAACTTCTTTGTAAAGTTGGGGTAATGATACTAGTTTTGAAATACTACTTTCAGGATTAAATGGGATTCATTCTTGCTTTGTATTAGTATCTCAGTAAGTAACCATCTTGTTATCTGCATTTACTTTCAAGAAACTACAGCTCTTTCATCCCTTTGTTCTCTCTTTTATTTTGCTCTTGTAGATGGAGAACAACAATCCTGATGAACTGAATAAAAGCAAAATCATTGTTAAGAAGAAACCAAAGCAATTAAATCCATTTCATTTAAAAGTGGGTCATGAAGTTTTAAGACAAAGGAAAAATTGGTGGAAGGACGGTCGTTTCCAGTCTGAATGGGTTGGACCTTGTGTCATAGACTATATTACAGAAAGTGGATGTGCTATTCTGAGAGACAACACTGGGACTCGACTTAAAAGACCTATCAAAATGTCCCACCTTAAGCCCTATGTAAGAGAGTCCAGTGAACAAGGTAAGCATCTGTCATTTCTTTACACTTTTACTTTCTGTGAATGAGGAGGGAAGTTAAAAATAATATAAGAATCCACCCCCAACCCAGCCAAAACCCCTTCTCTTAGTTAGGTTTTACTAATATTTTATAAAATTATACCACATTTTATAAAAATGAGAAGGGAAAAGTCTTCTCATTTTTATAAAATGTGGTATAATTTTAGAACTCAGGTATTCTGTTTTATTAGAATGACTCTTCTGAAACTGTCAGGCTTGTAAGAGATCTTATTCTGATTTCTAGGGTACTTTTCACACATTTATGCCACAGTTCATGTAGGAGATACTAGACCTGTTTCACAGAAGGAAGAATTATGTCTTCTCAATTTTCACTTTCACAATATTTTGTCACTTTGTGTCTCGGTTTAACTTGAGAAAATATCAACTAAGATAAATGATACCAAAACCAAACATACTATCCAGAATTCTGTTGTGAGATAAATATACTAGGGAACTTTAAAAAAAGTGATTAATTTTTGGTGTTATGCCATAGTCAGGTCATGATAGATGCAGGGGAGGGTGTAGGGTGCGGTGTAACCAGAATGCTATAAGGTGCTATAAGAAGAGGCGATAGCCTGAACAAGGTTATACTTGCCCCCAGATGTCGTTTTGAACTGTCAGAAGGATATCCTGATTTCTTTAACCCTTTCTTTCAGAGATTAAGAGATAAATGACATTTTGCTGTGGCTTTCAGATTAAATCCCACTTAATGGAGACTGTTTTATTCTGTCCTATTGTAACTGATCCCTAGAGTTTCTCTGGGGTGGATAACTGAAAGGGAGTGAATTGGTACCTCAGCCAGTTAATTTTGCTTTTTCTATAAAGAAAAATAAAGCATCAATAATATTTGAATATGAGTAACAATTAGTGGAAGATGAATTTAGTACGTTTTTAAACAACTGAGTTATTTAACAGGCATAAGTGAATATTACAAGAGCAACAGTAACAATATTTACACTTACCTTATTTTTTTAGGATAAAAAAGCCCTTGGGGGCTGCTCAGTAAATAGCTCAACATTGCTTCTGATCTGGATCAAAACTCTCAAGTTGAAAACTCTTCCTACCTTTCCTTCTGCTTGTGACAGCCTGATTGCTCTATTAGTAAACTTACCTTGGACTGTTCTAATTCTGAAAGCTCACAGTACCTTCATTCTCTTTGTTGGAAGATCGGCACTTTCATTCCTTATATTTCTTCTCAGTACTGAGCTGACCTTTATGATTTCTGTCTTATGTAAGTAGAAGAGAAAAAGATTATACAGGTACATGTTGTCCTTTCTTCTCTAGCAAGATTTTCTCTCTAACCTTAGCATTCAGGACTCACTGCCTTCTAATGTGTTAGCCTTCCTTAATTAATACAAAATTTACATTTAGAATGTTGCTGTATCAGGATTTACTTCAACATTTTGCAATTTGCTCTTGCCAGAGACTTTCACAGAAAGGAGGCCAAACATTTTGCTACTCCTGCATATTTCAGAATCCAACGAGTAGAACAGTTTCTAAACAGAGGCAGTCTAATTTTTCCCTCATGCTTGAATTCTCTGCACATATTTCTTCCAGTAATATAAAGGAAATTATAATATTAGTACCAGTACATGTAAGAAACTGAGATAGATGGGTAAAGTTGTGTTTTCTTGTTAACCAAAGGAAGTGTGACCTGGCCATCCTGGAATCTTGTTCTTGATTACTATTTGTTCCTTATTTTGTGTTTCTTTTCTTTGGAGAAATTCAAAATAAATGTGATTTCTGCCATCTTTTTCTTCAGTATCACATATTATCCTGAAAATCTTTGCCTCAGAACTGATTTTAAAGAGTCCTTGAACTAAGTGTAAAGCAAACTAAATGCCTTTGAATGTCTTAAATCTTATTCTTTCATTTGACATAAATTTGGAAGAGGTATAGCCAAAAGAACTATGAATTTGTCTGTGCGTGCTTGTCATTGCTACTCTTAGCAGCTGTGAGATCTCGTAGCTTTTTTAAAGACTCACTGTCCAAAGCAGATAAGGTTCTGTTGCCAACCACTTATCCACTCTTATCTAGAACATAACTTAGAGGGAGCACATTCAGTACTAGGTCTACAGTATTTCTCTCTGCTATTTTAAGCAGGCCTATGTCATTTTGTGTAGTTCAATGCCAGGTACTTTTTCAAGACTAATTATTTTAGTGAGTTTTAGGACATACCATCATATCTCTTTGTAATCATAATGTTCCCCTCTGAAAAGAAAAATATTACTGACTCATTATTCTATCCAATATAGATTTTGAGTAGTTTTATTGTTTTGTTTTGGATAGGAGTTGTGATTGATTTCTGTCTGCTGATTGCCCTTGACAGTTTCTGAGATGGTTTTCATTATTTTATGTTTCCTATTGATACCATAACAAATTTTCATAAATTTAATGGTTTAAAACAGGTCTTACAGTTCTATAGCTTAGAATTCCAACATAAGATAGGTCTTACTGAGCTAAAATCGGGCATTGGTAGGGCTGTGTTCCTTTCTGGAGGCCCTAAAAAAGAACCTGTTTCCTTGCCTTTTCCAACTTTTAGGGGCGGCCCACACTGTTTGACTTGTGGTCTCCTGCCTGTGTCTTCAAAGCCAGCAATGACAGAGTCCTCCTCACATCACAGTCACTGCAGCCTTCTCTCTTCTTCCCCCTTCTACAGTTAAAGACCCTTGTGGTTGGGCCCACCTGGATAATGCAGGATAATCTCCCTGTTTTAGGGTCAGCTGGTTATCAACCTTATTCCATCACTTCTCTAATTCTCCTTTGTCATGTAAGGTAATGCATTTCCAGGGAGTTTTAGTACCTGGACATCTTTAGGGGCCCATTATTCTCCCTACCACAATTATGGTCTGCATTCATGAAACAAAATAAATCTTAGTTCTTTATTATTAAGCCCATGATTTTTACTTTATTATTAATATAATTATCCAAAGAGCCTTCCTTTGGACTCTTAGTTGTATAATCTTTAAACTGAGAGTCATTCAGTTCTCTGTTGTTAGTATTAGTTATCTATTATAGTGACAATTATGTACTATCAAATTACAGTTATTTGTTGCTTTATCATAAGAAAGGATGGGTGTAATAGTGTGGCAATACATTCTAATAGTTTTAGGATTATCAGGCTATATATAGAATTAGTCTGGTCACCTCTTTTCAGAATAAGAAAATTTAGTATTCAAAAACCGTGTACTTTTCTTTATGTTTGATGAAATAAATCCAAATCACTCTGACTTTTCTGAGACTTTAATTTTAACTTATTTTTCTCCTTAGAGAAATTAAAAAATTTATTTCTTAATTTCATTTTTTTACTCCTTAAAACTACATGAGGAAAAGTAAGTCAAAATGGCTGATAACACCTTACCTTCGTTTGTAAAAACCTAAAGACTTAATTATTCAGCCGGGTCAAAACTGAAATAATGCTTTCATCAAACAAATGTCATAATGATAATTAAATTAATAGAATGAAAAAAATAAGCTTATTATGTAATATGACTGAGTAGAAAAATGCTTTAATATGATATGTTTACCTCTCTCTCTAGGGGGCAAAATTTATCTTGTTCTTTTTCATATCCCTAATTCAGGATTATCCTACACCAGTACTGACCAACAGATAGTAATAAATTTTAAGTTTTCTAGTAGCCATGTTAAAGGACAAAGAAATATGTGAAAATAATTTTAATAATATATTTGATATAACCTAGTGTATTTGATTATTATTTAATCATATGTGTAGGGTCTCAAAAGTCTCTTTCCTGATAATTTTTGGTAATTTGTTTTGATGTTAAAGAGCATTTCTGTTGGCTCCAGTAGATTTAGACCATAATAGGAGTTGAAACACATTTGACCTTTCTGAATGAATGAGAATTTGGGGGGCTTTTTTCCTACACAAACAAGGCTTGAAATCTCCAGAATAATTTTCCATTGCATATAAAGTGATTTGTTTAGAATTTGCCAGGTGTAGTTCTTGTTCTCTACAGTTTTATTACAATAGGTACTTTTTTTTTTAAATAGGTACATTAAAATTTATCATTCATTTAAAAGAGAAAGTATGTGTATTATATAAAGACATATACACATATATAGATATATGAAACATAGAAGCTCTCCTCTTACAAACAAGTGAGGTTGATAAAAGTCCATTTGTTTCAAAGTCTAGTGTAACTAAGAGGTGCTTAAGCTCAAGGTCTGTGAATGCATTTCCAGGGCATCTAAGTGGCAACTTCTAAGAGCTTTGTGTCTATGCATATTTCCCCATTGGTACATATTTACTGGACATATTTTTCTACAAGAGACTTGCTTTATCTGTATGGAAAAAAAATTTTGAGACTGGAAACTTCCTTCATCAAAGATTTTTGTAAGGATCTTTGGAAAAACCTTTAAATCTATGGTATCTGCTGTCACTGATACTTTGCAGCATTGTGCAAGCCTTGAAATATGGAATTCCCATGGCTTATTTGAAAAATTTCATTAGCAATACTTTTATCATACCTAACCTTTTAAAGTTCTCTTACATATTAGTGTCTAGCTTCCTCCAGTATTATGAACCTAAGAGTGAACTTTGATGTTGAACCTCCTGCAACACAGTCTAAAAGTGTTTCAAATGCATTGGTCATGTTTTTGCTCCTTCTTGCTGCTCTTGGGCAATAACACTTCTCATGAGTTGTATGATTTGGTTTTTGTCTTTCAGAATTGTTCTCTTGTCCAGTAATTTATCCCATGCTAACATAAAAATCAATTATCCATACTTTTGTTTTCATCATAAATATGTATATCTTACCATCTTTTTCAATCTAATTACTACTTTTGCATGAATAAGAATTGGTGGGGTAAAACTTGGAAAAACCTCTTAAAACTAAAATACCAAGTATACTTTGCCTAATGAAGAACAAAGTGTGCAAAACTAAATGTCCATACAAACCCAAGTCCACTTAGGCCATCTGTGGGTAGAGAGCAGCATGGCTTTGATCTTTTTAAGTTTTTAAATCAAAAGTTCTTAAGTGTGTAAACTTATGGGATTGGAATAGGTTCAGTGAGCTTTTCACATAGTATGAGAATGGGTAGAATAGGATCGTGTTCCAGGGTTTATTAGGAAATTTATCTGCTCTGAGAAACTTCCCTTGATTTCTGATCTAATGGACAATTAATCTTCCTTTTGCTATTTCTTGAACTTAAAATTTGAGGGCTCTTTAAGCTATTAAAATCTTAAAGAGAATCATTAATATTTTGGGAGAAAATCCAGAAAGAGAAGGCAGGGGTCCAGGAAGTTAATCATCTATGGTGGAAGAGTTCCTTGTTGTAATGAATTAAAGTATCACGTAGGGAGGAATCCTTTTATATACATTAACCTTTTTTTATAAAGATGCTACTGCTTTGCCATCTGTTTAACATTCATATTAAGCATTTTTTTCCTGATAGTGATGATAAATTTGCTCAAAATAGAATAAAATGCTGACAAGGGAAATTCTTTTTCAGTATTTCAGTATGAATTTAGCTCCACCTTAAAAGTTCATGAGCATTTTGGTATTAAGTTGTCTTAAATAAGCTAAGCATTTTAAACTGCCTACTTACATATAAGCCTGATGCTAGTAACTTCATCTTCATTTTAGTTTATAATTTCATATTATAAACAACTCAATATTGTCCTAATTATAAACAACATGACCTTGTCCTAATATGGATTCTATGAAGATTAAAGTTACAATAAGGATTTAATTTGTTAAATATCTTTCAAGATCCCATTAATTGACTCAGGAGTGCCTTGCAAAAGTATGTTAAGCCTGTCATCAAAAATAGAGTTTTATAACTTTGCTTTTAATCTTTACCATAATCTTCAGCTGCTTCTACCCCCTCACACATACCTGCCAAAGACAGATCAAGGGAACAGGAAAAGTTGGCTCTTTTATTTATTTATTTTTAAAGATTTTATTTATTTGACAGAGAGACAGTGAGAGGGGACACCAGCGGGGGGAGTGGGAGAGGGAGAAGCAGGCCTCCCGCCGAGGCAGAGCAGGGAGCCTGATGCGGGGCTCGATCCCAGGACCCTGAGATCATGACCCGAGCTGAAGGCAGCCGCTTAACCAGCTGAGCTACCCAGGCGCCCCAGAGTTGGCTCTTTTAAAATCTTTGGTCTTTCCTGAACTCTATATATATATATGAACTGTCAAACGTATGTATCATTTTATTCATCCTTTGACATGTATATTTATTTAGTAGATAGGAGAACCCACCAGAAGTTAATCTTAGAGTTAGTTTTTTATTACTTGGGATTTTGTCCTCATTTAACATTGTTTAATTTTAAAATGATGTTTAATTGTAATTCTAAAAGGTGAACTTATGATGTTTCTTCTTTCAGACAGTCTTTATCTCTTACAAGGTTCAGTAGTGGCAGATCATGACTACATTGGATTGCCTGAAATTCCAGTTGGAACATACCAAGCAAATATTCTGGTAGAAGATGCAGCTATTGGCGTAGTCGATACTGAATTACTAACATCAAGCAAAGATCGTGAACTGTTAGAATTTAGAAATGCCAAAATCTCTCCATTGATAGAAGATCATAGTACTCTTGAAAAGCAGACTTTCAGTCTGTTGGACTCTTCAAACCAAGTCCTTGAGTACTTAAGTTAGTAAATACCAAAATTCATGTAAAGTGCTTGGTTAGAAAGTGCAACTCCTTGAATCTTTATCTTTTCCATTTAAAAAAAAGTTGTATAGAAGTGTCTTAACACGCTCTGAATGACTAAATCCTGAAGGTTTATTTTATAACTATTAATTTATCTAAACTTGTGTCATGTTTGAACGTCAGTACATATATGTAAAGGCAAAGGAAGCATATAATATATGGAATTCACTTTTTCTTATGAAAATAGACTAGGCAAAGCATGATTGCTTCTTAGGAAGGAAACTAAATTCCAGCTCAAGACTATCAGATCTTTCTCTGGTATTAGTACCATGTTTTCAGTTTAATTTGGGGGGGGAATATTTCTCCCCTTTAAAAAATAAGTTTGAACTGCCTAGAATGGGATTAATAAATATTTATTCAACTATAACAATGAATTAAGTGAAACTTGTTTGTGTCATTGGAACTTTTAAAAATACTATTGTAGGAAAGAATTTAGAGTTGTTTAATGGGCTCTTATAGGACATTGATAATTTCACCTTCTAGGCTCAGAATTCGTATCTGAATCTATATATTGGTTTGAAAACATTTGTGCATTTCCATAACATATATTAAAGTCAAAAGCACCCATTAATAAAATTTTTTTTCTGTAGTCGAGTAAATACTAATGATAAAATAAGTACTATCAGAGATTTTAAACTATAAGCTCTATGATATTTATAACTTTATTCAACAAATATTTGTTATAAAGCACTTTGATACTGTGGGAAAGTTAAAGGATGAGTTAGATGTGTGTCTTATCTTCATAAGGGGCTTACAGTCTGGTAAGGATTATAGACCATATAAGCCATGTATAACAAGTTACAAATTACACGCTAAATTCCATTAGAGAAGTACAAATAATACACCTAGGGAGTCAAAAAAAAGAGAAGTTACTTCTAAATAGGAAACTTAGATTTATGCTTAAAAGGATCATTTGAGTTTGACCTTGAAGATGCACAGGATGTGATGAGAGAGTGCAAAAGAATTAGAGGAAGAAAAATGAACAGAGACAGAAAAATACTGTAGTGATTCACAGAAAGCTTTTTGTTGTCTGCAGTGCCTCAGGTGTAAGGTGAAGTAGTAAGGTATGGGAAAATAAAGCTGAAAAGGGAAGCAGGAAACCTTGTGGAGGACTTTGAATACTGTTATGGATTGAATTGTGCACCTCCAGATTCCTGTGTTGAAGTCCTAAACTAGTACTTCAGAATGTAACTTCATTTGGAAGTAAGGTTATTACAGATGTAAACAGTTAAGATGAGGTTATATTGGAGTAGAATGGGGTCCTAATCTAATATGACTGATGTCCTTATAAAAGGAAGAAATTTGGACATAGAGTCAAGGACAATACCATGTGAAGAGGAAGGCAGGGATTGGGGTTATTCTTCTACAAGCCAAGGAATGCCAAAGATTACCGTCAAACCACCTGGAACTAAGGAAGAGGCATAGAACGGATTCTTCCTACAGCCTTCAGAAGGAATCATCCCTGTCAAGATCTTCATCTCAGATTTGTAGCTTCCAGAACTGTGAGGCAATAAATAACCTTTTTTATAAGCAACCCAGTTTGTGGTACTTTGTTATGGCAGCCCTAGCAAAGTAATACAATACCTAGCTAAATTATTTTTTATTTACTGAGGGTTTTTGAAGGTTTTTGTTTGGTTTTCGGTTTTGTTTTTTACTACTTCTTTTTTTTTTTTAATGTAAGCTCTACACCCAAAATGGGGCTTGAACTCAATACCCCAAATGAAGAGAGTCGCATGCTCCACCAACTGAGCCAGCCAGGAGCCTCAATTGAAGGTTTTTGTATAGGGAACTGTCATTATCAGAACTACATTTTAGGAAGTTTAACCTGGCAGCTAATAGATTAGCGGAAAAGAAAAGAATGGGAATTCGTTGATAACAATTTTATAGTGATGACGAGTAATGGAAACCTAAACTATGCTGGTAGCGTTATTAATGAATAGAGCATACCTTAAGATCTACAGAATATCTCACATTTTATGTATCAACCATACTGAACAGTGATAGGATACTGAAAATGGAAACCTGAGATATTGCAATTACTCATTTAAGAAGAAAGACTAAACTGTGTTTAATATAGGCTGAAGGGTAAATGATTGGAGGAAAAAAATACCAATCTGGGGCTTTATTTTATACCATAGACCCAAGTAAATTCCAGGTAGGATTCCAGAAAGAAACCTTAAGAAAGTATAGTGTCCCAAATAGTGATATCTGTCATGTTCCCATCAGCAGACCAAAGTTCATGATGGAGTCATATTGGACCCTCGATGGTAAATATAATTGGTGAAGTGTCCTTTTCTTAGCTTAAATGAAGTGACTTTCCTTCAATAATCATCTCATTCAAAATCAGCCTCTTTTTCATTATAAGAAGGTGATTAGTAATGAGTCTTTTATAATTACAATTTCTAAGCACTTTTAAAAAAACCCTGCCTCAAATAGTTTCTGATCAAACAGATCTTTATACTGTGTGTATGGATCATGGTGTGCTATGCTATGCCGTGTCTAGGGACCACCCCCAAATCTTAGTGACTAAACACAATGAAACTATTTCTTAGCCACATTCTTGGTTCATTAAGGGGTTGGTTCCATTTGTATCCTCCAAGATGCAGGCTGATAGAGCCTCACCTGTGGAATACACCAGCCACCATGGCAAGGGGAGAACGTGGTGAACCCAGCACTAGCTATGAAAAGACTTGCTGTCACATTATGTACAAACCTTCCTACTCAACTTACAGTGGTCAAACCTAGTCATAATCTGCTAACAGGTACAGGTTTCTTTCTGTGGCAATGGTACAAAAGTATTAAAGTTAGTGATGTTAGTTGCATAACTGAAAATACTAAAATCCTCTGAACTGTACACTATAAAAGGGTGAATTTTATGATATGAGAATTACATCTCAATAAAATTATTATAAAAAGAGTATAAACCAGAGCTCAAAAAAAATGCTAGCCACATAGCCACACCTAACACCAAAGGATAGGTAAGTACAGTCCTGTATTCCTGGAAGGAGAAAAACCGAAATGGTAGATAACTATAATAGCTGCTGTACTTACCTTTGTTTACAAATTTTATTGTAGGCCATTTTGATGAATCATTTTTACTTCCTGATAGCCAATACAAGCTATTCAAATAAACTGCTGATTTTGTTATTGAAATCTCGGGATTCTAATGTAGAGATTCCAAGTACAGATTGTAAGTAAGCAAGTACACACCACAAAAAATCAACAACTTATATACATACACAGTCTTGTCTCTAATGTTTGCAGGGCCCTGTCAGTGAAAATGGAGGTCCACATACCATATGTGTAAATAATCAGAAGTTATAAATGGCACTAACAAACTGTTCCTACCTTGACAAAGATGCCTTCTTAAGGTTCCCAGAATTCTTGGACTCCTCAAGCCCTGCACTAATGAGTGGCAAAGCAGGGAGAGATGGACTCAGAGAGCCCTCTTTGTCCCAAGGACAGCCTATCCCAGCTCCTGCAGATGCATTGCCTGAGCAGTCCAGACCTTTGGAATGTGCTCACCAGCTTCATCTGCCCTTCTAGGACGGACCAGGAAGGTCTTGGAAGAGGTTCTCCAGGTGAGAAGGGGCATGTCCCTGGGCTCTGTGGTCTTCTTGCCCTGTAGGGAGGGACATATGCTAGAGTGGGACAGAGCCTAGCCCTCAAGCAAATCCTCTTGCCTGGATTTCAGGGAGGTTTTCTATAAGTATATGGTAAAATTTTTACAGAATTCCAGAAATGTCTTTATGAGGTTTTGTATGCTACCTTGTGGTATATTTTTATGAACACATAAAAAACATATAGTAGAAAATGGAGATGCTGAGGGCGCCTGGGTGGCTCAGTCGGTTAAGCGTCTGCCTTAGACTCAGGTCATGGTCCCAGGATCGAGTCCCACATGGGGTTCCCTGCTCAGCGGGGAGTCTGCTTCTCCCTCTACCTCTGCTGCTCTCTCTCTCTCTCTCTGTCAAATAAATAAATAAAATCTTTAAAAAAAATGGAGATGCTGAGCTACAATAAAAGAGAAATATATATATACGCATATATATATATTTTAAAGATTTTATTTATTTGGCAGAGAGATCACAAGTAGGAAGACAGGCAGGCAGAGGGAGAGGGAGAAGCAGGCTCCCCGCTGAGCACAGAGTCTGATGCAGGGCTCGATCCCAGGGCCCTGGGATCATGACCTGAGCCAAAGGCAGACGCTTAACCAACGGAGCCACCCAGGCACCCCAAAAGAGAAATATATTTTAAATGAGAATAATATCTTGGCTTGAAAAGTTATTTTTAAATATGATTAACTTTTCCAGTGTAAAATTTTCTTATGTGACTGTCTAAAAAAAAAAGCAACTCACTAAGATATATAAAAGAAAACTTAATATTATTTAGCTATGGGATTCATTCATGCACTCAAAAAAGATATGTATTAAATGCCTGCTCTGCTGCAAGTACTGTTCTGGCACTGAGGTTATATTAATGAGAAACAAAAATCCCTACCCTCCTAGAGCTTACATTCCAATAGGAAAGTAAAGTAGTACCCATAGTTCTTAATGAATACATTTCTTTACTTACATCCAATCTTAAAATCTCATTGGTAGCCTTTTGCACAGACATCTTGTTGGGATCCCTATGTTAAGCCTTGAAAAAAATAAGTATTCTGCTTATTTTTGACTGATTAGAAAATTGTAACTGTTTTGTTCACACATCAAAAAAGGACTGTGCCGCTTCCAGTTGGAGTTTCTAACCAGTATAATTAGTAATTAAAAGAAAAAATAAGTATTTAAAAAGCAGACTTATTTCAAACTTTTGTTTTCTACAAGTGCTTCTATTATTCAGTGGGAAATGCTAGCCTTGTGTAGTGTTAACAATTAATGTTAAACAGGGCAAAGATCAGTTCAGTGCCATCAAATTAAAAAGTACCTGAACTGGTAGCTTGCCCTGAGCTTGAGGCCCAGGCCAAATGACTCTTTTGCTTCCTCTAATCAATCCCTCAGTGTTCTCCTCACCCCCTTTCTTCCTTATGCCCATTAATGCTACTTCCTTTGTGTACCCACCCACAACTTGTTTAGAAGTTAAGTGGCACTGGGACCAGGGGACTTCCTATTTCTGACCACCTCATTGTTCAAACTTTGAAGGTCCTTGTGAGGAACACATAGGAGAGCCAATTCCTTGGCCGGGTGGGTAGCTGGAGGAGACCAGATAGCCAATGACAACTTCATTCCTCTCCCCTATATCCCAGTGAAGCCTCTGTTAGTTCTGAAAGGTCTCAGGAATTGAAGTGGAGAATGGAGGAGAAACTAAAGGAAAGGGCATCTGACTTTAATCCTTCCCCTGTACCATTTTCATATAGTGATGGAGAGAAAAATACTAAATGGAATGGTTCTCTTTCTCTAATACCATGTTTTTCTATTGCATCATAATACAAAATCTATAGTCTCTGAGCTTCTGAGCAGTATTTTGTTCCAGGTTTTGCTCTTTTTATTTAGAATTTCAGCCTTACCAATATATACATATACATTTTTCAATTTTATGTGGTGATTAAACAATGATTGTAATGGTGGTTTA